AATTTATCAATGTTTAACCTTTATCAGTTGTTTATCTCGTGTGGTTTACATATATTTATGGTCAGGTTAATACTGAGTGAAATATCCCTTACAACTAGAAGTATCTTTGCTGTAGGTTATTGGTATTGGTAGTTTTAAAGCAGCTATTTTTAAGTCATCATTGTAAAAGTAATCTACCTTACAGGTGAGCTAACACTCCCAGGGTAGGTTAGGTTAAGTTAGGTTAGGGGCATAAGTTTCATAGTATCTGGTGACAGTCAGGACTCCTGTCATGGGATCAGAAGGCTCCCCCCCCCACCCCTGGGCACTCGTAAGAACATAAGAATGGAGGAAACTGCAGCAGGCCTATTGGCCCATACTGGGCAGTCCCATTTACACCCAACCCCTATTGCTCATATAAGCATCCAGCCTATGTTTGAAGCTATCCAGCGTATTCGAGTTAATGATGATATTTGGTAACTTGTTCCATTCATCCACAACTCTGTTACCAAACCAATGTTTACCTATTTCACGCCTAAATCTAAATTTGTCTAATTTAAAATCATTGTTAAGAGTTCGCTCCTGGTTGGATAGTTTAAGTACCTTTGTAATGTCACCTTTGTTCAGCCCTGACTTCCATTTATTACACCTCTATCATATCACCTCTTACTCTACGTCTCTCGCGGGAGTGCAAATTAAGATGCTTTAACCTGTCTCTGTACTCAAGGTTCCTAATGCCCGGGATTAGTCTTGTCATTCTCCTCTGAATTCTTTCCAAGGATTCTATATCCATTCTGTAATACGGTGACCAGAATTGAACTGCGTAATCCAAGTGAGGTCTCACAAGTGCAAGATATAGTTTTAGGATGACCTCGCTAGTCTTGTAACTAACACTCCTTTGTATGAACCCAAGTACTTTATTAGCCTTGTTTCGAGCAAATACACATTGTTTACTTGGCTTAAGGTTCCTTTTTATCATTACTCCTAAATCTCTCTCGCAGTCGGATTTCTCAATGGTATCGTTGTTCATCTGGAATCTGGTTTCTCTGTTTACATCTCCTATACTGAGTACTTTACATTTGTCCACATTGAATTTCATCTGCCATTTTTCAGACCATTCGAAAATTTTTTAAATCTTCCTGTAGTTTTGCGGAGTCCTCGTCAGATTTAATAACACGTCCTATTTTAGTGTCATCAACAAATTTACTTATGTTGCTGTCTATGCCGATATTTATGTCGTTTATGTATATAATAAATAATAATGGTCCAAGTACTGAGCCTTGGGGAACTCTGCTAGTGACGTTGCTCCAATAGGATTTAGTGCCGTGTAGATATAAAGGACCTCACTTGGTCATGGAGACACCGGGTGGTGTAGGGTGGTGTCACATTACCTCACTCTCTGCTGGTGGTGTGTGGTATCTCGTAGTCAGGTGTAAAGCCGACCCACTGTTCCCGGGGTGGACTAATTAACACCTCCTGGTCAGAAGATGGTGGTCAGTTCTCAGGGGTGTTTATGTCACTGGTGAATCACTGCTCTCGCTGGTACTGGCTAGTGCTGAGTTCACTGGCTTAAACACTGTTCATCACTCTTCAACACTGATCCCACTTTTTTCCGAGACGAAATTGTCACTTTTGGTGGGATTATGTTGATATCCCGGTGGTGAGGATGGGTCGAGGAGAGGGACTTGAGGAATGGGCCTACATTGACGGGGAGCAGCAGGAGCAACCCCTGATAGCTCTTGACCCTCCGGTGATCAAGGATGTAGTGTGTGTGTTGTAGACATAAGCCAACATATTGTATTTTAAGTTTACTTGGTTCAAGGACACTTTTGTGGTGGCCAAGAAGCGGCCCTGCCACTCCTGGACGGTGGATGAAGCCACACCATTCATGGCCGAGTGAGTTGCAGCCAATGCCCCGCTTACAACAATGACATCACTATGACGACACGAGAACCCGAGGGCGCCCAAGGATTAGAGAAGGAGGCTTGAGTCGTAACTCCAATGTGAAATAATAGCAGAATGACAAGATTCCCTCCCAATCAGACTTAAATATCACTCATTAATGTCACCATCAATATAAAGTATCTGGCCAGTAGCTTGACAATTCAGTACTGGAGGAACTGTATGTAGAGCAGCAGACTCATGTTTACAAGTTCCGTTTTCTGTTGCACCGTCGCGCGGGCCCAGTACTGAATAACTGTACTGTACCAGTCTAGGCGATATTATCTATTCAAATTACTTTTTTCTCTTCGACCATATAAACTCGTATGCATTTTTATCGAAATTATAATATTTAGAATGAGAATTTAGAGACTAATTTATCACCTCCATTTGTCTGTTTACTAACCATTCCGCCAATTCTTTGTTACGACTGTCTTTGTCAAGTGTTAACGCAGGAGGAAATCGGAGAACCTGGAGAAAACCTGCCATGGTTGGTACTGGTTAGGGCCACACTGAATAACACCCTTCTCATATCCGACCCAGGGACCGAACCCGCGACAAGGGGGTGAGATGCAAGTGGGCATTGCTGTACTTGCGAGATTAACTGATTACAAAACTCCCGCACCATCGTATATCTTCACACTATCATACCTGTAATTGGCCAAGACAACAGTAGGGGGTGTACACCGTGAGGAAGCTTGTGTTTGTCTCTTTCCTCATAACTATCACAATTAAATTTGATAGTCAATAAATTTTCAATAAACATTTCTTATTCACGTTTTTATGGGATCGCCGCCACTAAACGAGACGACCTGCGGACACAAGCCGTACATCGATTATTCGTTTGTATTAAGTGTTTTCGGTGTGGCAGCAAATTATTTACCAAGCCTGATTTTATGTCAGTCATAAAATATAATTAATTCAATTTTCAATAAACGTTCCATGGATACAGAAGCATGGACACTTACGGCAGACACCAGAAAGAGGTTGGAGGCCTTTGAAATGTAGTGTTATAGGAGAATGCCAAGACTAAGCTACACCGACAGGAAAACAAATGAAGAAGTACTAAGATTAGAAAAAACTTCAAGAGAAATACTTGAAATGTAGAGAAAAAGAAAAATGAGATACTTTGGTCATATAATTAGGGATAAGGGAATAATAACAGAAATATTAATGGGCAAAGTTGAGGATAGGAGGACCAGGGGGAAGGCAGAAAGATACAAAACCTAAGAGGATTGGTAAAAACAGCCCGAGAACGTTTGGAGTGGAGGACTGTGGTCGCCAACCCTCAGATATGAAGACCGTACTTTGTCACCAACTCTAGAGTGGACGCCCTGGGGCTATATTGTCAATAAACGATTTGTATTATTTTGCATTGTTTACGTCACATATACGATTTATAATTACATAATTAATACACTACGGAAAATTAAAACTGATTGTTAAACGTATGCATCAAACACTAATTCCATCTCGTTAGCTTGTACTGAATATAGTTCCTCGGCTTGAGTGGATGGTTATTGGGCCTGAGTGGGTGGTTACTGGGCCTGACTGGATGGTTACTGGGCCTGAGTGGGTGGTTACTGGGCCTGACTGGATGGTTACTGGGCCTGACTGGATGGTTACTGGGCCTGACTGGATGGTTATTGGGCCTGACTGGAGGGTTACTGGGCCTGAGTGGATGGTTACTGGGCCTGACTGGATGGTTACTGGGCCTGACTGGAGGGTTACTGGTGACTGGATGGTTACTGGTCCTGACTGGATGGTTACTGGGCCTGACTGGATGGTTACTGGGCCTGACTGGATGGTTACCGGGCCTGACTGGATGGTTACCGGGTGGGGGTGACTTCTTGATGTTGTGGGGGGGGGGGTGATCTGTACCTCCCTATCATCACCAGGCCTTACAAACAAACGTGATTGCTCAAAGGTTACCATGGTGATAGTGGTCATTTGTGGGTTGACAGCTTCCCTTCCTCTCCTCACAGGCCCTCACATTCACCCACACCTAGACACACACACACACACACACACACACACACACACACACACCTAGACACATACACACTCATACACTGTTCCGGCTGCGTCCCCCTGAACCCCAACATGTCTGTGTGTGTGTGTGTGTGTGTGTGTGTGTGTGTGTGTTGGATATTTAGTATGTGTCCGTCATTATTTTTATCTGTATTTCATCACCACCTTCTCCACTACCTCCTTCTCCATCATCACCACCACCAATTTCTCCACCACCACCAGCACCTTCTCCACCACCACCAGCACCTTCTCCACCACCTTTACCACCACCACCACCTTCACCACCACTGCCACCACCTTCACCACCACCAACTTCTCCACAACCTTCACCACCACCGCCAACTTCTCCACCACCTTCACCACCACCACCACCTTCTCCAGCACCACCACCACCTTCTCCACCACAGCCACCACCACCTTCTCCACCACCTTCTCCACCACAGCCACCACCACCATTATAAGTGATGGCCCAAGCCTCTCCCTTCCACTCTATTTGAATAATTTGTTTGGGTGATAACCTGACGTGTGCATATATAGCTTTCCACACACACACACACACACACACACACACACACATATGTTATCTTGCCTTATTACGCACATTGTCATGAGGCAGGTGTCGGGTGTCTTTAGGCAGGTGTCATGGATCAGGTGTCATGAGGCAGTTGTCAGGTGTCCTGGAAATGGCACAATATAGACTGGTCTTTCAAGTCAATATATCTCAGGTTTTCATAGAGTCACCCAATATATATTTACGTGAATGTGTTGGTACTCTCAGCTCTTCATCTGTCGAGTTTGGTTGTGTGATAAGGCATGACTATCTAATCAGACAGAGGCTTAGAGAATATATAAGATTATATTTAAAAGGTGATTGCATAAAGTGATAAAAGTCTTAGAAGATTGTTAAATAGAGTTTTAATTATAATACGGTATACAGTAGCTAGTATAGTGTGCGTTTTACTACAGTTTATTACAAGGAGAGATATAGTACTGTACTGAACAAGAAGGTGATATGTTGTGCTGGTCTCTAAAACAATTTTTTCCCCCAGATATATTGTAATACCAAAAAGAAGAAAGCAAGATGGCGCTGGCACTGAAGATTCATATTGTTGAACAAAATGTGAGAAAAATGATACAGTTTGAGCCCTCCACGATGGTGTACGACGCCTGCCGCATCATAAGGGAGAAAATCACTGAAGCTAATTTAGGCCAACGTAAGTACTGTTCAATATTAGCAGCAGTTCGTTTACTATAGTATTTTTGTTACACACACACACACCCACACCTTTTTCTAAGCAGGGATATACAAATACAATACAGTACTGATGACAGAACTTAATTGATTGATTGTTGAAATATATCCTGTACATGTATAAAATTTTTTGGGGAATTTAGGATTGTCACAAGTCCACTGTACTGTATATAGGAAATGTTACTTTTACCTACCACAAGATACTGTAATATGTAATATACTCAATGTACCGTGATATTTTAGTTATTTTATTTATTTATTTTTTTTTTCAGCCAAAGATTATGGTTTATTCCTGGCTGGAGATGAGGGAACAGGAGTATGGTTGGAGCCAGGCAGGAACCTCAGTTACTACCTTCTAAGAAACCAGGTCTGCTTTTTATTACTCATGTTTACTTATTATTGTTGTGTTAGGAGCAAGGTGTGAGTCACTGGACTGTAGTTAGTTTATAAGTTTCGCTACAGATACAGTGAATGAATACAGGCAGTACAGTAAGTAAATATATGTGTGAAAACTGAAACTATTGAAACAAAGTTCATTATGAGTCACAGTATAAATAAGGACTCTCTTCCCCCTTAAGAAATGCCAAGTTTTTAACAGACTCTCTTCACAGGATGTGGTGGAATATAGGCGGAAGGTGCGCACATTGAAGGTGCGTATGTTGGATGGTACCGTCAAGACCCTCCTGGTGGATGATTCTCAGCCTGTATCACAGCTTATGGTTGTTATCTGCACCAAAATTGGTATGTTGAAACTGTCATGTGTTGTTTCTCTAACTCATTGATATTAACTTTAGTTTCATTAGTTGAAAATAGATTACCAGATGAACAAGAATTCTTAGTTTACCTATTAAAGTTTTATTGGTGGCAAGTCTTCAAAATATGACACAGTAAAAAAAAAAAACTTGCCAGAAAATATTACACTACTTGTGGTATTAATTTTTTATTCACCCACAGGAATTATGAATCATGATGAATACTCCTTGGTTAATGAAATTGAGCAAGAGGAGATTGAAAACAAACCCAACTTTGGAACTCTAACACTGAAGAAGAAAAGAGAAGGAGACAAGGATCGTGATGCTAAGATGGAACAACTGAAAAAGAAATTACGCACAGATGATGAAAGTTAGTTTCTGGATACTTATGTTAATTTTTAATGGGAGTAGCTTGACCAGTTGTATTAGCCTATTGGTCCCCAGAAGTATACCAGGTCAGAGCCAGTTATTGTTCTGGGAGCTTGTAACTTCTATACTGTACACTCACAAATACCAATGAAAAGTTATTTTTTATCCAAAGACACATTCTGGGCTGCACACCACCAAAAGTACATTATTTCCTGAGCTCCACACCATACTTAACCTTAAGTGTTTGGTGTTTTGAGCTCTGACAAGGGAAGAAACAAACACTGGGCATTTAAAAGTAAGCTCACATAAATAATCCTATTGAGACGATTTCATATCTTTGTGATGCAGTTTATGTATCTACTGTACAGGGTAGTGATTAATAGGTGCAGTACTGTATACCTCTTCATACTCTGTAAGTTAGAAATATTATTTGTCATGTAATATATTTTATTTATTATGTACCATGTGTGTGTCATATCATTTTGTTGTAGTAGATTATGTGCTGGTCCAGTACTGTGTCTGCTGAAGTTTTGGAGGATTATCTTGCATATGTGTTATCATTCAGTTTGTATTAGTGTATAATTAAGTGATTATTTACTGCTTTGTTAACACAAGAATATATCTTCCTTTGATTTAATATTTTTTGTTGTCCATTGTAAGGAGCAAATGTGTGCAACTTTGCATCTTTTAAAGTAATTGCTTATATGAAAAGTAAAATAAGGATATCAGTTAAAACTATTATATTATGAACATTGAACTCATTATTTGATGCATTGCAGTTAACTGGGTTGACCACAGCAAAACCTTGAGAGAACAAGGTATTGATGAGACAGAGATCTTGTTGCTCCGAAGAAAATATTTCTTCTCAGATCAAAACATTGACTCCAGGGATCCAGTTCAGTTGGGACTTTTGTATGTTCAGGTAAGTACAAAATAATTTTTTTGAAGAATGAGAGCACAGGGAGTAAAGTAAATGAGAAAATTACATAGAATATGAATAGATATACACTGTACAATATGACTGAATAAAAACTTCATATATTAAAATAGATACAGTAGTGTAACTACAGAAATAGAATATTCACTGGTTAAGTTAAGGATGAATATGACTCATTTGAACAGATGGAATTGTGGTAATAGAGAGAACACAAGCAGACATTGGGAATCTTACTGTTTACATGTGCATCAGCCTTATACCCTTCCTCAGAGTCCTTATGTTAGGTTTTATTAAGAGAAGTGAAGGACCCTGGAGGAGTTAGTAGAAGCACAAACCGTACCATATATACTCAAGTATAGTTCTAGTTTTTGTGATAAAATTTTTATGCCCAAATTAAGGGATCGAGCTTCAGTATACAGTATACGTACGTATGCGTAATATTTTTGAGGGGTTAAAATTCATGCATTTCCGTGTGTCATTTATGGTGAACCATAGCTACCCAGTACATGCTTGCAGTACGCTAACTTTACCACTAAGCTCCTTTATCCTGGACTGTACCCCTAGATTCTTTCTTTAAAATTTTTTCATGAACCTCATTCATTATATATGCCGCTTTAAATTTATAAATAATGATTCAGATGAAGATTTACATATAGCTTTCTTTTCATTTGTGTTTGTTAACATTGTTGGTGGCATTGTTGCCAAGTTAGACTCGTCACTGTAGCTATATCTCCTTAGCTGTCTCGCTACCAGGCTGAGCTGTGAGCTGTGTTATGGTTATTTTTCAACTCGTAATTTTTGGTAGATTTAAATGGATGTAACTTTTTTTTATATACTCAATTACATGTGCACACAATCCTACATACAGAATGTGCACACAAAAAGATATTACGTATAGGTAAAAAACACAAAAGGAATAAACATTTCTTTTGGGGCAAAAGTTAACATGCTGAATAGGGGAGGAGGTAGCAGAGCGAGGGAGCTCCGTTGCTATGGCAAGCATTGACTCCAGGCAACCAGCGTGTCTGAGACTGACATAGTGTGTACATTAACTTGTACAGTATCTTTTTTTTTTTTTGGTATACTTCCATCAATGTTATTTATTTGCCTGCAAGTTTTGATGTTACAGTGTACAGTTAAAGCTACCTTTAGGGATGAATCTAGTAAATATCAAGAGGAGATGGTAAATGGCAGCATTCAGTTTCAGGAATGGTAACACTATTCATAGCAACAGCTGCCGTGGTGGTGATCTAGGTTCAAGATGCGTTGTGAGAATCGGGTGCCTTGCTACAAAATATATCTAGGATTACACCTGGTATTTCTCAAAAGCTAGCATTGAATTACACACGAGGTATATGAAAAATCAAGCTGCTTTACTCCAAAAATCATTGGCCGGATTATATATGAGATAGGCTTATGCACGAGTATATACGGTATACTGAATTTGTCCTAATAAATAAGATGTGAGAGAAAGATAGATAAAGAGAGAGTTACAAAATGTTATTTCTTTGTATCATTATTTACTTATTTGCTCTTTTGCTTTAAAATCTCATAACAGTGTCGAGATGCCATCATTGATGGAACACATCCTGTGACCTTAGACCGAGCCTGTAGGTTTGCAGGCATTCAGTGTCAGATACAGTTTGGTGACTATGTTGAAGCAAAACACAAGGCAGGCTTTCTTGAGTAAGTTATTCTTCTTGTTTTATATTATTTTCTTGTGAAAATTTCATAAGGTTGAAAATTGTTATATATAAATGATGTTATTTATCATTTCAGCTTGCATATAATATTACTATCTCCTTCAAATTCTTCCCCACACAACACATCACTTTGACCTCATTATCCCATACTTCATCCCAGCAGAACCTTCACACATCAATCACACTACATCTAGTACAGTGGAATATGCTATAACGAATCTAATTGGTTCTAGAACCTTGTTCGTTATAGCATTCGTTCGTTATAGGATTAATCCGTTCCAAGCCCCCAAATACAACCACTTAACACTGAAAAATATAATATAAAATTGTAAAAATTTAAAAAAGTGCATAAATATGCATTTAAACTCCTGAAATAAAGAATATCATTAATACTTGTAATAAAAAACAATATATTCATAAAAAAAAACTGTTCGTTGTAGGAGTTTCGTTCGTTATAGCATTCTCAATTTTATAGGTAAAACTGTTCGTTATAGGACTATTCGTAGTAGAATCCGTTCGTTATAGCATACCCACTGTACCTCTCCCAACTTTATGTTTGCCACTTGTATAAAATTATATATTCTTCACTCCATAATGAGGGAATGATAACTAAAAATCTATTTTCATAATATCTCGCCATTCCAGTGACCAAATCTGAGCAAAAACGAAATAGCTGAGCTTTCTCACATAATATAGATCCACACAAAATTTAATAAGTTTTGTCACTGTTTATACCAACTATCATTGTTGACATTACACTTAATTAATATTTTCAAAACTTTTCATCACTTTATGTGTGTGTGTGTGTGGCGTGTCACATTCTTTTATATATGCCTGCCTTTTTTTTTATAAACTTGATACAGGTATTAGGTCTGTTTAATTTATTTTTAGTTTATTGCCTTGAAGGAGAGGGAAGCCACTGATTGTTTAAAAGCCCATTGTTCCTGATGAATTTATCCTTCATCAGTTAAGTATCCAGTGATAGTCCAGGAAGAAACTCATGTACCTTGAGAAAAACTGTGATGCTTTATAGGGTCACACTAAAGAACTTTCTTACATCTGACCTGGGGACTGAACCATGGATGTAGTGGTGAGGGACAAGTGTGTTATCACTGTACACCAAGGATTTTATACAGTAGAGCTTCAAGATGGGCTAATTAATTCACAAGTAATTAGCACAAGAAAACAGTGTATACAGGAAGCCTCCAAGAGTACAATGTTAAGGTATCTTAGGTTTTCATTCTCTTGTGGATCATTTTGTCATTTTCTCTGCCATATTCCTCTTTGACCCCCAGAATTGTTGCTTTCCTCCCAAAGATGTTAAATAATTATCTAACTCTTCTGCTAAAATGGAAGAACTGATTGAAGGAATGTACTGAAATAGGCAAGCCAAGGTAGATGTGAGAGTAGAAATCAGATTGAACAATGTGCTTTAAAATGGTGGTATTGGGGTCAGCTATTGTGTCTTGGGAAACATGTTAGGTACAGCTATCAACCAATACTGTACCAATTAAAAGTTCCATTATTCACATTTATATGTTTTCTTTATTTTCCTTATTTCAGCCTCAAAGAATTCCTGCCTCAGAGTTATGTGAAGACAAAGGGCATTGAGAAGAAGGTTTTCCAAGAACACAGCCTACATTCGGGTAATAATGAGCTGGATGCCAAGGTGGGTAAAAACTATTTTAAGTTATGGATTTAAGTCGATCATGAATATTTTGTGCCACAATTCAGGGGGCAGTTGACGGTGGGAGCTAATGTTTATGCAGTATGACCGATACTAGTTTTATGGAGAATACGAGTAATCTTTTAATAGTTACAACCAACAATCATTGGCAATATTAATTGATAAAAAAATAATAATATTTTTACAGGTTATATATGTTGGCGAGGCCCGATCTTTGAAGACCTATGGTGTAACGTTCTTCCTCGTGAAGGAGAAAATGAAAGGCAAAAACAGACTTGTGCCTCGATTGTTGGGAGTGACCAAGGACTCAGTTTTACGTCTAGATGAAAAAACCAAAGAAATTTTGAAGACATGGCCACTTACCACAGTAAGAAGATGGGCAGCATCACCAAATACATTCACCTTAGGTTAGTAGGAAGTAATTTGTTAAAAATTCCTAAATATTTTTACCCTTATGATACAGTATTTGGGAAAGGGTAAAGAGAGGCCTTGTGAGATGGTATGGTATGGTCATTGTAGAAGGATATAGGAGGAGGGAGATTATTAAAGAGGAAATTGATATATCAGATGCTTTGGGTAGTAGGAGTCTGACTGCATGGTGGGAGGGAGAGGTGAAACAATATATTCAGGAGAGAACAGGGTAAGGGGATAAGAGAGTATAAGGAAGATTTGTAGTGATAGGGCAGCCAGTAGAGAGCTCTCTTGTGGCCACCCATGGAGTAGTGAGGCCAAATAGCTAAGAAGAGACAAATAAGATATGATAGAGTAAATAGTGTCAGAGGAAAAGAAGAAAAAGTAACAAGGGATGAGTAAGAGACACTTGTTGTGAATGAGCTGATGAATAGTAAAGTGGCAGGAGGAGATGGAATGGAACCACTGTTTTTATGTCTATAATGAGAGGTGGATTATTAGTAGGAGGGATGATGAGTGTGCAGATTATGTATGACCGGAAAAGGTACCAAAGAAATTGCAAAATGCATGTACAGTTACCACATATAAAGGGTAAGGTGGTTCAAGGAAATCAAAGATGTCATACCCTTTGTGCCCCATCTACTGGAGTAGGAAACCCCCTGTTTGTAATGTCATTCCAGTGTTTACACATTTTTATTTTATGAACTAATGAAAGGTCCAACAAAGAGTCTCCACTCCATATTTCAAGAGTTTTTATTCAGCAGTTCCTGAGGTATAAGGATTTCATAAATTTGCATATATTTTGGTCATAGTGACCTTCGACTTTCAAGGTCCAAATTTTTATGTTACACCCCAAGGAGTCTCCCCAATTAATATGTATAGAAGATAGGATTCAAGATATGTGTTATATATATTTATTTTTATTTTTTGCGTTCTATTCAGTTTTGTCAAAAAAATCATCTCTAGCATGATATTTTTGAGAAATTTTATACTGTATAGAAAAATATTTTAATGACACTTTTGATGTTCCCTTCCTTGAGGAATGTAATGCACTATGTCCCAGCCTTGTCTGATGCTTCATTCCAGAGTTATCATGAAATTGGGTTTTTGAGCTTTTGATTGACCATGATCTCCCAAAAAACTTCAGTGCTTACTATATCCTCAACATAGTTCATTAATGTTATATGATCAGAATTGGTGCTGATATGGCTAAGATATGCTTCATTATATTATTGACAATAGTGCAGATAAAAAAATCACACACAGGAGTCATTCTAACACTTCCCTTCCCTTTCGGTGGCAAGATAATTAAAATAATTATAGAGGAATAAATAAGTGTTCCTGGGAAGTATATGGTAGAGTTACTATTGAGAGAATCCTAACAAGAATAGTGGGTGTATTAAGGGAAGAGCAATGTGTATTCAGAAAAATACGAGGATTTGATGATCAATTCTTTTGCATAAAAAACCATAAGTGAAGGGGGAAAATATGTTTGCATCACCTAAGGATTGATGGCAATGTCTTGAGTGTACTGGCATGGTTTTGTGTATAGCTAGGCTGAGATGGTTTGGTCATGTGGAGAGAATGGAGGGGAGGAGAACTAGGGGCATTCCATGAATGACTTAGGGAGAGTTTGGAGACAGATACACTACCTATATATACACACACACACACACACACTCACTCACTCACTCACTCACTCACTCACTCACTCACTCACTCACTCACTCACTCACTCACTCACTCACTCACTCACTCACTCACTCACTCACTCACACACACACACACACACACACACACACACACACACACACACACACTGCATATAAATAATGTAATGTAATCTCTTTTCTTTTCACTTTTTTTTAACTAGATTTCGGTGACTACTCTGATCAGTACTACTCTGTCCAGACTACAGAAGGTGAGCCAATTGCTCAGTTGATTGCTGGTTATATTGACATCATTTTGAAGAAGCAACGAGCCAAAGATCACATCGGCATTGAGGGAGATGATGGCTCAGCAATGGTAGAAGACATGGTGTCCCCTATTAAGTAAGTACAATATTCACACCTTTGTTGCATATGTTGCTTTCCTTATTATAATACTTCAGCTTTTTAGTGATCTCTTACACATCATGTGAATATCAACTCTGTGGATGGGAGGAGCTAAGAGTGGATGAGTTTAATGTATTATGAGTCATATAGACTCCCATTCTATACCATGTTCAGTTTGAGCCACTTGATAAGAGGTGACTGAACAAATACTGAGTATACTTAAAAAAAAAAATCCTAAAAAATTATCAAAATGAAATGAAGTCCTTGGTAGGCAGTGTCTTATCCACACTTTGTTGGAAAATAATTATTATATGTACTACTGTATATCTTTTCATATATTTTTGGTCTAGAGTTGTGGCTCCATGGGTGGTCTTGTAGATTGCCAGGAGTGACGAACTATTTTCAAACAGATTTTTTAGTACAATAGTCAGGCAAGTAGTTGTTAGAAGCTTTTATATATAGTTCTGTAACCAGTTGGAAAGTGATTATCCAAAATTCATTGATCATAGCTAATAAGAGCTGTTTGCTTGCTTTTGTAGGGCAAGCATACTTCAACATGGAGACACTGGGGGAGGAATCCATCATGCAGAGGAGGAGTCTATTGCTAAGCCTGCTGTTATGAGGCCTGGAGTAAATGGTAAGTTTACTGTACTAGAGTCGGCATAAAGGACGATAATTAAAGACCCGTGAACAGGACTTGTTTTCTCCCCCTGTGGAACAAAGTGGATACATCTGGGTCTCCACTAATATGTAAGATACAGTACAGTACTTTCAAAATTGGAATGCAAATTAGATCCCAAGTGTGTTTTGTTTATTTGCCCCTCAGATTTTTCCTTTAAATATTTTTTATATATATTTTTGTATGGGTAAAGAAATATAAAACTTAGTTCCTCCTCTTTCTTCCTGTCCAATAATACCTATCTAGACTAGAGCATTTCAGATCTTGATGTATATATATATACACACACACAGTTTTATACAGATTCTCAAACCCCATATGTTTCATGATTTATTAATGTGTGAGGCGAACTTCTGCTGTGCCGTCTTCCTTAACTTTGTGTTTAAATGGAATTGATATGATACACTTCAGTTTCTTCTGTGACACTGTACAAGTTATCCAGGTGCTGCTAAGTTATGGTAAGATAGATGAAGCACAGAAATAGTGAGTTGTTGAACAGTAAGACAATTGATATAACATATACCTGTACAAGTATTAGAGCATTCTTTTCATCTACTCGGGTGTCACCTATAAACTGTGCTAATGGTGGTTCATGCTAGGGGTATGTTTGCGTCAGAAATGGCTTGCAGAAGTAAAGTATTGCAGAATGATATTTGATTGTAATGCCATGATCAGGACAGTTATCTGCCCTAACACCTACCATGGTTAATATGTTTGAGAGTTTTTCTTTAATAATTATAGTATTTAAATCATGGGCATTCATATATGTGTGTGTGTATATATATATAACAGAACAGATACTAGTCTGCTACTTCCTGCATTTAGCTGAACCTCCAAAAATTGTCTACATATACAGAAAGTACATAATGATCTCTTACCAATAATTGTTATACCTTAACTGCACTCCCAAGTTTCTTGTAAGCATCTAGGTAATTTCATTAGCATTTTCAATTACAAAAAATCATTATATTTGTCCAGAGACATGCAGTCACTCATTCACAGATAAAAAATGAGATTTGAAAATTTTGTTTTCATATATCTGCAACATACCTTGTTCATTATATTTCTACTTCTTACATTAGCTTTTTTGTTTCTACTGGTAGCGCACTACACATCCACACATTACTGTACCTTGATATTGGTGTACATAAAATTGATTAGCACTGTGGTGTAAAACAATAGAGGGAACCTTGGTCACGACTCACTAACCTCTTACGTTTTTTTAGGAATATGGTTGTAACGCAGATTAACTACTGAGGGTAATCATTAGATGAGTATTAACAAGCATTGTCTTAGTGGGTCTTAGGTTTTAATCCCATAGACTTCTTAGGCATTGCACAAAATGCACCAGACTCTGTGCTCAGTCTTACGGGAATTCAGGATCAATCATACTTTTCTAAGGCAAGGATTGGATGCAATTAAACAGTCAAAACCTTTCCCTGAGCTGGATGCTGATGTAGATAATGAAGTAGTCCCAGATAGAATAACTCCCCTCCATCTGCAGAGACAAACTTAGAAATTCAGTTGTCTTTATTTTTATCTTTTTTAAACCAAATAGTCAAGGGCCTACTGCATATGGGTAAATCATGCACATGACATGAACTAGATAATATTGAATGATTTATGTTATTAGCAAGTCATTATTATGAATTTTTTGAACAAGTTTTGTGATGTTTTTAAGAAAGTTGAAGATATTATGTCCAAAATTAATATGTGTTGACAGACAACTGTTTTAATTATTTCTGCTTTTATGAGTTTTGAGAATATGTAAAACACACACACACACACACACACACACACACACACACACACACACACACACACACATCTATCTTTCAGTCTCTCTATATACACGTGCTTTTTATGACTCGGTTTTTTCTGTTATGGTGTATTTTGAGTTATGCATCTCCTTGGTAGGCGCGCAGAGCTTCGGTACAGGGTCCATGCCAGGGGTGCAGTCAGTGGCCATAGTGGGGCAGATCAACCTTGCCCACCAACCTCCTTCGGTAAGTATAATTCACTGAAAGACATTATGATGGAAACACTGAGTAAGATCTCAAAGTTAAGAACTGGATGTCTACTGTATTACTGTATCCAATATTTTACAAAAAATTACCAAGTGGAAAATAGTTTGGTCTAGGAAAAGTCTACTGAATCTCATTAGTTCACATTGTATTTGGTAGGGATTCCAGGATGAGTATTGAGAAAATTTTCCTTAGAAATGCATGTTGGTTTTACTGTCTTACGGTGTCATGTTCACCTTCTTCTTAGTAAAACGTTTAATCTTGCTTTGCATTCTACATGTACAGTTTTTGTTTGCTTTAATTTCTCCATTTTAGAGCAGGACAATATATTCATCACACAAATTTATTAAGATACAGCCCAACATTTTCATTCCTAATTCATCTGAAAATAGTGGTATGGTAATTGAAGCTTCATAGGATTTATAAGATTTCACCCTCTTTATCAATGGAGAACTCAGTTTGTGGAGGTGAAGGAAATGAGGATTGTTCTGTATATTGACGAAATAACCCTTTTGGATACCATTGGTGGAGGAGTCTTCTGAAGGTGTGAAAGGAGCGTTCACCATTGTTACCACCAATCCTGTGTGTTAAACAGGATACTCTTGTTGATCTAAGAAAGTAAAAAATGGCCATGTGCTGTCTGTAAGAAGGGTGGTGTTAGTAATTTCATAATGTGGAAGATGTGTACACAAGAGATACAATTAAAGGAATTTCTCTGTACTTCTCTCAGTTGAAGTTTGGATATTTTCAGATATGGAGTGACATATTAATGGATCTCTTGCAACAGATCCTTGCAAGGGATCATAAATTTGTTTCACTCAGCACTTCCTAAAACTGAAATAGCTGTTGGCATATTTTTCTTTCCTAAGTTTAATTAATACCAAAGGTTTCAACATATGCCTTCAGTTCCCAGTCTGAGTAACCAGAAAAGATGAACACCAATGTCTTTGTCAACGTATGATGTGGTGTGGTGAGTACAGTATAAAGTATTCCACAAACCTTTGTCCTGGATCATCAGTTGATGTTAAGTCGTATAAAGATGACTTATTAAATCATTAATGTGGCACACCTGGGAGTGGTGATTAAGATTATGTCCTCGGGGATCTCTCTGAAGAACATTTATTATTCCTTACATTTATGAAGAGAAAATGTTTATTCTGTAAGACTGGGTTGGCCAATTTAAACCAATAGTTTAAACCAAAAACCATTGTTTATTTTGTTTTGTTTTTAATCTAGGCCTTTTTTCTTGTGTTTAATACGCTTTTTGCTGATTGTTATTACTTACAGATAGTTTTAATGAATTGTAGTAGATTTGGAAAAGACATATGATGGGGTGAACAGAAAAGTATTGTGGGCGGCTTTACTAGTGTATGGGGTGGGGGTAAGGCTATTAAGTGCAGTAAAAGCTTTCTATGATGACAATAGCAGGGCAACAGTAAGAGCAAATGAGAAAGAAAGTGAAACATTTGAAATACAATGTAAATGTGGGTGTTAGACAGAGGTGCATTGTGCCCCTGTGGTTGTTCAATATAGATGTGGATGTGAACTTTTATACACTGGTGAATGTGGTGATAATAAGCTTTCTTACAGCGCTACACACATCTTAAATCCTGATTATAAGGGAGCCAAGTTAAAGCATTTAATTTTTTTTTTTTTTAAACAATGGTTTTGGTTTCATTTTTATAAACCAATGGTTTTTGCCAACCCTGTTTTAAGGACTTTTCTCTCAAATTCTTCAGGAGAAGTTTACACATGTTGACTGCATGGCACTATGAAATATTTAATGTTAATCATTATCTATGCTATGGTTTGCAGTTATTAGATTTTGTGAATACTGTACCTGTAACTCATTTTTTATTTAGCAGTTCTAAAATGCTAATCATTTGCAAAGCCTGTATGTGCAAATGAGGGATTGAATCCTGAACTTCTAATGCGGTTGAGGATGAAGCAAATGATTTGGCTCCTTCTTCCTCTCAAGGGATGACACAAAGGTGGTTAGAAGTACAGTAAGATCTTGCATTTCGCGAGTAATATAGAATGGAAAAATTGCGCCAAATGCAAATACAGTACATAAACTAATGGGAAAAATAACAATATAGACTGGCCACTGTACATCAACCTCTGATTTTCCCATTTATAACCTCCAAATGATACAAATTCTGCCTTTATTGACTTGATTGTGCTTTCCGGAAACTAGTTTTTAGGCCTTCCTCAAGTAATTTAATCACACGCTGCTTATCCTGCATCAAGTACTTGGCAAACTTAACTCCCTTATGATAGTCCCACTTCTCCTTTTCCTTATTTGGCCGCTTAGGTGGGTCTGTCCCACCCCCACCAACACCAGTCCAGTAGAGGTAGAGGTCATTATCTTGACTCGACAGGTGGTAGCACCACCCAAAAAAGCACACAATAACAGCCCAGGCGGCCACTAGGATGGCGCGGGCTACAACACAATAGTTTGCGTTCTTGTAAACCTCTTTTACGTTCACCACCGGCAATTCGATCACCAGAACGCTTCTTGGAATTATTCTTTTTACCTTGTCTTTCCGTATTCATCGCTAACACAACAAAATTGGAGAAAATAACAAAAATCACGGAGTAATTGACAAACCGCACAATTCAACTGATCACGTGATGTAAACAGAGAGCGCTGTTGTAAACCGTTATTAGTCCTCACTGCGAAACATTCTTTTAACTTATTCATTTCATACAGTATTTATGGGTAACATCTAAATTTGCAAAAAAATAAAATAAAATTTACAGGGTACCTCTCAAACAACACTTCACAAACAAAAGACACGAATCAATTGAACATGCGATGTCAAACATGAACTGTAAACATTGCATAACCCCGCGCCACGCTTAAAACGTTGAGAATGGAATCAAAACGTTGAGGATGGAATCACGCTATAGCCAACATTCGTATGCAAAAGTTCACGTTTTACAAACAGCGTTCCCCTATTCATCAATCGCGTTGCAACCAATTTGCGTTGACAAAATACGCTTTGTAGCAGAAATGACTGTAACTGATATGGGGGCTGTGACGTCATTCAAGATGGTGGCCAGCATTCAGCTTGCTGGATCTCGAGAAATTCACGATATTTTACGCCAAATATAAGACTTGGTTACTTTAGGTAGTGCTCGCGAAATATGAGAACTTTACGTAACCTTTATTTCCTTTAGACCTTTTTTTGGCGGAGGAGTCAAGTGAATGGTACCGAGTGTGTGGAGGCTCTGGCCACAAATAAGTAACTTTTCTACCTAATATGATAGCAACCATCTCACAGGAGGACCTTTTTCTTATGAACCAAGAGATCCAATTATGGCAGTAGGGCAACTCTTTCAGTAACAATCACTGCTTTGTCCAGTTGTGACAAGGCAGCTCTGTCATGAAGGGTTAGTGAATTCTATAAATCATCCTCTGTCACAAAAGGGTATTTAAGGATTCAGTCTCCCATTTGTCATTTAACTTCATTTTGTAAGTGAACACATAAATCATTGTCTTCATAACACAGGAGTGAAGGTTGGATGTGTTCTTTCCTTCTTAATTAAGCAGCAGTATGTTGTAGAGCAGATCCCATGAGAAGTTATCTGTACTATCATTGTAGTTGTATTGTTATTGGCAGTGTTTTCTTTCTTTTACAAGCTCCTTATCTTGGAGTACTAAGATTACAAGTAGGTGTCCTGTATACACCTGACTCATATCAGTGGTGTAAGCATGAACATAAATGTACTGTATTATTATATGCTGATGAGCTTTTTATTAGTAATACTATTATTCATAGTGTTCATGTCTCATTTTGTGATAAACTGCTTTATATAAAAACATTTGATATAGTTTCATTTTTAAAAGAAATTAATATTATGCATAAAATTCTCCTCTTCATTTTCCTGCATTATCTCCTCAGGCCAAACATCCCCAAGTAACAAGTGTCCTGAGCAAGCCACAGAAAGCACTTGTCTCCACAATAGAAACTGGGCAAGTGATAATTGGAGAATGTGCACAAAGTTTGGAGACAAAGGCCGAGCTTCCAGAACTGGGCACAGATCCAGCTTCTATCAAGTGGAAGCAAGTGACCCTCGACTCCAACAAGCAGACCGTCACAAGTCAGATTGCTGCCATGAATGCTGCCACAGCTGAAGTTGTCACACTAACATCATGTAAGTATAACTGGAGCACTTGAATGTATTTTTAAGCTAAAAATGGTTCTGTTAAAGGATGTAATGGCAAGATATGAGCAAGAGTTCATGAAAACTTTAAATTGATACAGTATCCCCATGTGTACGGTCAGACCATAAGTTTTATTGATCCCTGCGGCGTCAGAATAATATGACAAACCAGTAAAAAAAAACATCACATCCAGGGGCCAAAGTGATTTGTGGTCTTACTGTGCATTAATACATATTTTTTTTATTATTTTATGTTTGGTCATTAAAGTATCCAGCATATATCAGCATTAATGAGTAAGGGAGAGACAGTCAAGTTTGTTCTGTAAAAAAAAAAAAAAAAATCTGCACCTTTACGGTATTATATGATATGACTTGGTTTTGGAGGTGAATTTTTTAGATAACAGATGATTGAAAAATTCCTCGCGTTTTTTTCTATGAGGTTAGATATTCTTGATTTCCTAATAGAAAACTTCATTTTGGTTAAGAAAATAAAAAGAGAAATTGTTGGAGTCATTCACTCAGTATAACAGAGAGATGGATTTTCTTGTCACAGTCATATTTCAGTGAAGCAGACCTGATACAGTAACACTAGTATTTTATGGCTGCATTTCTTGTACCTATTTGTTACCTAATTAATATTTTTTTGTCTAGTGTAAGACAATAAGCTATTGCACAAATATTAAAGCCACCACTTGGGTGTAAAGTTATCCAAAATTTAGTAATAAAAACAGTAAAAACAACAAGAAGAAATTCAACATTATTACTTTTTTCTCAACTACCAAACAATACTGCTAACAGCAAATGGACACGACTCCCAGAGCTATAAAGAAGAAGTATCAACAACCTTATTCTCAGTGGTACAGCACTGAGACAGGTGTGAGTAGGGTCATCAGCCCACACATACGTGCTCGCCCTTCCCTTATTTAACTTATTAATTTTTTGTTTGTTGCTTCATATCAATATTTAATTGTGCAAAAGTTAAGAGTTCTCTATTTTTTTTAATACTGTACTGTACAAGCGAAAAGGTGAGTGAATATACTGTACAGAATCATGGCCTTGTCTTGGTTTTATACAGGACTGTATTACCAGTATAGATATATAGTATCTTGATCATTGTTTAAATGATATTCCTTCTGTAACTGTTGTAAACTGAATATTCCTTTCAAAATTATCCAAAAACATAATTTCATCAAACAGTTAGTCAGTCAGAGACAGACAGACAGGCAGGCAACAAGTAATAATCCTGCACCTTATGTTGTGTTGTGGTTAATTAACCTTATTCTCTCTGTTTCAGCTGTACATGAAGAGGTAGACCATACTGCTGTAGGCGCTGCTATACATACCATTACTTCTAACTTACCTGAAATGACCAAGGGTGTTCGCATGATTGCTGCCCTTCTTGAGACTGAAAATGAATCTACTAATCTGCTAGGTGCAGCAAGGGTGCTCTGCACTGCCTTTTCTGATTTGCTGATTGCAGCTGAACCTGAAAGAAAGGAACCACGTCAAGGTTTGCTGACAGCTGCTTCTCAAGTTGGAGAGGCATCAAATGCTGTCCTTCACACTGTTGATGCTCATCTTGATCACGAAACTCAAGATATTCTTCTCGGACTGGCCAAAGCTGTTGCTAATACCACTGCAGGCCTTATTCTGAAGGCTAAAGCAGTTGCATCACGTTGTGAAGATCAGGAACTTCAAAATGTTGTTATTAATTCTGCCACTGCATGTGCCTTAGCCACCTCCCAACTGGTTGCATGTGCAAAAGTAGTAGCTCCTACCATTGATAGCCCAGCATGCCAGAGTCAGTTAATTGAAGCAGCAAAGGAAGTTGGTCGGGCTGTTGAGTGTATGGTTCAGGTGTGCCAGCGTGCTACTCAGGATGATGTGCTTCTCCGTGATCTCTCTCTGGCAGCAGCTGATGTAACTAAAGCACTCAACGACCTTCTCAACCATATCAAGACTGCAGGTGAACAAAAAGGACGTCTCAGTGTTCATGATGAAGCTGTGGAAACCATCCTTGTATCAAGTGAAAAACTATTTGCCTCCCAGGGTAATGCCTCAGAGATGGTAAGACAGGCCAAGATCTTAGCACAGGCCACATCACATCTTATACAAAATATTAAATTTGAAGCAGAGAGCCAAGGAGATGCTGATCTTCAGAATAGATTGTTAGCAGCTGCCAAACAGCTTGCAGATGCCACTGCAAAGATGGTAGAGGCTGCAAAGCAGTGTGCTTCTCATCCTAATGATGAAAGGAGGCAATTAATGCTTAGGGAAGCTGCAGAGAATGTGAGAGTTGCAACCAATGCTGCTGCAGCAAATGCATTGAAGAAGAAGATTATTAAACGCCTAGAAAATGCTGCTAAGCATGCTGCTGCTACAGGCACCCAGTGTATGGCTGCTGCCCAAGGAGCTGGTCCACACAACACCAGTCCACCCACTCAAGATGAGCTGATATCTGACTGTAAGTCAGTAGCAGATGTTATTCCACGACTAGTAGAAGGTGTGAAGGGTACTATCAATAACCCAGATTCCCCACGTTCTCAGCTGGCCCTCATTAACTCATGCAATCAGTTCCTGCAGCCTGGTACAAAAATGGTAGCCTCTGTAAAAGCTGCTTTGCCCACTGTCTCAGACCAATCTTCTGCCCTGCAACTGAACAATTCTTCTAAACAATTTGGTCAAGCCCTGGTTGACCTTAGATCTGCTATTGGAAAAGCCCAGGAAGCTTGCGGATCATTAGAAATTGACTCGGCATTAGATGCCATTCAAGGTCTCAGTGATGATCTTAGTGACCTTAGGAACGCTGCAGAAACAGGTACTTTGCGACCTTTACCTGGAGAGACTCCAGAGAATGCTGCACAACAACTTACCAACTCCAGCAAAAGTGTAGGTTCCACCATGGCTCAGTTACTGACATCATCATCTCAGGGTAATCAACATTTTACAGGATTGGCTTCCCGTGATACTGCATTAGCCCTCAAAGACTTTTCTTATGCTGTTCGAGGTGTTGTTGCTACATCTGTTGATCATAATCTGAGAGATCGCTTGATCGAAGCTGCACGTGAAGTAATGATCAAGTCATCAGAACTAATAGAAGAAGCCCGTATAGTGGTGCAGGGTCCTCAGAGTGTTGCATCACAGCAGAAGCTCGCTCAAGTAGCTAAAGGAGTATCCCAGGCTCTTAATATGACAGTCAATTGCTTACCTGGCCAGAAGGATGTTGATGATGCTATAATGAACATTACAGACTCGACCAATGATCTAAATGCTGGCAGGTTCCCACGAGGTTCCAGGCCATATGGTGAGCTACAGTCTGAATTAAGCAATGCTGCTGCTGAACTCAACAGTGTTACATCTGAAGTAGTGACATCAGCTCGTATGTCTACACAACATTTGGCCACATCATCGAAGAAGTTCTCTGGGGCATTCGGCAGTCTGATGGGCGTTGGTATGGAGATGGCTGGTACTACCCAAGATTGTGAAGTGCAAGGACAGATAGTTGTTAGTCTCAAGAGTGTTTCTATGTCCTCATCTAAATTATTAGTGTCTGCTAAAGCAGTTTCTGCAGACCCTAATGCACCCAATGCCAAGAATCAGCTAGCAAGTGCTGCTCGTGCTGTTACAGACTCTATCAACAACCTAATCAATGTTTGTACTTCTGCTGCTCCAGGCCAGAAAGAATGTGATAATGCTGTCCGTGCTATTCATTCGATGAAGCCACTTCTTGATCATCCTACTGAGGCTGTCACTGATATGTCATACTTTGAGTGTTTGGATACTGTTATGGATCGCTCAAAGAGTTTAGGAGATGCTATGACTGGTATTGCTAACCATGCTAAGAAATTGGAACATGGCAAATTTGGCTATGCTGTAAAAGATGTGAGCGATGCCATCTGTGGATTGGTTGAAAGTGCTGCTCAAGCTGCATATCTTGTTGGTATATCTGACCCAACAAGTGTTGCTGGACGTCCAGGATTAGTGGATCAGTCTCAGTTTGCCCGTGCAAATCAGGCAATTGTTGCTGCCTGCCAGACACTCATCGATTCTAACAGCAACCAACAGCAGGTCCTCAGTGCAGCAACTATTATTGCTAAGCACACAAGTGCCCTGTGTAACAGCTGTCGTGTTGCCTCTGCTAAGACCAACAATGTTGTGGCCAAACGACATTTTGTGCAGTCTGCAAAGGATGTTGCCAATGCAACTGCTCATTTGGTCAAAGAAATTAAGAGTAAGTATTATTATGTGTTTATATATATATGTATGTATGTATGTATGTATGTATGTATGTATGTATGTATGTATGTATGTATGTATGTATGTATGTATGTATGTATGTATGTATGTATGTATGTATGTATGTATGTATGTATGTACGTACGTACGTACGTACGTACAGGTACTTCCCGACTTCTGACCGACTCGACTTACGTCCACCTGCACTTACGACCTGCCTCAGTCGTACCAAAATGTTGTCAAATTATGTATTTTTGAGTCTCAAAGTCAGTACACAGACAAAATTTTCATCTGTAATTCACTTTAAAATGGCTGGCAAGCTTAAAAGTGAGTGTTTTGTGGTGCTGAGAAGAAAAAGAGACCCAAATTTTCGATTTCCTATGTGTTATTTAAGCATTTCCGACTTACGACCGTTTCGACTTACGACCCGGATGTCGGTCCCTAACCCCGTCGTAAGTCGGGGAGTACCTGTATTGTAATGCAAAAATAGTCAGTAAGCACATATTGAATGGCTTCTGGACAAATGTGGAGGATTGATTCCTATACTGTATCCCATTTTATGGCCAAACCTTGTACATGTACTCTACTAGAAGGCTTGAAAAATCTTCCTTCCTGTTATGCGTTAGTGCGGAAATCTGCCAGGAATTAATAGGATCATATCTTGAAGAACGGGGTGGTTGACCCAGACTGCAAGGTCTGCACTTGCTTTTAATTACATCACATGCTCATTTGACCACCACCTTGTATTGTCTGTGAGGGAGAAGCCTTTGTTCCAAATACTGTACAGGTACTTGTTTAAGTGTTATAATGCTGGTAATAATAGGGGAAGTTTACTAGTCATTTAGATTAGTGTCAGCCACTAATATCAGGTCTTTTGGCTCTAGAGTCTAGACCAATGGCATGACCATATGAGGGAATATCAGGATTAATCCTTAATTTAATATTATTCTTTCTCAGTGTTCTATATTTTATCTCCTGCATTAGAAACACGTAAAGTAAAGTAGTTAAAAAAGAATAAGGTGAAATTCTTACTTGTCCACACATTCCTCTGATGTCATAATTTGCTTGTGTTGTATTAATGTCTTTTGTCTTAGCACTGGACCAAGACTACAGCGATGTAAACCGTGCTCGCTGCAGTGCTGCAACCAGGCCCCTCTTAGAAGCTGTTGAAAATCTTTGTACCTTTGCAAGCTCTCCAGATTTTGCTTCGGTTCCTGCTAAGATTTCCGCCAAAGCTCGTGAGTCACAAGTACCGATCACATCAGCAGGCAAGTCAATCATCACTGGTTCTTGCTCCATGATTGAATCAGCAAAGAGCCTGGCTGTTAACCCTAAGGATCCACCCACTTGGCAGTCTTTGGCAAGTCATAGCAAGAGTGTTTCTGACAGCATTAAGAGTCTTGTGGCATCCATCAGGTAAGATAATGTTAACTCAGATCATTTTAAGGTCTAAGTAAATTTAATATAAGAAATTTATGCTGTAGAAAATGTATATTATAATTTGGTATTAATTTAGTGTTCTGTTTTTGCTACTTTATTATTGAATGTATATGAGGGGATCAGATATGTAAACCTTTGATAGAATGCTTTGTCTGTCAGCTGTAAAAATAGGTTGTTTTGAAAGTCCATTAAATTTTCCTTCTGTTAATTCTCATTTCCAGTTATCTTTCTTTTCATTATATTTTTGTAGTTGATGATGGACCATCCTTCTCTTTCTTTTCATCAACAACCATCTTTCCTTAAACCAAACTCTCAAGCCTCATTCCATTCTCTCTCTTACTGCTACTGTAAATTGGGATCTTATAGGATTTCTCAATAGGGTGAAAGTAGTTCAGTGACATTAAATACCTTTTGGCCAAATATCTTCATACTGTATTTCTCTTTCTAAAACTCTATGTGCCTTTCCTGTTTCCTTTGCCCATATGACAATTGTGTATCTTATTTATTTCTTTATCATTAAATCTGTCTCTGGTTGAAGCCTGATTAAAAAAGTGTGTATACAATTCGCTCTATGGAGTACAGTAGTGTTTTGGGCCTTAGTTATTAGTGGAAACACATCCATGGACTAAGTTAATGTTCATTTCTAGCTCCTTTTCCATTCTTTTTTCCATATTAATGAGATTGCAATACTGTACTGGTGTATGTGATAAAAAGGATTTGAGGTATGCGGGAAATACTCGATAACATATGAGGAAGAACTCCGGAAAAACCTTGAAAGTAACTTAATTAAAATTTTTGCAGGGATAAGGCTCCTGGTCAGAAAGAGTGTGATGAAGCTATTGATAAACTGAACATGAATATAAGAGACCTGGATCAAGCTTCTCTCTGTGTGTTGGACCAAAACCTACAACAGCATAATGAAAACAGCCTTCAGGTATTTCCTTCACTTTATTATTTCTTCCAGTTTTGACCTCAACACAGTGGTTTAAATTGTTTTCATAATTTTGACATATTAAGGTAGAATGAAAACAGTAGAACTAATAAGAGCTCAGTCTATTTACTAGGCACGAAGTGAAGTCCTATAGAACCATATATGGGCATTAAAAAGAGGTCATTCATATTGTTTTTTTTGTCTGAAAGTTTAAAAGTTTATGATAGTCTACATAATTGTAAATAATTAAGCTTTACATCAATTGATTTTAATTTCAGTAAAAAGTTTATAGGCAACATTAACATTTATACACTTGTCATAGTTATGTATATACTAATAATAAAAATATTATTCATACAGGGATACAATGAACAAGTTGAAAATGCCGGTCAAGCACTTCTGAACAATATTGAGAAGGTACGAAATGCTGCCAAGAGTGAAGCAGAAAATCTTGGTCATTCCATTACCCAGATGTCCAGCTACTTCGACCCCATGGTTACAGCTTCCATTTGTTCAGCATCAAATATGCTCAACAGGTAAATTCATTATCACATTATACTTCCATGTCTGTTTACTGCAATTAGATAACTTTTGTACTGGATATAAAATATACAGAACCAATATAATTATATCTTAAATTTTGTAGCAAATTGGATAACACAGAATACATAGAAATACTTTGTTTGTTTCTTATGACCAGCAAACAGCAGATGTGTCTCCTAGACCAGACCAAGACTGTGGCTGAATGTGCTCTGCAATTGGTTTATGCATCCAAAGAGGCTGGGGGTAACCCTAAGGCTAGACATGCTCACCCAGATGTTGATGATGCAGCTGACACAATGAAGGAGACTCTGCAGGTGGGTGTTATCATTAGTAGTATATTTTTTGTTGTACAATTGAAACAAAAATTTGGAAAAAAATTTATAAACTATTTGAGGATAATGTAATTTTCACACCATTTTATAGGAGCTGCTGTCAACTGTGGAGACAATTGCAACAGAGGCTGGTGTTGTCTCAGGATTAGTGGAGTCTATTACTACAGCAATGCACCAGATTGAAAGTCATTCTGTAGTTCCTACAGATGACAGTGACACCTTTGTTGATTATCAGACACGTATGGTCACAGCTGCCAAAGAGATCGCACGACTTGCTCAGGATATGGTAAGCCAGAGATTTATAATTGAAAGTATCTCCAGTGTTAGATCTGTTGAAATTATTGACCCTTGGGAGCACTACCTCAGTGACGAATTATACTTACATGGGCTACAGCAGCATACAGAAATCAGAACAGTCTTCAGAAACTCGCGCACCATTTTGGCAGAAATTTAGAATGCCCAAGTATTTGATTTTTGGATGTTGTAAGAATATGAATATTTCAGACTTAAGGATTTTCTGAAAATTAAACAGTACATTACTAGGTTAAGTGTTGGTACCTAAAGTTTGCACATATTGGGATTTTTGGTAATATATATTTTATTAATTATTTTTTTTGTTTGTGTGTGTTGGAGATTTGTAGAAATTGTATTCAATATTGAATATTTAATGGACTGAATTATTAATTTTTCTGGAAATTTTAGGGATGAAGGTCACTGTTGCCTAAAGTATGAATGAAAAGAGATATAGTGGCATGCATTAAATTATCACTGTCCATTTAATTAAAGGTGTTGTGAATGGTTTACCAGTATACAGCACTGTAATATTCTTTCAGGTGGGCAAGGCCACAGCTGATGCTTCACAACTCGGAAATCTGGGAGCTAGTGTGTCTCACCAGTACGGTTCTCTCACCTGTGACTCAGTTGGGGCCATCCGACAGACCACAAATGTTGAAGTAGCAAGCCGACTGCGCACCAGGTCAGCATTTCAATAGTAATCTTAGTTATGTGTATTGCACATTGGGACCAGAATTCTCTATTTCCTCTTCTTTTGGGTTTGCTTTATTGGGTCTTGAATATACTTTATGCAATCCAAAGGCATCCCTTCCTTTTGTAGCTTAATGTTGGCCTTCTAGGGTTTCATCTCCCCAACTGGTTCAGTTTTTCCCAAATCCTGTCCCACTTCCCTCATTGGTTTTAAGTGAGAGAGTGAGGGAGGATGTGTTCATGTACTCTGGTCTTCAGTTCTCAAGTTTGTTTTGATCTTTTTGGTGCTGTTTTTATGTTCTGTAATTATGAAGATGTTTGGATCTGAACTTTGAGTTTTTTGGAATTCATTGTGAGGAATATATAATACTGTACAGTATATCAATCTAGTTGCACTCATTGAACACAGGATCTGTGTGGTGATGTGTCATAGTTGAATGTTCTATATGTGACTCAGGCCTCATAAGTCTTTCCCACTGTGAAGGATCTAAGTGTTGACTGTTTTAGTAACTGTTACTGGCCCAGCACCTCAGGAATGCTGGTGGAGGAGCAACTGCCGCATGATAAAAAAAATAGCTTGTCCTGTCTGAAATTTAGGACCAGTTGTAAAAAATAAAAATAAAAATTGGCAGTAAAGGAGAGAGAAGTAGTGATTCAGATATGCATTTTGTAAAATATAAGTACAGTACTGTATAGAACAGGAGTATTCACAACAATTTTTAAGCTCTGATGAAGACAGAGACATCAAAGCTTTTCTTTGTATTTCCAAGATAAAAATTTGTTTAGTGGTGGTGATGAGAGGAGCTTAACAGTTACTTTAGTGACATAGTTCATACATAGAGTTCATTGTTAGTTTTCAGCTTCTGCTCAGTCTTGTCATAAGAAGTATGGAAGGTGCTGAGCTTGTTAATGCTACAACAAAACACCACCTCATGTAAACTAGGGTAGTGCCGCCTTGTTTGGCCAGTTCTATCGTCCAGATTATAATCTCATAAGGGTTTCATAGGCTACCTGATGCTTTTATTTATGTGTGGCTAAGTACATGGCATATTTGTGAGCTAGGAAGGATACAAACTGTCGTATGAGATCAAACACCTTCATTAATCAAGGCTTTATTCAACTCATAAATCCATATACATCTGCAACAGAACAAAACAAAACCCAATTAGAACAAGAGAATATCTAGAGTAAAGGTAAACACAAACATAATTTATTCCATAATATGACACAAATCACATTGCATAAAGTTTTCACAGAATAGTTGCATCATCAAAGAGGGTAATGGTAGAAGAAAAAAAAATCAGTCATAACAATATTTGCATTTTAAATATAATTTGCTAAGAATATTGTATCAATCTTTTCTCTCCTGTGTAATATTCATACAGCTGTAGGTGGATCACTTTCTTTAGAATATATAAATGCTATTATCATTTTATCTTAACGGAAATGAAGGTGAATCTTTGATTTCAGTGTGCATGAACTTGGTCAGGCAACTATTGAGCTAGTAAAGGCTGGAGGATCTTGCCAGGCTGCTTCACGTGACACCTTCAGTCAGCGAGACTTGGCTGAATCTGCTCGTCATGTTAAAGAGAAGGTTTGTTGAAGTACTGGATTGAAGTTGTTTAACTGTAAAAATTTTATTAGTTGTAGTGCAACACCAACATGTCTTGAGTTACTGTTATTGATTTTTTTTTTATAAATATCATTCATTCAAATTTCTCCATCTTAATCATTTTCAATGTTTAAAATTTCTAGGCTTCACATGTCTTGGCTGCACTCCAAGCTGGGTCCCGAGGGACTCAAGCGTGCATCAATGCTGCCTCCACTGTGTCTGGCATCATTGGTGATCTAGATACTACTATTATGTTTGCCACTGCCGGTACACTTAATGCTGAGAAAGAAGGAGAAAACTTCTCAGATCATCGTGAATACATTCTGAAAACTGCAAAGGTAATTGGAAGAACTTTCACATTAATTCATATTTATTCACTTTGGTCATTTACCCCTTTTTAACTTGGCAGAGGTTAGCATGTGAGATCAGAATCATACCTGCCACACTGTGTGCCAAGTAAGTACTGTATGAGAAGTGGGTGTGATGAAAATTATAGTGATACCTAAATGAGTTTAGAGGAATACAGACCTTAAATATTACTTTTTTCACTGATTGAGATATGATGATATCACTTGAGAGTTAATATGTATCTATAATATACAGTATGTACTTTTTATCAGAACCTGTAATGTACTCCGGTAAATCAATGTAAAAAAATTCACCCCTGGGTTAAGTCTCATGTTTACTTTCAATAAGTCTGCTTATAATCACCACTGGGAGATTGTCCCTTTTCTGTGTGGGTGGGGGAGGTTATTCCCTTCAATCACCAAACATTTTTAGGAAGTTGGCAACTTTTCATGAACTGCTTCCTAGGTTAATCTCTATTAGCTTTGTAGGACTTGGTTTCCCCTTTCTTTGTAGTAAGTCATATTGTAAATTGAAAACCTTTTATTCAACTTTCAAACAAATGTTGGATCCAGAGATATGATATTACCCTCTGATGAGAATTAGAACAGGAACTTCCTGAGGGAGGAAATGAGTTCTCTTGTTTCTCTTCCTTCTCTCTTGGGTGGGATTCAAAATTAACAGAAACTGAGGAAAATGGAAGCATGAAACATTAGTTATAGCTGAATGGGTTTGGAATGTACAAAGTCCTGTAGAGTTCCCAAAGCTTCATGTGGGCTTTCAAAGGAACCACTAGGATAGGTGCTTGTAGGAGTGATTCAACTATGGTTTCACAGGGCAAGGATTAGGTGCATTCTCTGTCTGGATAAATATCATGGTGTTAGATGTGTGAGAGTTCTGTGGGCGATGGAAGGTTCTGCCAGGAGGTGTCTTACGATATAGATTTCACAAGATACTCATTTCTTCCTTCTGTATAATGGGATATCATGCTTCAGTCCTCCATTTTTATTCATTAGTATTAAAGAAACATACTGTATTTTCAAATTCACAAAAGAGTTAGAACGTTGTTTCTTCATGAAGTCATCTTGCACATTCCACATTTTTTGCATTCATTGGTTTTTCTTCCATGAATTCAACTAATAACTTTACTTGTCAACTTGCCCACCAATAAAGAAATAAATCCTAAATATACTTTATATCACAGGCACTAGTTGAAGACACCAAGACACTCGTGGCTGGTGCAGCATCTTCCCAAGAACAGCTCGCAGTTGCTGCTCAGAATGCAGTCAGTACTATAGTCCAGCTCTCAGATATTGTCAAAAGTGGAGCCTCTTCATTAGGAGCTAACAACACAGAACCACAAGTAAGAAAGAAATAAAAAAAGTTCAGTAAGAAAACCGTAAATAGATACTCCAGCATTAAAAGCGTCATTATTTACTTTATAATTCTTGAGTATCTCACAAAATATTTAAAAAAGTAATAGGCCAACCTCACTACAAAAGGGTAATTATAATTTATTACAGGTGGTCTAATATCAAGGTCACTGCCAGAATAAGGGACTAACTTTTAGTCAAGGTCACTGTGAAAGGTCCAAACAGCATTGTTAAGAGCCAGAATAATGTACTGTATTAAGAGTGTAAACATAGGAAGAAAAGGTAAAAATTGGCAGATTCATTTTTTATATCTATTTTCATCACATTTCTGTAAGTTTATCGTCTTCATTTATTATTTTGGTAAATTATTTTCTGTTTCTAAGTACAGTAGGTTCTCAAATTTTGCGAGTTTTAAATTCGACGTTTTTTATTTGGACACAAAAAAAAAACTACACAATTTCAAATTTCGATGGCGGAAACTCGATTTTCGATGGGTTTAAGCGGCCCGCCAACATTCAGACGTGCACAATCGTGTAAACAGCATCATTTCTCTTATGTACAAAAGGTTCATTATTGTTTATTATTGAATGTCTTTTTGATTGAATTAATGTTTATGTGTGCAAAATGAACAATACAATTCATTAATAATACGTAGAATATTAAAACACACGAGGAGACGAGATGGCATTGTTTTCGTTAATGTTTACAAAACCAGTGACTGGTTCTACAAATAAAACTGAAGAAAGTAATAACCTGGTTGTAGCTGTAGTAAAATTAATGTAAAAAAATAATATGGTTGTTTTAAGTAATGTTAATAAATGGAACAATAGAATGAGCTAACCATTATTGGCAAAGAAAAAAGTGAGACTGCGCTTATGTAAGTGCGCACATCTGAAAACATATCTTCATTACTCTACATAAGAATATGAAAGCAACACTTATTTACTGTTCAAATATGTTTTAATTAATGTTTCTGAATTTAAAACAAAAATTCTACTCACCAGTTGTGGTAAAGTTGAAAACATAAGGACCGCCAATGTTGTTGTGTTTGTTTTTATTCGGATGAAGAAGTTGCCAAGTCATCATTCAACTCTAGCTGAAGCTGTAGAACATAAGAACTTTTTCTGTGTTGTTTTTAGTTTTTATTTAACTTTATCTGTGATATTTTTGTTGGTTTATTAGGATGTTGCTTTATTACAGGTAGTAATTCGCCAAAAAAGTAGGGTAAATAAGGCAAAATTTAGCCTTACATCGAAAGTACCAGACTCAAATTAATTTTCTCCGTAGGAAGTTGTATTTAAATTTGGACGATTTGAATTTTCAGAGGTTTTTACAGTCTAAATAGGTGTCCAAATATGAGAGCCTACTGTACAGTAATAACAAATAATATGTGTAAATTTGGGGGAAGAAATTCCACTATACAGTTATGCACTACTAAATATTTACAAATAAAACACAATGCACCAATGAGCACTGTAACATATCTCACCGTCTACATCATTGAGAGAGGCTGTCTCAGTCTTGTAAGGTACCAGTTTGGTGATGAGGTGGTGGACTTCTCAGTGTACCCAGAATGTTAGTTTTTATTTTGATTTACTTGGTCCTTTTCTCATCTATTCAATACTACAATAATATGCAGAACTTGAAACCTTTATTTTAATTCAGTCTCCTACTCATAGCATCTAACGTGAAATAATAATAGACGAGATGATATGGATAACTTTTGAAGATTGACTCCCTGCTATACAAATATCAGGAAAAGCAAAGTCTTTGTCATTTTTATTTTGTGTAAGGAAATATAATATTGTATTCCATCCTGCAGGTGATGTTGTTGAATGCAGTCAAAGATGTCGCAATGGCTCTTGGGGATTTGATTCATGCCACCAAAGCTGCTTCAGGCAAATCTCTCAATGATCCTGCAATGACTACACTGAAGGAATCTGCCAAGGTAGGATCTTGTAGTTTAATTATAATGTTAAAGCTTCCAGTCTGTGATATGTCTTTAAAATGTAGGACATAAAACAAAACAAAATTAGAGGGAAAAGAAAAAAGGTAACCACAAGGAATTGCTGAATTTTCTATCAACAACTCAGGCAGTTCCTTCCTAAAGCCATTATTACCGAGTTGAATAATGGTATCATTGTCAGAACTTTTGTGGCTCTTGTAGGAAGTTCAGAAGGACTATGTTGACAGAAGGAACCTGAGATCAAGTTTTATATTTTACTAAGACAAAGGTAACCATACAATGCCCCCTGAAATCACCCTATGTCATACACACCTAAGGTAAACGGTTAAGAACTGTGATGGTTAGTTGGCTGTATCCATATACTGAAGGTTACTTAATAATATGTCTCTTTTTGGTGTTCATTTTTTTCTTTAGTTTTTACCAAAACTAGACCCCAAAAAACAATGCGATTTTTTTCAATAAGTCAATGGTAAAATAGGATTAAATTTAATGTTGTATTGCATAATGTCATGTTTGCCAGGAATACATCCCCAATATTGAAGACTTACTGTCTTGATATACAGTGTGTTATCAAAGGCCATCAGATCACTGAGTTATATTCTATACTGTACTAACTAGGCACCAGACATTGCTTGGGTTTTTGACAAAGTTAGCATAAGCATACCAAATTTTACCATGGCCAACCTCCTAGATTGCACCTTTAATTACATAACCATGCCAAAAACAAAGACACAAACATACTTGAATTAAAGGGGCAACTCGTAGCCTATGTCCGTCTTAGGCCAAAATTAAGTACACATGCAAAAAATGTCCACACCAAATTTAAGCTCTTGTGTTAAAAACTTTGGTCATGGGGAGACTGACCCCCATTTTAGATGTTTGTGAGCATTCTCAGGGCTGTTTACCTAAGCATACCAAATTTCAGCTTCAGCTACCAGTCTTAAAAACTATTTGTGCATAGTAAAGAAACAGAAAACTGGAAGTGCTTTTAATGAGGCAGTTCCATCATTATGGTGGGGGGCAACTCCCCAAAATTCCAGTCATGACACTTCTGAGGCAGCTACGATTCTCAAAAGTTTATACAATAAATATTCCTTATAACTGAAGGTGTAAGAATACGCTTAACAGGTTGACTTCAGCTAAAACACAAAAACATCCAAATGATTTTGTCTGGTGTTAAGTGAAAATGTCTGACTGTGAACCAAATGGTACTAGCACCCATGTTGGGCTTCCCGTACAGTATTTGTTCCTCTGTTTTTCAATTGTTTTTAGAGTTACCTAAATGTTTTTTAATGGTTTTCAGGTTATATTATGAATGTTTTAATATACTGTATAGTGAGGTTTGTAAATCATTGGGCTGGGTAAGGTGTTTTTTTTTCTTCATTCCTAAGTGCTTGTACAGGTGGTGTCTGGCAGGTCAGTAGGGGATGTTGACAGTGAGGGAAGTGTTATCATACTTTAATGAAGTACTGTACATCTATGAAGTATTTAATAATCTTTATTTCATTCTCTTCACCTAGAGGAAAGAGTTATATCACTGCTTCTCTAAACTTAGGTTTATCAAGGGAGCACAAAGTTTTAGTTATTTTAGGCAGGGGACCAAACTTATTAAAATTGTTGAATTAATACAAGTGAAAGTTTTCAAAACTTTCAATACTGAAAATTTAAAGACAATTTACAGTATTTTCCCCTTAAAAGTAAGTTGTTAAATCCAGTACTGAGTGTGTATACCAACATCCCATATTAAGCTTTGAAAGAAGAGTTACAACCTCTATATCATTCAGGAATTAATATGATATATTTAATAGTCTTAAACTTTTTATTGTGTTTTTCTTTCTCTCTCTCACTGAGCATATTCATGTGTACTGAACAATGTAGCAAAATCATTACAATAATACATTGACAAGCAATTCTGTTTGAGATATCATTGTATTGATCCCTTTTAATATCTAATATCTTAGCACTTAGAGTGACTAAAAATCTTTAACATGACGGCACTGCATGCTACCTGGGAGGGTGGACTTTTTGAGGTTTTTATGTGGGTTTAATGATTGCCTGGCCTGTTGCGCACGTTCTGTGGTTTCCCGAGTACATTGTTTGCATTTTCCTACCCTAACATTTACTCTCGATGAATATAATTGCGGCAGAGAACCAAGATATGAAAGGTTATCAAAGTCCACCTACTCCCAGGAGAATGGGGTGTCTGGTCATTGAGGGATATTACACAATAATGCTCTATATTTAGGATTTGGTTGATAAAGTGTGTTTTATATAAATAACTGAGAACTGTTAAATATGGATTTCTCCATTATACTAAATAAGATATTGTATAGTCTTGATGAAGGCATTGGCTTTCAAAGTCAAGACGCTAAACACAAATCTGGGTTCTCTGCCGAGCAGGGTTGGTCCGACTACTATGAGTCGGATCGGGAGTGGCTCATGTCAGATCAGGAGGAGGAATTGATCCGTCTACTCTCCGTAGAACACATCCCCGATAACCGTCATCTGACCAGTGATATTTTGATTGAGACCGTTTAATGTAGATCTGTGATTTATATATTTTTATGTAGGGATTAAAAAAAATTTATTAGGAGTTATATGTGTAAAAAGGTTATTCATAACACTACTTCTCGTAACACCACGGATACAGTCCATGTTAAGTGGAATTTATTGTATGTTTTCAGAAGTATATTGTGATCCATGTAAATGTTTTAAGAGCAAATGCTTATTTTCTCAATTTAATGGAAGGATAAGTATAAATGTATTATCTGATAGTGTTCCAAGCTTTTGAGAATTAATGTAGGTGAGTTAGTGTCAGATATGAAGTTGTTTCTTGAAGCATTATACAGTATTTGGTTGGTTCTTCTTCAGTATTGAGGTTATGCATCAGAGTATTGAACCTATGCCAGGAATGTTGCCAATAGTGAGGCATACATATGCCAGTATCAGCATCTTACCTTAGTATTTCACCTTTTTCCTGTTGATGTTGAATATTAAATTTAAAGTTAAAATTTGTTGTAGCTACAGTATTTCATATAGGAAATATGGGTGATACGAAATCATTTTATTTTAACATTAATGAACGATATCAAGATATACATTAATTTTCATTTGTTTAACGTTGCCTTGGGAGCAGCTTCTTTGAATCTTACTATAATACTGAGAAGTTGTTATGAAATTTCACAGCAGATCTCAAGTAATAGAGTTTACTGTTAATTTTGCTGTGTCAGAGCTTATCTTTATTTCATAAATATATTTTAAGACATTGACTACCTGTCAGATATCCCCACTACCCTCCCACTGTCATTTTTTATTTAATGATTGTTATATCTCTGTTGTGCTGTGATCATATACTACTGTTTACATTTTTCTCTAGATCTTGTGTTAATTCCAATAAAATTATTATACATAATTTTTGAAGAGTCTAAACAAATCCCTTTCTTACGATATTGATCTTGTGGGAACAATTGTAACCAAGGTAGAGGACCGTTTTGGAAATTATACAGAAAATTATCAAACTAATGAGAAAGGGGCTGTGTTTACCGTAAACAAGATGATTAATAGAATTTGGTTATTTTTACTCCTGCAAACTGTGTGAATTATATTTGAATACACAATGCAGCTTCTCAAAAAATATTAATGATCTGTACTTTAAATTCCAGATATCTTTGCATATACTGTACTGAGTTGTTGAAATTTAACTATATTATCTGATAATTAAATACAATTTGCAGTGGATGGTTTTATATAATATATAATACATACTACTGTACATTACAGTAATTTTGAGACATTTCTCTAGCATAAAGTTTGACAGAATATTCTGCTACCCAGTACATATTGAGCTAGTTTGCACTTGCAGCTAAAATTACATGTTTCTCATTAAGTGATCCTCACACACACATATGCATGCATGCACATACATATGTGAGCATGCACACACACGTACACACACACATGCACGATGCATGCACATATACATGCACACACACACACACACACGCAGAAGCCATATTTTGAAAATTAAAATGTAATATTGTCTAGTCATCATTTAATAATAGATAGCTAAATATCACTGGTCATGATGGTAAGAGGAAGGTGAGCTGGGAACCTTGAGATGAACGTGCCACTAACTTTTTTTTTTAATTTTTGTCACTAGTTTTAAACAAATTCCCTCCTACCCCAAGAAAGCTGTTTTTTTTTTTTTTTGTCTTGTTTGGGAAACTAATGGCATGGTTTTTTAATAATTACCATAGTAGTTTAATATATGTATCTAATACTGGTGTTTTTCCAAGCTATACCATACTCGCAGATTTTTTGTCATCAGATGGTATAAGTTGATATTCATTACACTGAAAACAGTCCAGAGCACACTGAAAAATGTCTTTGCTATACTCAAATTAATTTCAGTAATAAATGAAATACAGTAATCTCCCTCTTAGCTGGATTAATTGGTGCAGAGTGGTTCGGGGTTTGAGAAATATCCAGACATTGAGACGAATTTTCTTATCCCTGAAAAAAATTGCATATAGTATATGGATTTTTTCCGACACTGAATGTTTCCACATCGGACTGCAGTAGGACAGACACAGAGCTGTATTTACTTATACAAACACTAATGTATACACTCTACTGTACTCACCAGCAGATGCTGTCATCTTGAGCTTGTAATGCAAGCAGGCCAAATATTGGTATGGTGATATAGGATGGCCTGCCTTTGTCCTGTACCATCTACTGCCACAGGTGTTAATTATATACTATACATACACCCTCTACACACTAGCCTACAGTAGGTATACACTGTTCACTCTGCCATGTACAGTACTGTACATATGGTATTTTCACATTTACTGAATGTACAGTACAGTAGACATAACTGTAATGATATTTTACGTCTTAACAATGCTAACCCACTCACATGCTCAGCACATGATGCAATCTCTCGGAAGTTTGTTCAGATGCCTGGAGCTGAGAGATTTTTCTCAGAAATTTTCAGAGCGCTAAAAAAAAAGGAAAGACTATCCAAGTATTGGAAATTTCCAGGGATTGAAGATTCCGGCTGACAGGGAGATTACTATATTGCTTGTGTATTAGCTGTATTTAGAGTTTGTATCTAATAGTGTTAAATTACCATATGTCAACTCACATTCTGATATATTTTCTAATGATTGATCAGGTATTAGTTTTAAGTCCTTGCAGTTTGTCATCAGTGAGGTATATAGTGCTGTACACTCTTATGCTCTTCTAATAGATTTTCTGGTGCTGAATTATTTAAGTACAGTATTGTTGAACAACATGTTCAACACACAAACAAAGTTCTCTTTTTGAAGTGATGGCACAACTGTTCTAGTTATTGTGCGTGAATTAACAACTATTGTGGATGTTTCGTACACTGTTAATGGGACTTTTATTTATGGAAAATTATTTTTATGAAATCTAATGTGAAAATACCATCTCAGGACAATGGAATGTTATTGCAAATATGTTAAAATGTTTGAAGCTTTTAATATTTACTCAGTAATAACAAAGTATGTGCTCTTATGACATCTAAACCAACATGATGAATTTTGCAGCAAATGCTTTGAGTGTTACTGTTAGGCCTTTGCCTCTGTCATGTGTAAAGATGGGCTGTGACTCAAGTGTTTGGAGGAGGGTCAGTCTGAGTCATCCTGTAAGAGTCAACTCATCACATACACATAGACTAATATAGTGTTAACCTTATACAGTATCACAACCCTAAAGTTTGTTCCTTGTGTGATTAAGAAAATTGGCATTTATGAATTCCAAGGCACTTGTGCTGAATTATGCAAGTCATTGAGTACAGTATTGAATACAGTAATGTGCTGTGTTTTTTTATGTAGTATATATTTTTTAAATTACTGCTGGGAATAATGGGTAGGGCTTTGTATTACCATCAGACATGTTGAAATTCTTTATCAATACATAATTGTTGTATTATCTTTTAAAACTTTACAGTTACTAATTGTACAGTAGAATCCCAGCTATCCGGTTTCCAGGCAACCAGTAGATTCAACTAACCGGCACCAAAATTAAATAATAATAAAAACAGAATTCCTCCAAAATCAGCTAGAATCGTTTGTTTGAATACCGTGCACAATGGGGATGAGCTGCCATATTTATTGCTATGATAAACAATAAAATTAATACATAGCATATCATAAAATACAATAGCACATATTTTATGTAAAAAAATTAGCTCCTTCCACACTCAGACCATCCACTGAGCAATGCGACGCAGTTCAGGCAATCAACTCAGATGTATGGCAGCTGCAATAGCTTTGTGTGTATGCTGTGGCATCACATCGGGAGGGAGCACAGCCATGCACTTATAGCTCAGTAACCCACTGCATCATAACACATTTATTTCCCACACTTGCTCTTAATTTTTCTTATTTTATAGTTTTATATTATATTTTATTTATTTCTAAGCCACATTAGAGTATTGTAATGATTTTTCGTCGTTTTTTATAGTTTCATTGCACGTAATAATAAACACGGCAGCTGAGCTGACGAGTTGGAGACGTAGTTATAGCCCACCACCTCCACACACACACACACCCATGCTCTTCAATTTTCTTATTTTATAGTTTTATATTACATTTTCTTTATTTCTAAACCACATCTTTTATATAGAGTGGAATAATTGTTAAAGAAGTCCATTTTTCTGAGATACAAATTTGCAAGGTCGGCCTAAATCACTGTGCACTGTAGGATTTATTGTGGAATTCTAAGAGTGAGTTTCAACTAACCGGAAAAGCTCTACATCCGGCATCTCTCAATCCCCGTAGGTACCGGATAACTGGGATTCTACTGTATTATGGTTGATTAAAGAATTTTGCCTAGAGAAGGTATTTCTAAATGTTGAGAGGCTTTCTCTCCACATATGGCAACAGGATGTGCATCTTGATGTGCCTCTCCATTGTCATTTTAGCTTGACACTACAATACTGTGTTTTCATCCACCACATTACCTGATGTAAGATTTAACAGGGAAGCAAAAGGAGTCTTGTAATTATATGCCGTAATGTTCTTTACACGTGAAGGTTTGTTTTTTAGATTTGTTACCAGAAACATTTACCATTTGAAATTATTTGTGTTTTGTTTTGTCTGTATTTTTTTGTGCTGTAGTTACAGTATTCAGATATTTGTCTATATTTCAGCTGTGAAATCTCTTGCATTGCAGAAATTATGCAACTACTATTAGTTAATATTTAAAGTAAAATGTCAGTACAATTAATCTGAAACAGTATATCCTAAAAATCTTTAAAGTTGTTTAATTTTATATTTGTGTACTGATTATGTCTTCTTAATAACAGGTTATGGTGACCAATGTAACATCACTCCTAAAGACAGTGAAGGCCGTGGAAGATGAACACACACGGGGGACAAGAGCTCTGGAGGCTACAATTGAGGCCATTGCACAAGAAATTAGGGTAAGTTAAATTTTATTATTTATTTATTTATTTTTATTTTTTTGCTGTTTCAGTGACTTTACCTATAGTTTACATGTAACATTGGCTAGACACACAAATTCTCTCTGTGGTTGATAAGAGTTAATATAATTACAGGCCTTTGATTCTGATGAAGCCCCCAAGACCAAGGCAACCCCTGAAGATTTAGTTCGATGCACCAAGCCCATAACACATGCTACTGCCAAAGCTGTTGGTGCTGGCAATAGCCTCAAGCAAGAAGATGTCATTGTAGCTGCCAACATGGGCCGCAAGGGCATCTCAGACATGCTTACCACATGCAAGGTATGTGTCCAATACTTACTTGCATTAAGTCAGTTATTTAGCTCATCTGCACAAATTACAAAAGAGCTTCAGCTTTACTTCAGGCACAATTCTTCATTATTGTTGTTATCACTTTTGTTAACAAATGTTAAGTTCATATCATTAAGTTAATAGTTCAGTAATTCAGCTCAACACCATCTCCAGATTTGAGGGATATGACCATCTAATGTTGCTAATCATCTTCCTTAACTCACTGTGATATATACCTTAAGAGAAACTATAGATCATGTGAAGTTTTATGACTAATTCTGCTTTTACACTAATGCAATATGATAAAGCCTCAGTCACCAGACTTTATATTCTAATGATACTGAATTACCTCCCTGCAGACTAAGGTAATAGTATGACTTTTTTAAATACTCTAGGTGGTGTTATGTCTTATGTCCGACCCTGGTTCTATGTTCACGCAATGTGCCAGTCACTGTACTTGATGTGTATATTCATTTAAATAACACTGTAGTCTACTACAGGCACCAGACTTCATGAATATCATTGTTTAATTATTCGTAGTTATTTGTATATCTGCTTTGTTGATTTTGTATAACCTTTTGATAAGGTGAAGCACAATAAACTTATAAGAGATCTTTGAAAATATAGGCATTAATGAAGGATATATTAAAATTCTAATGAATCTTTACTGGCAACAGGAGGCTGCAGTGTTAATAAATAATGAACTTATTAATTGGTTCATAGTTTGAAAGTAAGACATGACTGTGTTCTATCTCCAACATTGTATAATATATATTAAGAATTCTTAATGAGAGAAGTTATAAGTGATAATGAAGGAATAAAAGTCAATGGTAAAATAATATCAAATATATGCTGTGCAGATGATCTGGTGAAGAGGCATTACAAAAAAATCATTAATAGATCAATGGAAAAAGGTGAAAAATATGGTTTAAGAATTAATGCTGTAAAGACTAAAATAATGGTTGCTTTCAAATTGGAAATAAATCCAAAATAAAAGTTATGGGAGGCAACAGGGAACTTAAACAAGGGAAAAGTTTTGTGTATTTGAGAAGTAACATTAACCGTGACGCTAGATGTGTGGAAGAAATCATAAGAATAGATCAAGCTAAAACAGCATTTAATAATCTAAAAGATTTAATGAAAACGGACATTAACTTCAATTTGAGAAGAAGGTTGTTGGAAGGCTTTAAGGGCAAGGACTGATGTATGGGTCAGAAGCGTGGACACTTTTAGCAGACACCAGAAAGAGGTTGGAGGCCTTTGAAATGTGGTGTTATAGGAGAATGCTAAGACTAAGCTACACTGACAGGAAAACAAATGAAGTACTGTACTAAGATTAGCAAAAACTTCAAGGGAAATACTTGAAATGTAGAGAATAAGAAAAATGAGATACAGTCCATTGTATTGATGTATCGGTACTGTATACTGTACTGTATCATATCAAGTATAGTATGATAATGAGGTCTTACTGTACAGTGATTTCTGAACATTATTTCAGTGATTGTTCTTAATCTAGATAATTTTAATTTGGTTACTTCCTATGATTCGATCTTGAAATTATAAAATATAATTTGTCTTGAAGAAAGGTGTGCAAGAATTTCTTCTCTCTACTAATACCCCCTCACATAACTGATGTCCTCAGACTTGTCATCACATCTCATTTGGTTTTTTCAGCATCTTATATTTTTATTTATTTATTGTAAAGAAGTGGTTACTGGTTATGGTTTTCTTGATTTTTTATATTAAATTAAGTCATTACTATCAAACATGAACTGTGTAAACCTTGTAGGCATCACTGGGAGTTTATATTCTTCAATAAATTTTTTAATAAATTTTTTCATTTCAGACTTGACATCTCCGTGTGTCAAATAGTAAATTATTTTTCCTCAGGATTTGTTCTTTAAAATGGGTTAAGGTGTACTCCATTACTTTGGAGGAGAGAAAATGGTTTCTGTTCTAAAACAGGAATTCCTTTTATTCTGCAGGCTGCAGCATGGTGTGGTGAAACCATTGAGCTTCGCTCAAAGGTGATGACCGCTGGACATGATTTGGCTGTGCAGTATCGGGAACTTCTCCAGATGGTGATGCATCTTCTACACAAACCAAGTCCTGAGGCCCGGAATGCTCTGAGCACAGTGTCTCGCAAGATTGCCCAATGTGTCACAGACTTGGTGGCTACAACTGAACCATTGAAGGGTGAGCTAAGAAATTTAAATATAGTAATGGGTGGCTTGTTAGATGGTATGAATATTTATATTTGGTTTGATATGGCCTGCTGTTTGCTGTTGGCTTTGTCCCAGTTGGTTTTAAAGTCACCTAGGGATAAGAATATCAAGAGATTAGCTAAGTTAGAGTTGGATAGCTTGCCTGTGTAAGGGAAGAAGTAAACATTGTAATGGTGAATGGGGTTTTGGGTTCTACAGGTATGCCACATAAAATTTATGAGCTGATAAAACAATTGTTTCATGCATGATGTTTGGCATCGGTTGAATTGCATGGTTTAAAAATAATATACCTGTATTAAAGTTTGCACTCTTGGAGGGTTTGTTTTGTAGTAAAAACATATTACTCAAGTCAAGAAAATTAAATTCGTTTCCCTAGAATTTACTCTGTCTAATAAGGATGAGATATAAGTGGAGTATGGCAGGAGGTCATCTTGTGTACAGCAGGCAACAACACAATCACCTCTATCAGAATATCCTGGGGCTGGGGTTGTACACTCGGTAAAAACACTACCGTACAGGTGGGGTCCGATGATTTTCCAACTGAATATTCCCGTTGTCTCGCGAGGGTTGGCAGGCCTGAATGCGAGACATTTCGTACTTAATTTGGTAGGCCGAAATTAGCTATTTCCTGGACAATATTGAATTACTGTGTTACAATATGATTGGAGAATGTCAGTACAGTATATCTAGATTAGTTAAACTGTATGTTATATTAAATGTTCCACACACCGTGGACTACAGTAAACATGGAAGTGGATGAGTTGTCATATAGGAATGCATTATATGTTTGGCAGAATTAGTGGATAGAGTAAAGGTATAAGATTATTTTACAACCGAATTTTGAATCTGTATTTGTATTGCTACTTCACTTTGGGCTGATGCCACATTATGTTATTCTTTATTCGCATTGGAAAATATACCACGCTGTTCCGAAACATTTGAATAGCTCCATAGTTCATATAACATACACATTCTTTATGTTAGATCATAGGAAATGTTGGTAGCACTAATTACGTAAATCACAATATTAGGCTGCTACAACACCACTCACAATGTGTATTCCACATGGAGAAATGAGGCATAGAGTTCCGATCAAGTTTCAGATTGTGTTAGTGTGGCAGCACTAACTCTGACTCGTTTCAGAGTGCCGATCACTTGTTTCGAGCACGTGTGGCCGAACTCATACACACTCAGGGCTACCAATGTGAGGAATGCCTCAGGGGCCTTTTTGAAACACTTCGTTTGTAGTGTCAGTTTGTTCCACGCAGGACTTGTAACGGTATTTGTTTTTACCGAGTGTACTTCCAGCCATTTTGGTGATATAAGAGGAATCATAATAATAATAATAATAGCTGGTCTTTTGTTTCTCAAAAGCTTCAGTTCTTTTAAAGAATTAACTAGCACTCGAAACAGTACAAAGTCAAGGACTTGAGAATAAAAAGAAATACTGTACTGTACTACAATAAAAGATAAAAAAAAATGTCAACTGTATGAAAATCCATTTTAAATGTGCATACAAGTGATATGAAAAAGAAAAGATTATTTGTACGTAGGACACATTTAGAATTTACCATTGGTCACATGCCTTTTGTTTCTTACTTCAGTATTTAGTAATATGTACAGTACAGTATATGGGTTTTATGTGGCTGGTTAACCAAAGCAAAGATTATTGTATAGTGTGCTAAGAACTGTTGCAGTGGGATTTATGGATATGTATAACCTATGAAACATTGGGAGTGACCTTATCAATATGTTATTAACTAATCACTGCCAAGCACCTTGGACAGAGGTTGCCAATGCCCAGAAGGCATCCATTACCTTATAGCAAGTTACACTATCCACATGGACAGTATTTTGCTGCAAGTGATCATGTACTGCACCCTTCTCACCTAGAAAAATATGGATTCAGATTTTGAATCACAAGTTGTCTCAGCAATAAGAAATGAGTTCAGGTCAGGGGTCTTCAAACTCTTGACCTCATTACCTTTGAAGTGCACCTGATCACGGGAAATTTATGCTTGAAACCTCGGTATACTTCAACACCTTCCTTATGAAACTGACACTATGTGTTCAGTCTGAAAATCTATAAATGCAAATTGTTGTATAATATAGGAGTTAAACCAGCTTAAGGCTTCTGAGAGCTGCAGCTCTTTTTATGAAGTACTGTACATGAAAAGCGCTTCTGGAAATATACTTTGAAATATTCCCACACTGGTTTTAACCAAGTACGTATAGCAAGTACTGGTAAATGTGGTAGGATATGGTTTGTTTTGGTGTAAGTACAGAGGTGGAAATGGACAGTCAAATGAGGAAGTCAGACATGACTTTATCCCTTTTTTTAACTGGTTCCAATTACATTAGCCATCAAAACCAGTCATTAGATCATTAAAGGAGGATTAATTCTGAAATCCATTTTTACGACCAAGCCTGAAACAGGTGACTCATTCTTCCCCTTCCCTATTAGTAGATAAGGTGGAAGTTAGGTTGGTCCTGTAGGCTGAACAATATGATCAGGCCAGCATGTGTGGGTTATTGCTGGGTTTTTACCACTTTTTTTCATATATAAATTGTTTTTTAAGCATTTCATGAGTTGTCTGATACATTTTGGGTTATAAAAAGGAATTTCAGGATCATGCTTCCATTTTTTATTATCTAGCAAACCATTTATGCTATACTGTAGAGTGGTTGGATAGGTGATTCCTCAAGCAAAGCCTTTTGGCAGGAACATAATTTTCCATGTGTTTTTGTGAGGTTTCAAAGCTACCTAACTCAAATTCTTCACTGGTCACCAAGACAGCTGGGGGATCCTAATCAGAATCAGGAGTCATAGCAGTGAGACAGCTGTATTGCATCAGTGGTTGGAGCAAATACTCTCTACCTGGATAGTACTTGTCCCCTGAACACTGGCTGACTCTGGTTAGGGGATGTTCACAGTTTACTTGTTCATTTCTTTAGCCATAAATGGATTTCAAGTCTCAATTAATATTTTAGAAATTTAATGTTTTTGTGTATCTTACAATGCTGTACACAGTAGAACCATGCTGAATTGGAAATTAGCTTTATCCGACACCAGTCACCCACCAGACTGGAATACTTGTGTGAATCCAATATGTCTGGTGATATTCCATTAGCCATCCATACTTGTTTTTATGTGTTGGCATTCACAACCATGTATTTTGTCCCTAAGTAAATGACAAAACTGTATAATATTATATACTGCTGTATATTTTTAATTCTTGTAGATATTCAGTATGTTGCATATGTCTATTTACACTGTAATATTACAGTATTACTGACGTCCACCTCCACCCCACATAACTGTATTAACAATAGGGAGCACCACAACTACACACAAAACACACAAGCTATGTCAAACTACAGTACAGTACATGATCTCTCAAGCATAATGTCTGTCAAATGCAAATCAATAATATAGACTAAGCACTCATATTCTTAGAGGAAGGACAACTGACTTAAACAAGTGACAGATGAGTGGCAACACGTTAAACTGTAGCGATATATGATTTAATCTTGTACATTTTCCAGTTTTTGTGGGGAGAATCTAAGTGGACCGTGTATTGAAACAAACTGATGAGTAGAGCCAGATTAATTTTTTTTCCATTTAAGTACAGGTGGTTCAGAAAGATTATAGTTATCCAGGTTTCTCGTAAGTGATTTTAATTTAAGTGGGAGCTTACTGTATTATAATGTAATAAAAGCTCATCACAGTGAGAGTGCATGTGATACTGCAGTTAATCATATGTTCCTTGCAACAGGATATAAAGGATTGTAGTCATCTTTGCAGCACATTAAGTTTGTTTATCATTTTGGGGATTACATTATATCTCATAAAAAAAATTATCATTATCATCATTTCAAAATGTGACTTCAGTTGGGTATACAGTTTTTGAATGAAGCCTGTATAATTATGAAAAATTTACTTTTTTCATCATATTTTTCGTATGTGCACTACTTGCAAACTGTTTTCATTACTTTTACATTTTGAATCTACATAATCTTTTTTATGGCCTACAGGCCTTTGATGAGTGGCCTGTGTATACTGAACACCCCATGATATAGGCCATTGGCATGTCTGGGTAAAGTCAGTCAGTGGCAGGGATGCCTAATTCATGTGAATAATGTAATTGCTGCAAAGCAGTTCTTCACTCATTTGCACTAGGAACCTTTTAATGTTTCCAGTGCTGTGGTGGCTTCCCTAATGACTAATGGAACATTTCAAAAAGATGCTAAACTCTCATCATGTGAAGCTGCTCAAAGCAGTCATGGTGGTACAGTAGTATATGAATTTTGAAATGATGCAATTTAAATTGCAATTTATTCCTAAATATATATCAGTAACAGTTGATGAAATGGAGAAATTAGAAATGATTAAATTAAGGATTATCATATTTATTACTATGTATAGTAATATGTCACAAGGAAAATTATACATCACTCAGCCTGTTGAGTGCAGTCTTATTGATGTTCCATTTCTAAGGGAGGAGGGGCCGTTGGATGGTCATGAAAGGGTTAACTGCAAGATCATTGCTTCCTACTGTAGAATTTTTCTGCTTGATAACATAATGAACACCAATGGAATATTCGATGGGTGAGGATATCTGCTGTAATGCTCACCAAAAGGTTACAAAGCCAAAATTTGGGATTTCAGGTTTCAGTCCTCTATTTATGGATTAGGATTGAGATGCATGACTTGGGTTTTCTCCCCCATCCCAAAGGTTAGAATATGGAACAATTAGATCTTAGGGTTGGACCTTGAAAGCCCCCTTTGTAACATGAGTGGTTCACAATTTACCAGACTGTTATTGAAAATTCAACTCCTGACTACATTAAATGTTTGACTGGACCTTAATGCAACTATCTTACCTCTAGGTATTTCCTTAAAAGGCTCTAGATGTAATTTGGTGCAGAACTGCAATTCTTCCATTATGTTATTCAAATGAATAATTATCTTACCACTGACTGTACTTTATGATACTCCTGGACTGTTCACATGTGGTGCTCACTACATTGATGTCATACGGTTCAGTAAGCTCGGCCCATAGCCACAGAATGGAATTTCATGCTTCAGTTCTTCATTTTGACATTTCTTGTAATTGACAAGCATATTTAATAACATTCAAGTAATGAATCTCAACCCTTACCAAAGGTGTTTTGATATGCAGGGTTTGTGAGGTACTGTACCAAGCTGCACAACCAATGTATCTGTATTGCCTATTCCTGTTTTGTAAATATTTAGATATGTTTGTATCCCCCACCATAAGTATGGAAGGTGCACATGCTGGCCTGATAGTCAATTCATCCATTACATCACATGTGGTTCTGTTCAGTAACCAAAGAATGGATTGAATTACATTTTTTATGCCGCTATATATCATTCGTGCTAAGGCTGATAATGATAAACAGAAATTTCCATATATAATTACTGCAGTTCTGGCCCCTTTACAATTTAGAGTTGTTGGCAAGTGTATAAATGCCTTCACTGATAGTCTAGTTTCAAACATGCTGCATTGGAACAAGTGATTTTTATAGTTTCAGCACTGATGAACTAAAGGAGACAGTGTAAAGGATACTTTTCACTTGTTCTGAACTATTTTTCTAAATATCTAAAAGCATGAACTACACACATCCATCACATTTTTCTTTCTCATTCCCTCCCACAAACACATCTGACTGTATCCCCCCTACAGCGCACTTCAAATGGCACGAGGCTGGCGTGAGTCCGCCCAGTGGTGAGTGAAGCATATTTGTATACATGATATTTTACCATGTGTAGACTGGCATTGTGCATGTCAATTACCCATATCTCTGGCATTTGCCTTTCCCTACAACAGTTTCTTAAATCAAGCTCTTGTGATACCCTGATATATCCATGGAATTATTTCTTTGCACTCTGTAATCATTGTTTTAAAAAGACAAAACAACTCATACGTGGGGCATTTTCACAAGATCTTGATTGTATTCAAAGCTTTAAATTTATTTATTTCTTGGGAATGATGACTCAGGTATACAAGTATATTATTGCTTGATTAAGTCGATTTTTCCATGTCTGACTTTTCTTTCCAGCTCTTGTACCATAGGTGGTAAGAACAACCTGACAACAATGTATAAAGGTTTATCTTTTTCAGCTTGGTAGAGGGTTGAAGGCTGTTAAATGCTTATATGATAAAGTCATCATTTTTGAACCAATATTTATGTTTCATTAAGGTTTATATTTTGTAAATACATAACTGAATCTTACTGAACTGTGATATGAGGCTCAATAGTGATGATTCAAATTCTTACTATTGGTCGAGGCATGAAAGTTGAAGGCAAAGAAAGCCTTGTAAGTTTATCCTCTCTGGTGTTTGATGTCTCTCATTCTTTGTTGATACCAAGTCCTCATCCTGCTGTTTAATCTGTGTAAATACGTTAAACTTAATGGGATTTATTCTTATAATGATCTGGCATGACAAGAATCTAGTAACAATAATTTTGAGAATGAATCTTCCTCCTTAATTAGTAGTCTTCCTCTAAACTCACTTGAACCAGAAATTCAACCTTCATTGCAGCTTTGTAGGATAGAAAGTCTGCTCCTGCTTCAGTAGTATCCCTTATATCTAATGTTCATTACTTTTAATTGACATAAAACATAGCAGATAAATAACAATAAGTATGTATTAAGAAAGAACTTTAACAAGGTTTTAATATTAAGGTATTGTTTCCTTTAATAATTTATTATTAGTCATTTTTGCCTCTTTTCTTTGTGAAATACTTTTGAGTTTCAAATGATAGGAGTTCCAGCAGCCACTCATGAAACACTGTGAATGAAAAAAATGTAATATAAGAGTTGCAAATGATGAACCTAAGAGAAAAGAAATGTTGGATATTTTTAGACAGGAGTGATCTGTATGTCTTGAGAATGTGTGAAATAATAATGAATGGCTCTGAAAATTTTATAAGAAACGGTGAGTGTTGCAAGATCTGTTTTGCCCACGGATGTTGCAGGAAATGGCAGAGAGGGAATGGGACTGTTTATTAAATGAGAATGGCATGAAGGCATGTTTCCTAGTAGTTGTGTAAGTTTGGGAATGTTAATTTAAGATTTAAATTGGATATACGTAGGGGAGAGATTGACTTTGATTGGATATATGAATTGTTGGATAGATGATACTACAGTCTGTACAAAATTTAAAGCAGATTACATTGAGTGTTTGTAGCAACAGCATACAGGGGAGTTTTACAACAAGTTTGAGGACACCTCAGTACCACCTGTAACTGTTCTTTAACCACCCAAGCCATAACAGGGAAAACACAAGTGTCTTGACCCAACTCTTCTGTCAGCTCTGGCTTGATAACATTTAAGTGCAAAAGAGCTGCACTTTCTATAGACATCTAACCTGATAAACATGAATGTGTGCAGGAGATGTTGTCACAAAAGTTCGCACTATTTTAAACGAAGCGCTTGAACGCCATACTGTATTGGCATTTAGATTATATTTGGTCCAGCAGGATATGTCACCAGATAGAGAGATAAGTTATTTATTCAGTAAAATTAGCTTGCAAGTCATGAATGCCATTAAACATTTTAAGGCAGCACTGCACAATTATGTATTTTAAGTCTCTAACTGATAGTATAATTTCTTTAACACAGTGTGTATGCAAGAAGTCAGGAGTAAGTATTAGTAAGTGTTGGAGTTAAGAGTTAAAATTTCAGGAAGAATATATACTGTAATAAATCTTATTTGGTCATTCCCTTTTCTTATACAGTATCACAAAGACAGACACAGGCATTGTTGCATCATTATGTGTACTACTGTTGTGGCATTTTTTGCTAGATTTAAAAAAATCTAAATGTATGCATAAAGATTTCAAGAGCCATTTATACCGGTACAAAATTTTTAACTCGTATGATCATAAAAAACATTATTAGTCACCTCTCAGGGTGTGATCAGTAAGTCACTTTGACAACATTATCTGTTAAGATTTCCATTTCTCCCTTCATAACTGGTTTTAAACTCACAATTCACAAAGACAGTCCTCATTAAAATACGATTGAGGTACAGTGAAAAACATAGCAAAGTTGAGTTAATATTAATGCTTAACTAATTTGGATGGATGGTTGGCAGTCTTAAGGGGAGTAGCCTCATTGCTGATTGGTCCACAGTGGAGATATGTTGTGAACCACTTGTGTCAGTTTGCTGCAAGGTGATGGTAAAACAATGTGAGTGTCCAAAGTGACAAGGGAGTTCTTGGTCAGTTTCTCTGACTTTAATTATTACAGTACAATGTACTGCACACACATATGTTTATTTGTTTACTGTAATTGGTGTCTTCATTGCCTTTTCTTAGTCCAAGTTATTATATGTCTGAGAATATACTCTACACATTTAAGCAGTCACTGTGTCAATTATCTTAAAAACTGGTAAGTATTTGCTATCTCTTCATCAGTGAATACTTGGGAGTCTGGAATATACATCCTTTGATGTACTCTACAGTATATGTACTGTACGGAATGATCTCCCATAATATAACTAAAAGCTTTACTCAGATACTAGTTCAGTTTTGTGCTTTGAACCCGAACAAAAAATGACAATGGAACACACTATGAAAAGCACAGTATGAAAGGTTGAGGCAAGTCTCAACAGGGTTCTCCCTTCATCATTTAACTATTCATGCTCAGAATTTCATCCTAGTCATAGAAAGGAAATATACTTGCAAAGTTCCTTTTAATATGACCAGAGAGGAATTAAAACCTGATTTACGCCCACCCTCTTCAGTCTGAACTTGTCCATTGCCAAGAGTACTGACTCATGACACTTATGTATTCCATGTTGTGGCTTTAGGTGGTGTGAGTGTTATATAGGGAAGGTAATGAGGTGTATCAAAACTTTTATTTTAACTTTTCTTGTGTCTGTACCTCCTAGCCCTTGATACTCTGAACTTTATTTATTGTAGCTTAAGTTGAGAGGTTGATGTGTGTCAGTAATCTACCATTAGTTTTAATAAGTATTAATTGGCCAGCCACTCTTCACTAGGCAGTTCAAGTGTTATCCTAACACTAAGCTATTGGTTTAGACCCACGAGACCTGACATTAGTGGCTTGGACTAATCTAAACAATTAGTCTGCTTACCCATTGCAACCATCTACCTGAAAGGGAGAACTAGAAACACATGTTTCTTTCATAGACAGTTATTTAGAAGGAGTCTCCCTAGAGACTGTAATCAGATAAATACAGATATCTGCAGAGTCCATAGAGAAAGGGTGGGTGGATGGAGGGAGGGAGGAGTGATTCTTCTTTTCAAACCTGCAGTGGTTTATAGGCACCTGGTGGTGAGTAAGATTTAGGGACAACATTTGGTGCTACCTTAAATGAGTAAGTTTATAGTGAGCATTTCTTTATTTCAGATTTTAAACTCTGATGCTCAGAACTTTTTATTCCTTTATGGTCAGTCCTGCTTCGGAGATTTATAACTTAAAGCCAAGTACTTATTGTGGGAACATGTTGAGACAGAATCCCTAGTTTTGCCGACTTCCCCATGAATTGTATAGGAATTTAGGAAAACTCTCCTACACATGTGCATAAAAAGCAATTAATTTGGAAAATTTCTTTATCGTGACAAAAGTGAGTGTTTGAAATTGAAATTTTGCAGTTGAGGCATCCAACATATTAAATGAATCAACAAGCGTATTTGATTAGAGGCACCTGTGCAGTAAAATGTTTGCCTAGCTAGTTGTCTGCCATCAGTTGTGTTTTATCCTATTAGTGAAGTGTTAGTTAGTCTTGAATTCATTAGTTTTCCACATCTAATTTGTATTTATTTGAAAGTGTTCTCCTCTGCTTGGTATGCCAGCTTGGTGGCTAGTTTTGATTGGATCTTAGATGGATTCATCTAATAGATAATATGAAATACCATAGAGTATATACTTGTGTATAAACCAATCTCATTTACTGTTGAATTTGACCCTGATTTTTTGGTAAAAAAGGCCATTTTTTTCATACCTCTTGTATAATTCAACACCTAACTTTTGAGAAATACTAGGTATAATCCTTGACATAATTTGAAGCAAGACACCGGATTTACACCAACGAGTTTTGTCTGTGACCACCACAACGACCACTGTAACCAACTCTGAAACAGAATTCCCGCCATTAACCAACTCCTATGAGGAATAAGATAAAATAATTTATACCAGTAAATGTTAGGAATATATTAAAATAATATCAGTATATAGAATAAAACAAAAAATAATGTACGTACGTGTATTGTTATTTGACTGCTGGACGACATTTGTCAATTGTTTCACTACACATGGGAGGCAGCTCATAACAGCTGAGATTCTTCATTCCCCCCTTGGCGTGAACTCTTGACACACACAAAAATTATTCCTTTTTATGTTTTTGACCTGATGATATTTCTTTATTTTATTTTAATTTTTTTTTCACATTCTGTATACAAGATTGTGTGCTTGTAACATAGTAAAAAAAAAAGTTAAATAAATAAATAAAAATACAGCAAATATATCTACCTGAAATTACGAGTTGAAAAATAACCATAACACCTGGGCTTCAGGGATGGATGTGACTACAGTGATGAGTCTAACTGGGCAACAATGCTGCCAGCAATATTAACAGATGCAAATGAAAAGAAAATAGTCTGTAATGCTTCATTAGTATCAGGTATTTGTAGATTTATAGTGGCATATGTAGTGAATGAGATTCTGCTCTTCATGTAGCAGCATAACTATATTTGACCCACAAAAATACAGCAATTTTAACCCCTCAAAGGTACTATGCATATATATTTCGACCCCCTACTTTTTGCATAAAAACTTGAACTGTACTTGAGTATATAATTATGGAATATGGAGGCACTTTTAGGATCTATTAATTTGGTGAAGCCAATTCTTTTTCTCTCTAAAAAATATGGAACATCCAACATGGATGATTAAGACTAACTGTAAGTAAAGGATCATATGGTTCTTCTCCCAAAATAGGTAATATTTATTTATTTTTTCTGAGGGGAAGAATGTGGGCCTTAAATTATTTTTCTTATCCCAGAATGAGATGTTCAGCCCCCCAGACCAGATTGAATTAATTTCTCTGTTTGGAAACTGTAGTATTCCCATCATTCCAAACACTATACCCACTGGGACTACTACACTACTACGGTATACTGTTTGAAGCAATTATTGATAGTACAGTAAATCATATGTTAAGTATAGAGATTCCAAAGCTTTGTTTATAAACTTATTGTCAAAGATATTACAATACAGTAACTTGTAATGACTGTACACATAAGAGAGTTTTCCTCAAAGGTCTTTCATTCTTCTTTGATTTTCTGAGAGGGCTTGTCTGTACAATATGTCCCACTAAGAGGCACTGGGTCCTTAGCATAGAAGTTTGTCATTCACTAACTAGGCAAGGAAACTACTCTGAGGAACTGTGCAATGTTGGGGTGTTTATTCATTCCTTTTCCGAGTTAGCTTCATATACTCAAGCCACCTAGTAAAGGGCGGGGCCAGAAATGAAGGTTTGACCCTAAAATCCCAATTCATGGTTGAGCCCAGAACTAGGCGACTCAGAAACCCTCCTCCCATGGATTGGTGTGGAAGTGTGCCAGGACTGATTTGGGATAACCGCTTGGAGAATCAAGTTCATCGACTTGAATGGAAAGGCAAATTGTGTATTGGCTAGTGTAACGTGATGTACATGTTCAGGCTTCTTGTCCTCTATTGTCTATGATGGAAATATTAACTTCTCTCATTTCTCAGAGTGATGGTTGCAACAGGGTGGTATTTTAGACTAGTTACACCAACTAATGGTGGGTCTCCTTGGTCTCGACTAATGGTTTAGTGGGAGCATTATACTTAAGCAACCTAGTTCTGGTCTTGGCCATGGTATAGGATTTCAAGATCAAATACAGTATTTGTATTTCTTTCTGATGGTCATTTTAGCTTTACTCCACATTTGTTAAATCAGTGACCATTTTGTATGCATATAGGAATATTTTTTTATATTTTGATTGTTTGGGCTAACCTTCTCTCATTTTTAATATATTCCCACTTTATATGTTATAAATGGACAAAAGCATGAATAGATAAATAGATCCCAAATATCAATATAATATGTAGTAAAAGGCATTGAAGAGAGGTATTTTAGTTTTGTAGTTTTCTCATTATTTGATTAATCTCAGGTCATGACTGGGAGGACCCTGATGACCCAACAGTGATTGCTGAGAATGAGCTTATTGGTGCTGCTAACTCGATTGATGCTGCAGCCCGTAAGCTAATGATACTTCGGCCACGTCGAGCAGAAACAAAGGTATTTTTATTATTTTTCATTCTTTTTAGGCACTTGCCTGTTATAGCACAATGGTCAGAACCAAGTGCACACACACACACACACACACACTCTCTCTCTCTCTCTCTCCTATCAATCACATATACCATTGCTTATTATATGTCCATGCCCCTGACTTTTAAGTACGTAATCTAAAAAAAAAAGCTATTTCTTCACTTTTAACCATTTTCTTGCTATAATTCAGGGTGGCAGGAACATGGACAAGCAAACACACAATCTCTCCTTTTATTTGTTGTTATTAAGTTATTATATGGAAGTTAAACTTTTTCCAGTCAGACTAGAGGGGATGGTGAGGCTTAAGCAAATAATATAAAATTAAAGGTGAGGCAGCTGAGCAGAACAGAGTTCACTGACCCTAATAAGTTATCATGCCTAAAAGGTTTATTATGCAGAGTGAGACTATTCTTTGTCTCTTCTCTAACGAATGTTTTTGCCCTCAGAGTGATTGTACCTATCATGGCCCGTGCAAGTTAGATATTCATTTGTTCTGTTTTTTTTCTGTATTAATTCCTACTATGCAGGAAGAGTAGGTTATACCTTGGGGTGTATTTGCTCAGCTGCAATTAGTAATGATGTTTTCTTCATTAATTCTGTGTTTTAAACAATAAATTGTAAGTAGTAGTTGGCACAACACTGTCTTCTATTTTTTCTTGTCCCAATACACAAATTATTGTATTGATAAAACACAGGCATACAATTTGTAAATAAATAGAAGGATGTAACTGTATGTGTGTGATTAAGTTAGTGTAGGTTCTTGCCCAAGGTATGAAGACAGAGAAGATAAATTATGTTATTAGAATTGTTTATTGAGAATTATTGACAATAGAAAATGCCTAATGTAATAACCAGAATATATAAGAAAAAATTCTGTAGCTGTAATGGGGAACAATAATAGATAGGTAGATTCAGGGGTGTTGTACATAACATTACTAATTGTGCTCTTCACTAAGGAGATATAAGATTCATATGTAAAACAGAAGGAGTGGAAGAGATGTGAGTAACAGGGTATGTGTGTGTAAAGAATAAATAAAGTGGAAGAATAAATGTCTGCCATTATAGAATACCTGTATTAGATATAGGATGAATATTGTTTCAAGAAAGAGGTGTGTACAGTATACATTGTGATGTAAACAGACCTCTGACAATATCACATAGAGTACAAGTTACATTATGTGAGAAATTTTAATATCATTACAGTATCATTGTTTGAGTTGAGAAGTTTATTGTAATTAGACAAAAATATATGATCTTTTAAACCTGGAGGAAAGTGCTGGGTCATAATGTGCTAAACCTGGAGGAAAGTGCTGGGTCATATATGATGTGTTAAACCTGAAGGAGAGAGCTGGATCATATATGATATGTTAACCTGGAAGGAAGAGCTGGGTCATATATAACATTTCCTTACCTTGACATCACTTCATCAAACAAGTTGATCATTGGTGCTGTGAGATATGTTTGATATTCTTGGTTGTTGATTGGCTTCGACTAAGAATCAAACATATTATCATAGCACAATGAAAGTACAGCATTGGAAGATTTTTACATGCCCCGGAGGAAGAGTGTGGAGTGAAGAAAATCAAGAAGGAAGACAGTTTCTAACAAGGTGGATGATGTAGCTAAATGTTTGTAATATTAAACTAGATAATACAGAATCTTTTATGTTATTTTCTCTGATATGTGTTTAACCCTTAAAAGGCAAGTAAGGATTCCCTAATCTGTCTCTATATGTGCAAAAACTATAACACAAAGAACATGAAACATCCATTGGTGTTACCCACCATCTACCAACTAACAGCAATTGATGTTGGCCACTGTTTAAGGGTTAAAGACTACAATTTATTTTAGGAAAGATATTTTATAAGTAATATAATTGCTATTGTGAAATTCTCTTCAACTTTACTACCAATCACCCTCAGGTAGAACTTGCCACTGTTTGGGAGAGATGCAGTGCCTATTAGCAGGAGCACAGTACCAGTTGAAAAAAAAAAAAAAATTAAATCCAGATGATGAATGGGTTAGGGACTGAAGGGCCAGTTCAAAAGGTGGTTGTTCAGAACTCTAGCACTAATTCCTTCCCCATAGAAAAAATATAACTATACAGGTTAGGTTTTGAACTACCTCACAAACCCAAATTTTGCAAAGATTTCATCTACAAATAAACATATATGCCTGGATTCCCTGTTATGAATTGTCCTGCATCAATGTCATATATTTCTCAATAACATTATTTTTCTCATTTTACAGTGGTAGTACAGTAATTAAGTTATACAGTATACAAGAAATGTATTCTTAGGCAACCTCTGATCATAAATCTTAAATAGCTAGCCATTTAAGCATATCTGTCAACTCTTCCCAATACTGTACAATGATGCTACACCACTTGCCTTATATCATGCATCTCCATAATATACAGTAATGCTCCTCTATCCCTATCCACCAAACTCACCACAGTATATTATGTCTGTAAGCTCTCTTCACCATCATACCGTCTGGTATCCTTTACACATGAATTGTTACTGTAGAATAAAATTTTCATGACAAGTGGTGTACAGTACAGTACTGTATATGCTGAGAAAATTTAATTTTGATTCCTTCTTCTGGTTTATATTGTATAGCTATGCTGCTGTTACTCTCATTTTTATATAGTCCATTCATCTTATTCATTCACATACTCATCATGTGGAATTTTCTTTGAAAATTTGTTGATAAAATTTATGTGTTACAGGAGGTTGACGAGTCTATGAACTTTGACGAGATCATCTTAGAAGCCTGTAAATCTATTGCTGCTGCAACTGGAGCATTAGTGAAGGCTGCATCAACAGCTCAAAGAGAACTTGTTGATTCTGGGCGTGTAAGGCGCCGTCCTACTGCTGCATCAGATGATGGCCAGTGGTCAGAAGGATTGGTGTCTGCTGCACGCCTTGTGGCAGCAGCAACTCATTCTCTCTGTGAGGCTGCCAATGCATTGGTTCAAGGACAAGCTAGTGAGGAGAAGTTGATATCAGCTGCAAAACAAGTCGCAGGCTCGACTGCACAGCTGCTTGTAGCATGCAAGGTGAAGGCAGATCCTGATTCAAATGCAACAAAGCGCCTGCAAGCAGCTGGCAATGCTGTGAAACGTGCCACTGATAACTTGGTTCGGGCTGCTCAACAAGCTATTGAACATGATGATGAGGTCACAGTTGTTGTACCAAACCGTAAGGTTCCTAATATGTCACAAATAATTGATGCACGTGCAAGAGTTTTTGAACTGCAAAGACAGACACAGTTAGCCCAAGAAACTTTGAAAGTTCTTCAGATCAGTCAGTATAAAGATGGCAATGAATCAGGACTCTCTGATACAGACCTCTCTGGATATGATTCATCCTCAAAGTGAGTATAAATTTTTATTTGTAAAATACTAATTTTGTGTAAAATATTTCTTTTACGAGTACATTTACAGGGCTTGTCAGGTTTTGTGCAGTGTGGCAGCCCTGTGTTTGTTTACATTCAATAGAATGAAATTAGCAATAGTAAACATACTGTGGAATCAAATTAAAACAACTTTAAAACAAATATCTCAAAGATAATGATTTGTAAAATTTTTATATGAAGAGCCCCTGTAAACACCCTAGTGAAGGGGACTGGACATGCATTCGAAAATGAATACTCCATCCCTGGAAGTAATAAGTGTACAGTAGAAGTACAGTCCCCCCAAAAAGTATAGTTACTCATGGGGTCGATGTGGTTTTGTGAGCAGTGTTTGTCCACTAGTTTCGGAATGGTTCGTACAGTCGACCACAGGTATTGGTTTACACCATTATCTGCCATGTGGATTAAATTATATGGTAACACTTCCATGCAGAGAACTGCCAGAGTTTCAAAATTACCAGTAATATAAGTTTTATTTAAAAACAGAGATAGTGTAAGGAGAGTAAATGAAAGTTTGTCTGCTCTATAGAACTGCACATGTGAAGTTATTAGAACTTTTTTATGTTCCCTACAATCTTATCTTTTATATAAGAATGATAGCTTTTTAATATTTACATTGTTTGTCATTTTTCATTGCAGATATGACTCTTCATATGAAACATCAGGAGTAATCACCTCTACCCGTGCTATTAAGGTGAACTGCAAGCCAGAGCTCCCACGTCCCCAGTTACTGAACCAGTCATACACAACAACATTCACCTCCAGTCCAAATCGTTTACAAACCACTTCATCTCCTGTTACACATTCTCTCAGACAGTCACTGAATCATTCAAATGGTGGAACAGCATCAATTGATACTTCCTTTAATCTGTCAAAAGTAAGTGACGGTGGAGCTGAATTTGATGATGGACCAACTTTCAGGGAAGCCTTGCGAGCATTCCAGAAAGATGGAAGCTCCTCTGTTTCATCTTCTGCCAACACTTCCTTCAGTAGATCCAACAGATCACTCACTGAATCACAGCAGGTCCTCACAAGCTCCACACAACAAATTGAGCACACCATGCACTTGACCAGCTCCAATAAAAGTTATCATGTAGAGGAGAGTTGAAACAATACATGAAATGCATTTAATGTTTTAGATGTTATTATGTAGACTTAGCTATAATTGGTTATGTAATGTCAGGATATAATCACTGTTGTCTCTGAAGAATCTATTTTATGTAGACAGACATTTAACTTACATATTACACATATATATCATCATTTATACTGGTGCAGTAACTAAGAATTCTATATCAGGCTTTATGTAGCTTTCACCCAAGTGCTTTTGTGTCTGCATGAAAGATAGGAAAGCCAGTTTAGTAATGGTCTTGGAAATCCTGGTGCCTTGAAGTGTCCATCCATAAACAGCCAACCCAGGGATGTAGGAAGGAAATTGGAACTCCTGCCTTAAAATTGGGATATTCTACCCAATTGCCAACAGGTGTTAATGCATTTTTTAAAGATGTTTGTCATTGCCATAATGCTTTAAATCCAATTAAGTAGTTTCTATAAGGTATTATTTTGTAATTTGTAATATGTGATTAGAATTAATATATTGAATTCTTTATTTAACTTTTAAGATGACATTTTCAAAACTATGACTCCAAAGTACAGTATACAAATTGGAATGTTAATAAGTTTGTACTATTCAACTTATGAAGTATTTCCCAGAGATGTAAATGATTAACGGCTTACAATATATGCTTGTAGTTTGGTTATTTAACACTTTGGTGCTGATATTTTTGTTCATATAATAGTCATATTAAACATATCATGATGTACAGTTGTATTGTATTCCATTGTAATGTAGCTTAGTACAAAGAAGGTAAAATGGAGAAAGGGAGAATTATAGTATTGTAAAGGATCCCAAAAGGAATCCTTTCTATCCATTAGCTATAAACAGGAAAATAAATATTTGCATATATACATATAATATATATAGTTCATCAGATTGAATGGTGAATTTTTTATGTATATTTCTTACAAAATTATAATGGTTCCTTCTCCCTCTCTCTTCGCACTGCCCACCACCTTCTTCTTGCGAGCCCACTCCAGTAAATCCGTCGCAAATGATACAGTGCCTAGGGTCATGAAACCCTTGTGTCTTACCATCTAAAATGTAATGTGTAATAAAAGTGTGTTTAAAAATCTTGTATAGTTAAAACAAACTGTCCCATTGAAAAGAACTTTTAATAGATTTTCTGCAAGAGATTAAACATCTCGTAGGAGTGAGTGGAGGTACAGTATTATATAACGAAGGAATGGAAAGCCGAAGGTATAATACATGGCTTTTCCTACTATGCTGAAAGATGGTAATAGTTAAAAGAAACAGATTATTCTTTCACTTTCCTTCTATTAAATTACTCTAACGGCTGTTGACATCCACATAACCTCCAATCATTCAAGTGACCTCCCACTTCTTATGTCCATTCCCCTCACTTTAGTATTCCCTTCACCCAATCCTCCCATCCTCTTTGTCTTCTCATTTACTATCTATTTTGGCTTTAAACTCTTTTCATTAATCTTTTACAACCGTCTCTCAATATGTCCATACCACCAAGGTAAATGATGGTCAGCTCTCAGTATACCTCTTTCATTTAAATGTCTAATTTCAGCATATGTAATTTTGTGCATCTTGTTTACCCGTTACATTATTTCCTGTTGCTTCTAATTTCCCTCATTGCATTCAGTGTTCATACTTCACCCTCAAAGATCCCTAATATTACCTCCTTTGATGCATATCCTTATCTCCATACACTTTTGTGACACATGACCTAAGCTGTTATGACACCAGGGATGTAATTACCACAATCAATCAATCAATCCATACACTTCTAAATACACCTACAGTACAACTTTTTCTCTGCTACAGTGATTCATTACCCACTGTTCCATTTGTTAACACAAGCATTTCACTATATTTGAAATACCTTGCTTACTACATTCCAGGTAAAAGTATTTCTCCCTGTCCTTCTCTACTTAATTCAATCACTTTACTTTTGTTCTATTTACATACTTCATGATGTCTGAACCTAGAAAATCAAGTTGAAAATTACAATTGTAGGTATTCGTCCTACACTTCCTGATAACTAATGGTCTCAGGCATTGCTGAGAAGAAGAATGAAATTCAAGAACTGTTAAATAATGGCTACAAGTTATCCCTTGTTTTAACAGAGACAAAGGAGAAAGTAAACTCAGTCATAACGATGTCACCTGAAATATAAAATTCCATAAAGAAGTTTCAAGGATATGTCTATAGGTATCCTTCGTTTTGCAATTGGGATGCATTCCTCAAAAAACGGATCGCTAAGTGAAATGATCGGTAAGCGAACAAAATCGAGAAATAATATTCTAAACAAGGGATAACGAGGAATATTATCCATGGAGATGGCACGTAATTGTGTATCCGAGTTCTTGACTGGCCGACTCACCACCCAGTAGTACTCAAAACATTTGAGGCTGAGCTGTAAGCTATGTTATTGTTCAACTTGTAATTTTGGGTAGATACATACAGAATGTGCAAACAAAGTTAAAAAAATAATAATTACAGTATCATAAGGTCAAAAACATAAATGGAATTAACAGCTCTTACATGGTCTGCAGTTAGCCGACAGAGCAGGGGAGGGAAAGCAAGGAGCAGCGTGGGGGATCTCTCAGCTGTTCTCTGTCTCATGTTCCGTGAAATGATTGTCAAATGCCAAGCAGTATTTTTTTTTTTTTTTATTCCTCACATTTACTGGTACAGTATACACACAACACACTTTTGTGTGTACTTTCCTCCTGTAGCCATAGTTTTCTTAATATATACAGTACAGTACCAGGAAATGTGAGGAATAAATAAAAATAATAGCAATAAAAAATCTGTACAGTATTGCCAAATCAGTAAATAAAAGCCAAATGATAGTTTAACATAGTCGCTATTTGCATACACTCCCTGTTTCACCAAAGTAATGAAGACCAGCTGCGACACCGATTCCCTTGCAACGCTCACCGCCCCTCTACACCAGGTCCCCAACTTTTTGTAAGCTCTGGGCCACATTTACCATTGTAAATATAGAGGGGAGCACCAAAACTTTGGATCTATATTCAAGGAATAATAAGTTATTTTCAGTTTTACACTTCAAAGTTTTAACTGTTACCAGTTACATACTTTTTACATTTACCCTTGGATATGCATTCTCAAAAACCTCCACATCCACACCCCTCCTCCATACCCACACCCCTCCTCCATACCCACATCCCTCCTCCATGCCCTCCATACCCACATCCACATCCCTCATCCATGCCCTCCATACCCACATCCCTCTTCCATGCCCTCTATACCCACATCACTCATCCATGCCCTCCATACCCACATCCCTCATCCATGCCCTCCATACCCACACCCCTCATCCATGCCCTACATACCCACACCCCTCATCCATGCCCTCCCTCGAAATATCCAGTACAGCTCCTCCCCGACTTACGACGGGTTAGGGACCCAAATCCAGGTCGTAAGTTGGAAATGAAAAATTAATACATATAAAATCTAAAATGAAATACAGTACAGTAAAAGTAATCAATAATGAAGAATGATACAGTGTGACTGTGCACTTACCTTTAATGTAGTCAGCTGAATGCACATGGGGTCCCCATAATTTTCTATTTACAGGATACATGGAGACTATATTAATTGGATGAAGCAGAGGAGGAGACAGCTGGGTGGGTCATCAATGTTGCTTTCTTCAGACAGGTTTATGTACATGGGAAACTTGCTGGTTGAAGGTATTGGATCATCTTTAGGGAAGAGGCAGCACTGGTGGGGCGTGAGGAGACAGCAATGGGGGACTTCTTAAAATAGATGTCCAATTTAGACTGCACAGTTTGCTTTTTCTTTTCATTATAAATTTCCCTGTAGCAAGCAAGTGCATCTTGGACCATTCTGTCAACTTTGGCAAAACGCTCATAATTTTGATCCATTCCGTCAAACCTTCAGTAGCAGCAACAGCCTGAGCGAAGGTGGAACATAAATAATACGCTTTAAAGGCAGCAATAGCACCTTGATCCATGGGTTGGATGATAAGAGGTAGTGTTAGGTGGAATGTAGACTACCTTAACAGCAGGGTGCATGTCGTCCAGGTGTGGTGTGTGTCCCGGAGCATTATCCAAAATTAGCAAAATCTTGAATGCAATCCCCTGTTGCAGACAATACTCCTTGGCTCGAGGAATGAAACAATTCATGAACCAATCCTCAAACAGTAATAGGGTCCTCCAGGCTTTCTTGTTAATGCAATAAAACACTGGCAGTGTGTGCTTGCTGACATGTTTAAAAGCCCTGGGGTTCTCTGAATGATAGATCATGAAGGGCTTTATCTTGAAATCAGCTACATTCCCTCCCAACAGAAGTGTAATTCGGTCCTTGAATGCCTTGAATCCTGGCATTGTTTTCGCTTCTTTGTAGATGTATGTCCATCCAGGCATGCGCTTCCATAATAATCCAGTTTCATCCACATTGAATATTTGCTCAGGCAATTAATTTCCTTCCACGATGACACGATCTAGCTCCTCCTTAAAAGCTTCAGCAGCAACATCAGCACTAGCTGCCTCTCCACACACCTTAACATTATGAAAACTGCAGCGGTTCTTAAATCTGTTAAACCACCCATGACTTGCTGTGAAGGTTTGCTCACACTCATCTCCTGCCTGCTCCTTCAGGTTTTCGAAAAGGCTTCTTGCCTTAGCCTGTAGGGTTAGAAGGCTTAAGGGTACACGCTTCTTTATCTGGTCTTCCATCCATATCACAAGTAATTTTTCCATCTCGTGAATGGGACCTTGTCTTTTCTTCGTTATTGTAGTTCCCTTTATAGGTGCTGATCCTTTCACTACCTCACGAATACGTTCCTTTTCCTTCAGAATAGTAGATATGGTCGAGTATGAGAAACCTAGGTCGCGTAAAATTGTTGCTACAGTTTTTCCATTTTCATACTGCATTATTATCTTCATTTTCGTCTCACAAGAAATTTACTGTCTCCTTTTCTTCTGAGCACTACCAGCACTCACACTTGTACGCTTTCCAGTCATTCTAAAGTCAATTAAATACAAAAATAATGTCAGTACACAGCGCGATCAGTTGCGGATACAACGACAGCCAAACACCAACTAAGCGCTCTACGGCGTCGGTGCTGTACCCACGCGGTGACCCAAACCACGCGACGCTCTCGTACGGGACGGAAAAATTTCGGTATAGAAAATGCATGCGTCATTTGAAAAAATTTTTGGTACCGACTGTGGCGGTCGTATGTGCGGATGGTCGTTACGGACTGAGGCAGGTAGTAAGTGCGGGTGGTCGTAGGTCAAGTAGGTCGTAAGTCGGGGAGGAGCTGTACTTCCATCCAATCCTTGATGACGACAAGTACAAAGTGGCTGTGAAACCAGGTGTGGAAGATGTCGCGAGTGAACCAGGCAGTTTTATTCCCCTTGTATATCACTAGTCAGGTGTTCATAATGTTTTTTAAAGCCCGGGGCTCGTTTACCTTTCGCACAACTATCGGTTTCAGCAGGTGGATGCCATCAGCATTGGCACAGACAAGAAATGAGACTCGATCTTTTGTCATCTTCCAGCCGGATACGTGTGCATGGTGCATGTAAGCCTGGGTGTTGGAAGGTGGAGCCTTACAAAAAAGGCTTGTTTCATCAGCTGACCAATAACTGAGCATCTTCAAAAGACGCTTCCTGAAGGGCTCAATACTTCCTTCGTCAGACTCGGCAACAACTTTCTGGTTCACCAAGCAATGACAGCTTCTAAAATTGAAAAGCCAACCTGCACTTGCATTAAAGCCTTTTATCTTGAAGTGTTGTGCAAAGTGAACTGCAGCATTTTGAATGTCCACGCCTTGTACATTGACACCAGATGCAAGTTCTTGCTTGTACCACTTGTACACAGCTTGATCCAAGTCACTAAACTTTACAGGCTTAATTCTTTTCTGCAATTTTCTGAGTTGCCAGGGTCCTTCAAACTTAAAAGAGGACTTCCAAAACTTGTCCAGATTTTTTTTTTCATAAAATGTGCTAGACTTGATCCCAAACTCGTCACACACAATATTTATGGATGCCCCAGCATCACCTGTCTTAACACTCTATTCTTCTCCTGAAGATTCAGGAACTTGAGCTTCATGCCCTTCCTATAGCTCTTTGAAGGTGCAGATGCCATATTAATGATGTTTGAAGAGGGAGAGGACAAGCAGAGAACAAAATGTGGAGAGACAGCCAGCACACACCCGACCATAACAAGATATGTTTTAGCTTGCTTTTGTTACTTGAGTCACCAAGCAGTGACACAATTCATAAATGAAGGGCTGATTCTGAAATCCCATTTTTACAGCTTAGTGACTTATACACCCTCTCTTCTCTCAATAGGTATGAAAAGTTTGTTGGAAATGAATGGATGATACTGGAATCCACCCAAGATTGGTGACCTGCAACAGCTAAGGGTGTCGGAATATTTTACACCCCAAGTGACATCAATACTTTTTATCCTTTTGCCCTCTCCTGGCTGTGAGGGAAACCTTGGCTTCTATTCTCCCTTATCTAAAGATAATATTTGAAATGGGATTTAGTCAAAGATACAGTTGTACCCCGCTTAACGCGGTCAATTGAACCCACAGGGTACCGCGTTAAGTGAAAACCGCGTTAAGTGAACAACAGAACATATGGGATTAATTCCAATAGAGACTGGCCCGACCCCCAAACTCCACTTTTTGACGACACACAACTATGTTGTAGTAAAAATATTATCTTCACTTTATGATGGTATGCACACACAATTAATAATTAAGAGAAATATCAATAATATTAGGTTTTTTAACACTTACATTAGTAGAAAAAATGGCTGGGCACACGGGGATGGGGGGTTGGTTCCGAGGCAGAGGGCAGATTATTGGCCCTCACCTGTATCACCTGTATCAATTGTATCACTATCCACCACAGAGGCTTGCAGGGCCTCTTTGTCAAACCCCTCAAAGTCCATACAAGTCCATATCCTCACTATAATTATCACTATCACTGACTTGGGCCGGCTGTGGTGGGTGGCGGGTGAAGAACTCGGTAATGTTTTGATGACTGGGCGACCTTGTGCGCATCGTGCCCGCGCCGCTTCCCGCGTATATGAGTAGATGAACCGCGTTAAGTGAAACCGCGTTAAGCGGGGTACAACTGTACTTATAATATGGCTTTCCCCAGGTCCTGAACCTCAAAACATTAAGAACAAATCACTCAAGTCAGAATGCTGCATGCTAACATAATACTGTACTCTATTTGGCTTCAGGACCAATCATTCATTTATAATTCTTTTTGATATATACTTTTTTAATACTTCTGCACTTGGGAAGTACAAAAACAGCAATTCACTTTATTTTTTACACATAGAATGAAGGAATAGTAATAAATTATAAAATAAATTGCTTTGCAGTCATTTATTATGTTATCAAGTACCTTAAGTGCATCCTTAAGTTGTAAGCTTGTAGATAGTGCTAGGTTTCTTCTCAAAACTTTGTCCTACAACCAGCTGATTAAAACACTCGAGTGTGTATACACTAGGACTTGACTCAAATCATAGTTCCATAAGTTTTAATAAATTTATCTATTACTGTACAGTACTGTATTGTATTCTATGAAAAATACTGTTGGTTTATTTTACATTAGTTTTTTAATGCATTTAATATTACTCTTTACACCAATCATCATCATCATTTTATGACCATTCTCTATGTTTGTGTGTGTTAGCTGTGATGACCTGATGGTTGCTCTCCAGGCAAATAAATTTAATGCTTTTACAACTACATAAACCAGTATACAATACAAGTACGGTACCTGTCTTGGTGCACTTCAACATCCACATACTTGACATCCATGATTTTGATTACTCACAATGACTTAAAACATACAGTACAAATACTGTACCATTTTAACACCAGTGGTAAGGGGTTTCAACAAATTGTGGTCTGGAGGTTAAATATGGCAAGGTATTCCAAAGCAGATCTAAAATAAATTGAAGTATATAAAGAAAGTCATTTAATAATTACAGCTATACTGTACTGTACTTGTATGGTACAGTACTTCTACTTTACTATAATTTATACTCTTTTTCTCTGGTTAACTCACCAGCCAGTTGAGTGGTCAGTCTATTCTCAGTTATGCACTGTTTGTAGGTACTGGGTATATACGGGCACGTGAATGTAGCTAAAAGTGCCAGCGTTGGTCAAGTCTGGTTAAATAAACTCATACTCAGTGCAATCACAACATTCATTGGTAGATTATTTCCAAGAGTTCACATCCCTCACTCCAAAGAAGTTATAGTTCAGACAGTTTTCTGTATTTGTGGCTTCATTAACTTGAGGCTGTGACCCCTAGTGGTGCTGCCATCCGCTAGCTCCGGATATAAATGCTAGACTGAGTAATGTCCTTTGAGGTGCACATAAATTGTTTCTTGTGTTCCAACAAAAAAAATTAAACTAAAATACAGGTAGCAAGGCAAAAATTAGCATTCAGCATTAGGATAAGTGCATAAAAGCAATAATGCACCCAGCCCCTCAACTCTGTCAGCATCTGACATACCTTTCTGAATGAACCCTATAAGTAAAGATGTCATTAAACACTTTTAATGCATTTGATCTTTACATTCCTGAAGAGTCATCTATGAAAGTCTTAATCATGCCCCAAAGTGTAAAATAAGTGCTCAAAATGATTCTGATACAAAGATAAAGAAAACATTGATGCCTTTTTGTGAAAATTTAAAATTATTCAATAATGAGTGGATTAAAACCACCATCATCATTGGAAAGTTCAAGTAACGTTTTTCTTTTCACTATATCTTTACTGTATTTATTTATTCTTAATTTATAAATTTTTAACACCTGTGGTTTTGAGGTTTATGGCACTCACTTGAATGTTGAGGTCCACCTGTCCTCAAGTGTTCTTATGTTTAACTTTTCCAGTTTCCTGTACTTATTTTTTCTATGCAGAAGATATTGACAAAGATCTTTGTTTTAAATAAAACTGTAAACGTCCTTGAACCAAATTCAGTACTGTACAGCAAGATCTCATATTTTGCGCGATTTAATTTCGCGTTTTTGAATTTTGCGAGCACTACCTAATGTAACCAAGTCTTATATTTGGCATAAAATATCGTGAGTTTGCGAGATCCATCTAGCTGAACGCTGTAATATTTTATGTTGCAGCATAACTATGTTTTTTGGTAACTGGCCAGCCACACACTCCCTCCCCCCATGTGTGAAGTCAGGGCATACAGGCAGCAGCCACACACTTCTCTTGAGCCAGTTTCATGACTGCCTGGATGAAATGTGCCACCTTTATACTGTACCAGTATATGTGAAGAATACAGTAAATAAATATAATTATAATAAGTAAAATAAATAAATACCGGGTTGCCATTTGGCAATCATTTCACAGGACACGAGACAGAACAGCTGGCCACCGTCTTGTATGAAGTCATAGCCCTCGTAATAGTTACTCCCGCGCCATGCTACCGACTGTTAGGGCTGTTATTGTATGCTTTCTTGGGTGGTGCTACCACTTGTCGAGTCAGGATAATGGCCTCTACCTCTACTGGACTGGTGCTGGTGGGACAGATCCACCTAAGCAGCCAAATAAGGAAAAGGAGAAGCGGGACTATCATAAGGGAGTTAAGTTTGCCAAGTCTCGATGCAGGATAAGCAGCATGTGATAAGTTACTTGAGGAAGGCCTAAAAACTCGTGAGATAAGAAAGATTACTGGTTTTCCAGAAAGCACAATCAGGTCAATAAAGGCAGAATTTGTATCATTTGGAGGTTATAAATTGGAAAATCAGAGGTTGATGTAGAGTGGCTAGTCTATAACATTATTTTTACCATTACTTTTTGTACAGTATTTGCATTTGGCGCAACTTTTCCAGTCTATATTACTCGCGAAATACAAGATCTTACTGTACTCAAATTTGAGGGAGAGAAAGGACAGAATATTACAAATGATTCAATTTAACACCCCTCTGATAAAGGACTCACACTGAGCAGTCTACTGCCTGTGGTATAAGATATTGTCTTGCTCCCCCTACACCCCATAATAAACATTACAGCAGGTGTTAAAGTCCCTATACAGTTTTCTCTCATTTACCTCCATTATACATAATAGCATACATCTACATACTGTAATTTTACATTACATTATACAAGCCAGTGTGTGTATATATACTCACATAACAATACCAGCGGTAGCAACGCACACATAATATTACCACCTGACAAGCAGTATGTCTCCTGTACTGATGGAATAAAATGCTATTTCTTGCATGTCATTGTCCATTGGAATTTCAAATGTTTCTCCACCCTGAAATTCAAGAGGGATAATAAATTTCATGTAATTATAGAAACAGTACAGGTACATAAATAATGAAAAAAAAATCAATTTGCATTGCTACAATTGGTCAAATCCTATACCCCTGTACTGTAATGAGAAAAAAGCAAACTGTGATTAATATATTAGGGACTCCTTATTAATTTTTCATCTTACCAGAGTAGCTAGCAATATTACAGTACATGTAAACAGATAATCATGTTTTATCTGTAAATGTTCTTCAAAAGCCCTGGCAGTTGGCATTTTTCTCAATTACATTTGACTGTTTTGTATTTTTTTCTGTACTCTAGAATATAATATATGAACTAATCAAATTAGTTAAAAGTTTATTTACTAACTTCAACATTAGACACTGTGAAAATGTGTGACTAAAAAGGACAGGGAAGATATCTTTACAAACAATGTTCTGGCATGGCTCATGGCTGATGATGATGCCGTGGTGGTCAGTTCCAAGGGGATACAATGAGTTCTGCTATAACGCGTGTTTTGATAACGCGAATTTGCTCTAACGCAATTTATGAATTAGGAACGATATTTGTATAACGCGAACGCTTGTTTGCTATAACGCGATTTTTGCTTACTATTTCTCCAATTTTGTGGTATTAACTGTGAATATGGTAAAGAAGAATATCTCCAAGAAGTGTTCTGGTGATAGAATTCCCGGTGATGATCGTAAAAGAAAGGATATAACACTTGAAGAGAAGCTCGATTTTATCAACCTCAAAATCACCCTTCTCCCCCATCAAGTTACATTCATATTTTTTCAAGGTAAAGTGTTACATTTACTGTATGATTTCATTATTAGATATGAATGTAACATTTATTTAGACTGCTATCCTTTGTGTTCGGCTAACTACTAAATTTTTTCCATTTCGAGTAATCTGCACCTAACCCTATTTTCTCCATAAGCCCTGTTATTTCTATTACGCGATTTTCTATAACACGATATTTTACAAGAACACAATTATCGCGTTATAGCAGAACTACCTGTACTATATATCAGTGCACTGTTTACTGCATAAATATATTTCAAGTACATATTAGAATTACAACAAATGATTTTATAATAGATGAGGAAAACAAAAAGAAAACTAATTTGATATACCAAGTGTCATCTGGTTTTGTGTTAATGGTAAATGGAACAATTTATGAGAACATGGTTTTGGCAATGTTTTTTGTTGTTTCTCAGCCATAATACATATTATTTCTGACCTTTGTAACCAAATTCCTTTAACTTATCATTTTGTTTTAGAGAAGTATATACAGTACAGCATCCTATAATTTCCTCTGAAAAAGGCATCAACAGTCTGTAAAGCACACGAACAGTCTTTCTCTCATATTTTTAATTTCTAGTCTCATGCTGACCGCAAATGCACTCTCACAACCTGGTCTTGACTACCCAACATTCAAGACAGATTTTATTAGTTTTTTCAGTACTGCACCGGTAGTTTAGGAGGTTTCATTGCATGGGTCTGTAGAATGGTAGATTGTAAAGGTCTGTAGACAACATACAGTAGTTGAAATGAGATCCCAAAAATTCCCAACTGTCATCCTCAAATTGGATTGACTAGAGATAATAAAATAACTAGACAACATGACACAAATTACAGAGTCCTGTATGTACAATGTTCTCTGGTTCTACAGGATCCATAAATGGAAGTTCACAAAGAAGAGTTCACCACATGTCAACTATGCTGATAAGATTTACCAGAGTTCCAAAAACTAAAAACTACTTGAGCTAGAACTCTCGCTTCAGAATAACCACAGAAAATACAGGAACAAAACTTAAGGAGAGGGTGACCTACTGCAACATTTGTAAGAAAAAGGAACACTATTTAGAGAAATGTTGGTTCAATGGCCAAAGAAATACATGGAGTCCTCATTATGCGAGTACAGTGCACTAATATCAGTCACTTCACATACACTTTTGTACATGTGCGTCGTCTGCATCATCCACTATTTTATATTTCCCATATATATACACCCATACTCTTCATTTTTTTTTTTAGTTTTATACAGTGAACCCTCGAAGATTCAGACCCTGTAAATCCAGATTTTGGAAGATTCGGACAAAAACTTTGTGGGTTCTGGGCTAAGAAGCCTCCCTAAGAAGCCTTCTCAAAACAGGGTGAAGGTAGTTTTAAGCTTAAAATTTTTATCTTATAAAATGTTACAGACTAATCTTGGCAGAATATAACTTGCATTGCTGGAATCCTTGCAAGATAGCAAATAATTTGAATATACAGTAAACATCACATAGTTTGCACAAGAGATAAAAAACAATTCCTTTCCTGCAGTATACATTTGAGTACAACAAAGTGTGTTGCTCAAAATGATGGCTTTTTCACAGGAAAAAGTCTGGATAACTAACCCAAGTGATCAGGATAATATGTACTGTATTTTTGGTGTTTTTTATATCATCATTTATCGTTTTTATACATTTAGTACATTCGCCGGAAGATTTGGACAGTTGTTTTTTTTCGGACAGGTGGCCCCCTTTTAGTCCGGATCTTCGAGGGTTCACTGTATTATACTGTACTATTTTATTTATTACTAAGCCACATTAGAAGACTATACAGTATTGTAATTTTGTTCTTCTCAAATGAGTACTGTATGGACAAGTGATAAACACGCTGAGCTACAAAGAGATGCTGGGTGAGTTAGCTCCTGCGAGAGAGAGAGACTCAAGTGTAAGGACGGCTCAGGGGGTCAGACGCATATAAGTGAGGACGAATACTCTGACACCCCATTGTACTGTATTGTATTGTTAATCTGTATAAGTCATTTATTGTCAATTAACAACCACCATAAACTGTATTTGGTTTTATTACTATACTTGTTAATGGTACTGTATTTCATGAAATTTCAAATTTTTTTCCAAAGAAAACATTTTTTTTTTTTTACCTTTTTCTTGGAAATTTATTTCCATTCACCCAAAATCTGATTTCCCCACATAAAATCCTGGATCCACCCCTGATATTTTGGGGACCTAATCCTTGAGTAACCAATAACAGTACACACAGACCACGCAGCAGTGACGGAGCTACGTATTTCACGGGAAGAACCTTTCTAGACACCTTGCCCATTGGTATCTGACCATACAAGAATATCCACTTACATTCAAACATCTTCTAGCTAGTGCGAAAGTAGTGGCAGACACACCATCTAGAAATGTAGTTCCAGTCACAAATCTCACAAATTTTACCCTTCGACGGTAATTAATGCCTTAGAATTGGGAGATTAAGTAAACCTTCCAAAAGTATCTCTGCCTATCTCTAAGTCTGCGCTACAACAAGATGTACTGCATCACTAAACAAAAATATCAAAGATGAAATATTCACCCTGATACATCATCCCAAACAGGGAATCCAGGGTAAGACAGATGTCTCACAGAGACTAGAAAAAAATATTATTGAAGAACTAAGCAAACTGACATAGAGCTACATATTGCGAAATGCTTATCATGAGTCCAGCACAAAGGAACTATTGTACTGTACAATGAAACCAGCTCCAATATTAGAGTATCCGACCTCAGAAGGACCACAGCATACCTAACTGACAGTGTATCACCAAGATCAGTCACTTTAGCATAAATATATTTCCAATATCATAAGTAAACAAATATTTTTGATAATATATTTAGACATAATGCAATAACAAAATTCACAAATTTATATAAAATACACATACTGTAGTAAATTAATGGATAAAGGAAGAAATTATTTTGAAATGAGTACCATTGTCTGTTTTTATACACTGTACAGTAGATCCTTGCCATTCGCAAGTTTGTGATTCGCGATTTTGACAATTCGCGGTAAGCAGATGGTGGCTATGGTAGCTAGCTTGCAAGCCTTTACCTGCAGCACAACGATTCACCCTATGCAGCATCTCATGTTGTACTCTCAAAATTTTAGTGTTTCTGTGTGAAATGGCCCCTAAAAGACTGTCTAATGTTAGTGCTAGTGATGCTAGTGGAGTGAAATGTAAAAGGCAGAATTTAGTGATGACCCTGACAAAGAAAGTTTTATTATTAGATAAGTTAAAAGAGGGTATGAGTGCTGCCACGGCTGATCAGTTGTTTGGTATAGGTATACAGTAGTGCACTAAGGTAGGGTAGTACAAGTTGCTATTCACGGTTTTGCCAATTCGCGCCATTTCTTGGAACCTATCCCTCGCGATTAGTAAGGGTCTACTGTACTCTAGAGAATAGCCATAAATAAACAGGACAGTGTGTGAGAACATTATTTTGACATTAAATATCTACTTTCAGTGATAAACAACACCACTCACTCCAATACAAATGACTCAACCCTTCACAGACCCATCTCTATGAATGCTTAAGTTTCATGATAACATTTCTAATGCTCTACAAGACATTTTCTTCTCTGCAGGAAGACCTCATCCACATAATTAAGCAGAGTACATCCAATTTGGTTTCCTTCTATGCTACTAAAACAAACTACAGTATATAATATTTTTGTTTTTGTAAGAGGCTTGATGCTACACCACTCGGCATAAATTCTGAAAACTACCAACCAATCATCACACTGCATTGAGATTTAGAAATCACTCCTACGTCAAGTCTTACCATGAAAACTTTGTCAAAAATTTAGCCAAAACTACTCCAATTAAACTTGAACTTATGTTCAGAGTGAGGCCCTACCTTACAGATGTACAGATAGCAACCATTCAGGTTAGCTTTATGCATTCGCAAATGTAATATTGATGTGACCTGTAGGCTGGGTTTGGTGCTATGGTGCTTTGCCTCCTCAATTCAGTGCAGATCGAAAACCATCAAAACAATCAACAACAATAACCATACCAGATCACTTTCAGCACTGCACATTTATGGGGATACTTCATTTATTTCCCTGTTCTATAGATATTATACTTAAACAATCAATGGTCTGATGAGCTACATTCAATAGTGCTATCATTAAATACTTTCCACCAGCCTAAAAGGACATCTAGGAGGGCCTTCAACTTTTTGTTGAAATTCCATTTTGCAGAACCTTCTTCCACAAAAGCTCATTTACACCTCAGACTAACAGTATGTTAGACTCCCTGCCACAGAGTACATATTTCCTGTCATATAATTTCCCTCAGCTCAAATTAACCTGTTTCAAATATCCTCAGTCTTTAGGAAACAAGAGAATGCCTCGGTAAACAGATTTGACTAAGACACTTGTCTCATCTCTCCCTGCATATTTTATGAAGAAAAAAAATTATTGAATGATCCATACACTTTAAAATAATGCTGAAAGACCGCAAGATAAAATGTATTTCATATCAAAATACTGTACTAGTTATGTATCAAGGAGTGGGGTTGTAAATTATCACTGTACACTATATACTGTATTTGCCATTACATAAAAACTCACCCTACTTGTAGAGTAGCTAAGCTTCAGATCAATAGCAGGATTGATTTTGAGGTGCCTCTTAATCATCATTTTCACTTTTGCCACTCTGGTTGATGGCAAAAATGATCTAAAGCAGGGTTCTCTTTCATCATCATCAAGAGTAACAATCTTTAATTCAATCTTGAGGTCTTTCAATTTCTGACTTTTCTGGTTAGTGCAGCCAGTTTCATCCACAGGTGAGCCAAGATCTGTAAAACACCAAAAGTTGTGAAAAAGATAAATAACTGCCTATACATAAGTGCAATTAGCCCCAGGGACATGAGGCTGGTATCATCACCTCTGTATTTTTGTTACCAAAATGAAAAAGTGAAGTAAATGAAAGTACATAACTGCAATGACCATGAATAAAAAGGAATGACTGGAGTTGTAATGAATGAAAGGAACGTGTATGTCCTGACATTGAGCAAGACAAAGTACAGTAAAGGGGAAAAGGAAACTTGCTCAGGATAAATGAAGGAGTAAATAAGTAAAGAATGTTTACACTGTTAAGAGAGAACAGAAGTGTTGTTTCCTGTTCAAGTGATGAAACACGGTGTTTCTTTATGAAATACAAAGCAGTCATTTCCAGAATACTATACATTAAGACCAAAACTTGGGTTATTATGATTAAAGAGCAGTATCAATACTGAAGTACAGTATACAACACCATTCAAAATTTGCTAAAGTTTAATTTCACCAACAACTGAAGTTCAAAGTTCTTTTCACTGATACATGAATGATGGCATGTAAAAATTAGTCCTGAACAGCTTTAATATAAATATAATGACCCAAAATAATTTTTTTAGGTAAAATTCAACTTAATTACAAGTAGAAGTACAACAGTCGTTCAAAAAACCCTAGGCATCAGGAACAAACCTCTGGTTCATTTCACAAACAACTTTTATTTTCAGAACTTTAGACTTTGAACAGAATTCATCATTCCTTCCAATGAATACAACGGAACTTTACCATAACAAGAAAAGCTACCAGAACATCTTATCTGGATGTTTGACAGTTTGGTGAGAGTGGTCCTGTCTTGATGGTTCAGGGGGTTGATCAACATAACCTTGCTCCCTCTCACACATCCACAACAGTTATTCAATACTGTAAACCCTTGTTTAACGTTGCCCCCGATAATGTTGTTTCATTATAACGTCGCTATTCTTTAGATACCCATAATTCGGATAACATCCCGCCGATTCAGGATAACGTCGTCACGGACTACTTAGTACGGTGCATCTTCCTCTCTCATCTTGGCGCGCTACGCTCTCACCCACGGAGCGTCACGGCGTCTCCAAATGTCGCCAGTCTTTGTTAAGCTACCACAGCGTTCATGCCTGTTTAAGTGTTTTTGCTCTTAATACTGTACTCTAATCATTCAAAAAGGCTTCCAAGCATCCATCAAGTGCTACTGATGCTAGTGTTGTGAAGAAGCAACGTAAGACCATTAGCCTTGCTACGAAAATGGAGGTTTTAAACTGGGAGAAGGAGCCACCCACTGGGTCTCAGTGACTTGCCACCCTCCTCCTCCACTCCACTACCCACCACACACTCGCTCCACCACCTCTGTCCATCAGTGAGTCCAATACAAAATGATTTAGTTTATTTATATATATACAGTACTATTTTCTATGTCATTGAATGTCTGTATATGTAATGTATTTTATGGGGCAAAGGAAGACTGGGGAACGTAACTCCCGTATTTTATTTATTTCTTATGGAGAAAATTAATTCATTTAAAAGTTGTTTCCATTAACGTCACGGTTTTCAGGAACGGAACCACGACGTTAAGCGAGGACTTACTGTACTTGCAAAACATGAATATAAAAGTGTTCAAGTGGCCAGGGAATTTATCCGATTTAAAACCCATTAAAAATATCTGGACCATCTTCACAAAAAGACTGACGAAGAATTTTTTATGACCAAAATCAGTGGTGAGTGAGAGATCTGTGGTGGGAAGTGAAAAATGGGCATGTGCTGTCTGTAAGAAAGGTGTTGACAGCAACTCAATAATGTGTAGTGAGTGTGGAGGGTGGGGACACAAGAGATGCATTGGTGTAAATGACAGACTGCAATATGCTGCTGTTGTATGTATGCTCATGTAATCATATGACCTTGGCAAGAATGGAGGAACTCAATATTAGGGATATATCCTTGAACTGTGTTATCAAGTTCTACTCCCTGGGCAACATGATTAGAGCTAGAGGTGGTGCTGTAACTAACTCAGTTGCAAAGATTAGAAATGGCTGGAGGAAGTTTAGGAGCTGCCACCTCTACTAATGACAGGAAAGGAAAGATGTATGCAACTGGTGTGACAATTGTGATTTATGGCAGTGAAATATTGGCAGTTAAGGAGGATGACATATATAAGCTCAAGCAAGATTAAATGAGAAGGGTGAGAAGAATATTTATTGTGACACTGAAAGAAAAGAAACCTTATTCAAAGCTAGGAGGGCAGCTATGTATTAGGAGTATTTGTGACATTTTAAGTAGAGGTAGATGGCCACAAAACAGTGATGATGATGATCTGCTAAAATTAATATGGGTTATCCAGTGAGGATTAGTCCTGGCTCTAATAAGGCAGCACCAACTAAAAGATGGAGTGATGTACAGTATAGGTGTGAGGGAGAAGTGTTTCAGATGCCAGTATTAAAGCTAATCCAATACTTGCTCACTGGTCCTGCCATATAAAAGGTTGGAGCAGTACATAAATGTTTAACCTTTGATGAATAACATAAGGAAAGGAAAAATTCCATTCCTAATTTAATTTGACATCTAAATCTGTGGGTACTTGTATGCAATTAATATGGTGAATAAAATTTTTTTATCATAATTCTACAAGTTGGGAGTGTGGCTTTATAGCTTATCTGCTCTGTTTACAAAGTAGTGGTTCCGAGGAGCAAATTCCTATGAATGAAGTATGAATATAAGATGAATGCTCGGATTTATATCAATAAGAATTCATGAGTGGAAAATGGCTGTAAAACTGAAATGATGATGATGATGACTAATAATAACAAACGTAAATGTTATAACTATATAACAATAGGGTAAAAGACAGATAGCTTGATAAGTTTAACAAGCTTTCCTATATAAACAATCTTGTTAAATTCCCAAGATCTCTTTATATTAACATTTACCTTTTACAAGCTGCAGATACACAGGATGTTTACGCTTGAAGTCATCAGTGAGGACATCAGTACATCCATCTTCTGTGCCCCCACACTTGTAATACTCATTACTGAAGGACTTGAGATAGAACAACTCACAGTCTCTTCTCTCCTTCCGAGTTACTTTGGTCCGATTCAATACCTATAAGAGTATTTTGGTCACTGTGCTGCTAAAATAAGAGCATAATGTAAAGTGGTTGAATGAAAATTTGAGAAATATATTACAAATGGAAACAAAAAAAAGTAATAAAAGTTGCTCTAATAACAAAATTTGATACAATACATTCCATTTACAGATCAAACAAAGGACTGACGTATGAAAACCAATTTTACGGTCAAATGGAAAAGACAAAAGACTTGCCAAATAACCTTACCTGGACACCATCTAGCAAACAGTTACCTGCATTCTGAGACATGGATACATACTGTTCTGTTAAATCTAATCAAAATGCTGTATTAGCGGCTATAACCTGGACTGAACCACAGTTTAAGACGCAAGCTCCAACACTGATTTGAAAGTAAAAAACTTGGCTTACAAATTCATTCCTCTAACACTTTCCTGCCAATGAGAAAATCCACCCAGGGAAAGCTTGGCTATATCTAGGACACTGTATCCACCAAATTGTATACTGTTTCACTACAACAACTGCACTAGCTTAGAAAAGCAGTTATATTTACATCTCATAGCTGGCCCCTCATTTCTAAAAAATGTGGGTCTCTGAAGAAAATAAGTGTTGCTATTCAAGACTGAAAAATTAGACGACAAAGAGAGTTCCCCTTAAAATTATACCTCTGCTTCACCCCAATCATGTGAATTGAAACTGTATCTAAACTTCATTTTATTTGTCCAAAAGCCACCAAGTCTGAACTAGAAGGGAGGCTGGGAACTCGGGCCATTTACTCACCACTGGTAGTCATGTAATAGCCCCTGTCTTATAGGCAGAAGTATTATATAAATGGGTTAATTACATTTGATTTCTATATTCTATCACCCTCTGTAACTTTCCACTAGCTATGAGGTCGCATGTTCAGAGCACGTGTTAAGGTGTGCCCACGGGAAGTCGTGTCACTTAGTGCTGAGCTAAGGCATTAAGTAGCCGGCTTTCTGGCCACCTCTTGCGGCAGTAGTTTGATATCCTTGACGAGAGGAAGACGTTATTGAGAGCCATCATGGATGGTTCCGTCTTCCCTCGAGGGAGGACGTACATTACCGTTCTCCCTCGACGGGTATTACAAGCATTGTCACTCAACCCCTCACACCAACCGGACGTATTTAGAAGAGCTCTTTAACAGAGCCTCCGTCCTCATCTTAACACTTATAGCTACAGTGATTAAGTGACGGTGATATACACTTGAACTATATGAGATAGTTCCTCAATAAATAGAGAACAGACAATTGGGTTTCGCTACTAAAACCCCTATATAATTTACATGTTCCAGCCCCATTAACCCAGAAGGAATCAATGGTTAAAGGGCCAGCTCAGTCACAAAATGGATTTCAGGATCAATCCCCCATTTAGACCAGGCATTTGTTTAATGATTTAGTTTATAAATGCAAAATGAAAACTGGAAGGCCCTGGATCTAAATAGAAGAGAAAAATGGAGGACTGATCCTGTAATCCAACTTTGTAATGAAGCCATGATCAAACAACTGTGTATCATCAACAAATCTAGTGGCCATAAACCAAATCTCCATGGCCCCAACTTATGACTAGGATCTAATAATTGAATAAATTTAATAAACTGATTATCCATCCCTCTTCATATCAGAGTCCTGAAGGACATCTGCTTGATAAGAAGGTGAAAGTCAGCGCCAAAAGCCTAATGGTTAATTGGCCAATCAATAATATTCCTTTCATTACACATATGTGTTATTGCAAGCAAAAAAGGATGATAAGTAATCAGGTTTTGGAATTCAACTAGAGATATCTGAACTGTGGAGAGTCCTACTGGTTGTATGGAGGGCAAGACTGTTTGAATCCCATTCCTATGGTCAGATTGTTAGCAGATGACAATCATCATATCATCTAGGTTCAGTGAGATTTCTGGCCTTCACTGGCAAGAATTATATCACATGGACATCCATAGATCCAGATAAGGTTGACATGATAAGCTGTCTCACTACAATTTAAGGGCACGATAAAAAACATCTACATCATGCTAGCTAACCTGCTGAGTATGGCAAATTAATGACTAAACCTCTTGATTGTAAAAATTATGGTAAACAAAAAATTATTTTACTTCTGTTACCAATTAACTATATTTACCTTGAGATTAGTAATGCGAGCAAATGTAAACTCCTGAAAGTAAGGCGAGATCTTCATATCATAGCTGATAACTAATTCTTCCAAACCGGGTAACTTGTTGAGCTCTTCTATGGATGCCCACTGGAAAAACACAAAAACAAAATTACAGTACTGTATAACAATAATTAATTAGCATTCTAAAAATTCTAAATGCATTGAAATTATTTCAACAACCAATAAATATTTTTTTACTCTATATCCTTAACCAGGATGTCAAGGAGAACCTTTGTATGAAATTTGAACAAAATCTAAATTTCGACCACTTGTTCCCAAATGCAGGGTAATACAGTAGGTCAGCAGGCATCTTTTAAGCTTAACACTTTTTGTCTGGTGTGTAAAAATTCACATGTTTAAACGGTAAAGCCAGTCCAGATTCATGGTGAAACATATAAAAATATTTAAAATTTACTGGCATTATGTAATTGGCATTTTAAAATTCTAAATACTGTACATAGCTGGTATATTCTCGGTACATTACAGCTGTAACAAATGAACCCTTAATAATATTGGGGAGGTGCCTGTCTAAAGCTACAAGGATCTCTGAGTAAGTCGGGCTGTAAAATGAGCCACATGCCCGAAGAGCAATAGCCAGAAACTGATAAGTCAATGCACTATTATTTTTACTTCAATAAAGGTGTGAGAGAAAATCCATGTACAATTGAAAGGTATTATTGTTTCATTATGGTGTTTGATAAGATTTACCCAAGTTATGCTTAGTTTCAGAACTAAGTACTACAAGGATAATGATAATGTGTGACCAGATAATCATGATTAATCACCAGCAAAATAACTGATCAACAATATCCTCATGTGTAAAATCCTGGTAATTCTGTCAATTACCCTAGTACTGTATAACATCAAAAAATGAAAGAATATAATCAGTATATATAAATATGTTTTGTAATAATTATAATTGCAAAACTTACTGTTTCCAAAGGGTTGTTGGCAACCATCAAGTGCTTGAGGCTTGGGAAAAGTGTAGTCTTCTCTGATGCACGTGTAGAGAAGAAGTTTATCGTACTCAACTGGCAGTTGTTTGCATTTAGATTCTCAAGCCTGATTGAAAAGAAAACAATTAAAAAATAGTATTGCATAATCAAAATACTGTAGATAGAAATAGAAAACAGAGTGTAAAGTCTTGAAAATCATGAACATTACCCAGAAGGAACATGTCTTGTTACAAATAATTTGCCCTAGGAACACATTCCCCAATTATAACAGTAAGTCTACAGCAAAAACTTGTCCTATATACAGTACATCAGTATACAACAATATCCATGACATAAATCAGCAACTTGCTCACTATCATACACACAAACAAGGGTGTCCACACTACAGAGGTGATGAGGGATAACTGAAGAGTGTTTTTATTTTCTTATTATTTTTTTTAAGTGCAGAAGAGATCACGTGTGTTGAGCACCATTGGTGTCATCATAAAATCTTTAACCCTCTCAGCCTTACACGACGCCATTGTGGCGTCGATCATAAAAGCCGAAAAAAATTACGCTCGGCCAATGGGCTATATTTTAAATAACTCAAAAACTATTCGGTGAAACTGACTGAACTTTGGACGCAGCATGAAGCCAGTTCACTCTGGCCATTAGAGCAAGAGGAGGTTGTGCCGCTCGGCCCTTTAATTATTCCATGAGTTTTTGTGTAATATTATTTTTCCTTATACCACGATATTCTACATGCTTTGTTCTTTACTTTAGTTTATAGTACATATCAATGAACACCATAATACAAGGAAAATGTGAATGGAAATCGAGATGTTAATAAACATTTTCCTACTTTTCAACTTATACTCCAAAAAGTGGCTTAAATTTCAAGATTGTTAAATTTTTTATGGTTTCATAAAGTTTTCAGACAATTTTATGACAGAAGAGACCCTCTTTACAATTCATAAAACAATTCCATGGCAGTAAAATGAGAACCTAAACAAAAAAAAAAATCAAAGATTTTTTGGCAAAAACCTCCGAGGCTGAGCATACGTTTTCATGCACATATGTGTCTCAGGCTCCGAGGCTGAGAGGGTTAATATAAAGCTTTGACATACAATACATAAATGTAAATGTATCCCCAAAATATGATGACTTTTTATGACTGCTGTCATGTTTCAAAAATTTCTCTATGATAATTATGACCAAATTTAACAAAGACCTTGGAAGTGAGCCCAAATGGCAGATTTCTTGCCAAGAAGAGATGGGGTTGACTCCAACATCTATTTCTTCTAGTGATTGCAACACACCAGCAGGAATTGGGCCAAGTATTTCCAAGTTGTTGAAAGCCATCTGCAAAATTGATATAGTAAAAAATTTTAAAAGTAAGACGTAATGTTTACACATTTTTTCAAACCTGTACAATCACCAACTGAAAATATATTATTCAGTAAAACTAAGAAAAACTAATAGTAGTAGTACAATAGATTCTTCTTATCACTACTTAATGTGTTCCTGGAAAATGTCCGCATGAAACAGTCGACTTTAAAAAGAGTAATGGAAACAATGAGAAAATAAGGTTTATGTTCCAGCCCCAGACACTCAACAGCCACCCCCCCCCCCAAAAAAAATTTGATACTTTTAATAACTCCTGATTTACTTCAGTACTGCATTTGGCAATATCTCACCTGTGCTTCATCAGTCCTTAAGTTTTATTTTACAGTACTGTATATCAATGTGATCTATAATATATGTATACCAGTAATCGTGTCTTTCATTATCTGCAAAATAAATGTATTTCGAAGATAACTATGGTATGTAAATATATGTGAAGTTATGTAGGGTTGACTTCAAACTACTGTACATCTGGTATGTCCAGTAGATGATCTGGTCTATTTTATCTCCTACCTGTAATTTTTTGAGTGCTGGAAACATTGCACAGCATGTGAGTAATTCTTGCCAGGTATACCCCATCATATTGTTGAGAACCAAATGCTTGATATGACACACACTTTGCAGTAACTCATTTGGCTGCTCAGGAAGGCTCAATAAATTTCCACTGAAATGAAACCGTGTACACCATTACTGCTTTAAATACGTAAACTAACAGTGCTTAAAGGAAATACTAATCAACAGACCCAAGATATTTAGGCAGCAAAAAACTTTAACAAGGAGGTAAATAGTAAAAATAACGTTCCTGTGAGTCAATTTGAAATTAGAAAGATGCATTTACGATTTTGCTTCAAAAAATCACCAGACAAGCACATTGCATAATACATTGCTATTAGTGAACACAACAATAAGTAATTTTGTGATTGGTTGCAAAAATAATAAATTTTAATTTTATTTCTCCATTGAAACTTTGCCTCCCCTCAAAGAGATGATGTGAACAAAGTAGCAGATACAGTAGTACAAGAGTTGAATGCATATAGCACGTTTCTGTAAACTATCTTAACTATTACAGTAAAACCTCCATACAGAATAACAGGAGCTTTATTCTTACTGAAATACAACAAATTCTTAATTATGATTAACTGTGTACGATGCTGCTGACAGTAATAAGAAGTGTTTAACAACAATGACTTAGTTTAGCCAATAAGGCAGGTTAGGTGAGGCACAGTACTCCTTGACCCCTAAAGCTCAGGCTAACTTGGCAGGATTTTTTCCATTCAAATTTTGGATACCAACGAAATCTGAAGAATCGGATTTTAGAAGTTTGACTGTACTGAAATTTAAAATCGATTCACTTATTTATTTGATAAATACCATCTGGAGGCCCTCGGTATTTTCTCATCCACAGCATAATTCTTGTGCAAGAATCAATTGTGTTTTGGGGGAATACAATGTGCTACATCTCTTGATCCCTAGCCAGGGAAACACCCCTCCAAGATAGGCTTAGTAAATAAAATAACCATATCCAGAGCCAGGAAGGTCACCCTTCTGTGATATGGGAATCATTACAGTGGCTTATGTTTTGCTCTGATGAAATATAACTAACAAGACTGCATTTTGTTACCAAACATATTTCTACTGAAAAATTATTATTATTTAAGAAGTCACAAAAAAATTTACCTGATATTTAAGAGCTGAAGGTTAGGCAGCTGACATGTGATGTCTGCAACAGCCTTCCAGGATGAGAGTAAGGAGTTAGAAAGATCAAGGTAATGAAGCCTCGGTAAAAGTGTAAGCAAGTCACTTTCATCAGTACCATTAACCTTCCATCCATTTAGTACTACAATTTCCAGCTCTTGTAAGTTGCTGAAAAGAAAAAAAAAGTAAGAAAATTGGCTTTTCAAAACCACTGGACCAAATGCTGAAAACCATTTTCCAGTTAAGGTGAGTCACCCATGATATTCCAGCACAGTGAATTCTTCATAACACTGGTTAGTCACAGCACTCTCATTCAACAACCAAAAGACAACATTCTTGCAAATAATGTAATTTATGTGAAAGCACAACTCACCCACTTACATCCAAAGCCTAAAATGGTATGCATGGATAAAATGGTTGCCTGTTGTGGCCATTGTTTGAGTCAAGAGATTAACTCTCAAGTAATACCACCACCTTTCATGAACCACTGTGCCATGCTGGTAGCTTTACAAAGATCCATTTCCCACTCCAAGCTATCTAGTGTTTAAATCTTGTGAAGCCTCTCTCATCTTGGCCCATCGACCTTCAAAAGAGAAATGAAGAGTAAAACAGAAGATTTAGATTGCCCATGAGGGGGCTAGTTTATTGGGCACCCCCTTACATCCTGTGCAAGGTGAAGCGCAGAAGCGTTTACAGTGCCCATGCGGAGTTCATGTTTGCCTTTATGGCTCGTGCATTAAGGGCGTAAAAGCCTGAAGGGTCATGGGTTTTGTCAGCAAGTTACATAAAGTGACAGAATGATGAGTGTGTGGGGGGAAAATTACCGGTACAATTTATGTTTATGGCAAAGCGTGGCAGGTCCCTAATAATGTTAAGTACCAGGCCTGTCACTAGGAGGAGGGATATCTGGTCAGGGAGGGAAGAGGTGTTGGCTGGGGACCTGTAGGAGGAGGTCATAGGGCAAGTGAGGATGTAGTGAGAGAGGGTGTGAGAGTCAGTTGACCACAAGCTTCCCAGCATCACACAAATTGGTTTTCACTGAAGAACCTTGAGATATAGGTCTTATCTCAAGACCAGGTTCTTCATTGTAGAAATAAAAGAATAGACAATCCCTTCAGTTACTCTGAGAAAGAATCTAAACCCTTGAGAGTAAAGCTACATAATCAGAATGAGTGAGTTTTATCATTACCATCATCATAATCACAATTTTTCAGCTATTTACCAAGTTTGTATCAATTAGCCATGATTACATGATGACAGTTTTTCATCCTGCACAGTCTCTTGTAACCCATCTCATCAGGATCTTAACTCTGATGTCATTTCTTACAACCTCTGCCCTATGTCATTCTATATCTTGACCCAATTGATCTCCTCCATTATCACCACATGACTGAACGGTCTCAGCCTACCTCTACACAAAACCTTGCCAATTCTCTCAACACCCAGCTGCCCTCTTAACTCTGAACAAGGTTTCCTACCTTTCAAGATCACATTACATATTCTGCACTGTATATTATCAATATGTTAATTAAATTTCAGAATGACCAATAATTTTAATGTAAAAATGCAAAAATATTCAAGAGACCAACAAACTCGATGTTCACTCCACTGTAAGCAAAGTTAAACTGAGAAGTGTTGGTGGGTGATTCAATCAGCTGATGGGAGCACAAAAACTGTTCCCTGTACTGTATACCTGTATATTATCAATATGTTAATTAAATTTCAAAATGACCAATAATTTTAATATAAAAAATGCAAAAATATTCAAGAGCACAACTTTCTTTATATTTACTCCACTGGAAACGAATGTAAACATAGAACCAATTCCTGTATTGGAGGACTAGCCAATCAGCTGATCAGCTGATGCGCACAACAAAGCGTGTTTCTCGTAAGGCTGTCGCTAATCAAAGTTTTGTTCGTTAATGGAACTGAAAATCCTTATGGGAGCTAATTCATTAACCAAAATTTTTTTAATTGAACCGTTTGTCAATCGAGGGACCACTGTACTTACTGCGACTCAAGGCAAATTGCGACCTCTAATATCTCATTTTTAAACAATGTCTGTCACTGGGAGCTGAGTCACCTGAAGATTACCTCCAGTAACACAGTCTAAGGATTTACATGGTAAACCCTACAGCCTTTAGAGCACATATTCACAGGTCACTCTGAACTGGGTTCATCCTATTAACTTCATTACAAATCACACAAGCTTTATTATAGACAGGTTTATGAATTTAAACTTGCCTGAAACACAGTGTACTTACCTCTGTTTCTGTGCGACCTTGTCCATTCCTACAACTTCAACAAATCTTGCCTTTATTGTTCTCTGCAGCTGTTCAGTTACCTAGGATGAGAAAATCCAGTTTAATTTCATTTATCTTTTATTTGTTTTTTCTTTGTATTTTATTCAAAATTCATACGTAAGGTACTGTGTCAACAAGCCTGTGGATGATTCCAGGGTTCACTGAACCCCTCCCCTACTTGCACCTGGGCTATATTGTAGAAATCTAGTAAAACTAGAAGGCTAGAGAAAGGATCTCTCATAGCTCAGCTGCAGACCCTATAAAACTAGAGTAACAATTATAAGTCAGTTACCAAAAGCAGAAGTAACCACCATACTACAGTCAAACTTTTCATGATGAAACAAAGTTATAAAACAGACCACATGCTCAATCATCCTTAGTTCACATCTCACTTTAGCATCCCCAAGAAGGAAGGAAGGGTCTACTGATTAGCTATAAAATGGAATTTCAGGACTAAACTCTCATACTTGAATGATACTGTAGATTATTAATTACTGCATGTACCATTATTATTATGTTATTCAATATCCCCGAATTAATATTCCTTAGATTTCCTATTTTTTCCTCAGTGTCTAAATTTCCTAAAAATCAAAAAAATTCCTCAGAAGTGGAAACACAGCAAGGGACACCAACAAGTATGGATGGTGATCATATTAACATCAGAAATACATTCATCCCCCGATATCTGGAAGGCTCAGGTTGCATAAAATCTTGCCATAAAAAAAAATTCTGTACATTGAATCCAATTTTCTCATATACAGTATACAGTACTATACTCCCATTAAGTGGAGATAGGTTCCTACATAACAAACTCATGACTCTACAATGTAACCACTACACATAATAACACAACAAACTTTATTAATACTATCCTCAATATAAACACACATAATAATGCAGCAATTAAACCAGTGGAAGAGAAAGATGTGTGTGTGACTGAAAGAGTAATAATACTGTAGAAATCCCCTTATAACATGTTGCCAGTCAGCTGTGAGATGGCTCTGCACATTGCCATTGTTAGAAATAAAGAAAATATAATATAGTATAGGTATAAAAAAAAGAAAATAAAGAGCAGGGCTGTGTATGTGTGGGGGGTTGAACATATGTGTGGAGGAAGTGGAGGGCTGTAACTGAACCGCCAACCAGCTGTGCTCCCTACCAATATGACAACATAGCATGCAAACGACACGGCAACAGCAGACACACATCTCTGAACCAGCTGAGTGGCCGGCAGAACTGTGGTTCACTCTCGGCATCACCCAGAGTATGGTTTGAGGGCAGAAAGAACTACCCAGCACGGTTGATTACCGTATACCAGATTTTATTCATTTTTGGAAGGAGGAGGACAATCTTAAATATATACTGTATATGGTATATTTTTGTTTTCTTCTAAAATATTAAAAAACAATTCAAAATTTCCATTATAGTAAGTTTTGCTTTCTGTTTATCAAATTACAGATATAAATTAACCATTTCCGTTATACACTAGTGAATCTCTGTAAAGCAAATTTCCAGAAATAGAGGAATGACTGCATTGGAGTCATGTCAATATACAAGTACTACTGCATTCCTATCCAGTGGGTAATTAGTATCTGATAAAGCCTATTTCTGATATATCAAGTGTCCAATGTGGTGAGGTTTTGTTGTATTACTGTGTATCATTAATATCCTTCCTTACTTGTGATGGAATTGTAGAATCATCTTGATACCTGCCACGGATTGCTGCCTCTAAGCAGATCCCAGGGTTTAATTTCGCAGGACGGATAAATGACCCAGATGTGGGGAATCTGCAAATAGGAAGAAATTAAGTCACAGAAACAAATGCCTTACCTTTTCACAATTAATTTTATCTTACTCTCCATTCATGTGATCCACCTCATGAGAGAAGTTCCACTCCCCCTAAGATAGAAGAGTGAATAGCTTATAATTACAGTACAGATATCCCTCCATACCGTATACGAATAGAATAGGTTCCAAACAAACCATTCGTTAAGTGAATTTTCGTATCTTGATTAACAGAACGTATGGGAAAAATAGGGTTCAGTTTCCCAATGACAAAAATACCCAATATCATACCCCCCAAATACACAAAATTGATTCATAAACAAGAAATGACCCCTACCTAACTAGTGATAAATAGTATACAACTGCTGTACTGTAATTTACACATTAAAATAATAATAATATACTATCTAGATGAAAATATGCAGCCAAAACCATTAAGAAAAAGCTAATTCAAAGTTTAACACAGCTGCCAGCGGTGCCATTTGCATAGACACTGGCTGCTTCACACATGGCTGCCCTAAAGCGTCTCCACAGCAACCAGTCTGGCAACTTCTGCCAGCTCTTAGCAATTCTCCTTCCCCCACAAAGAAATATTTATTCCCTTTATATTTTTTTCCCTTATGATAGTTATTTCTTTTACCTTTTTTTTCACATTATGTCTTTAGGATTGTGTGTGCATGTAAATGAGTAAAAAAAAATGAAGAAAGCTAAGTTAATCTATCAGAAATTACAAGTTGAAAAATAATCATTACATAACTTACTAAACTACCCCAACTCATCCTGCTAACTCTCACTGGTGCACGAAGAAATATTTATTCCCTTTATGTCTTCACCTTATGATAATTTCTTTTTTTTTTTGCAGCTTCTATGTAGGATTGTGTGCACATGTAACTGAATGAAAAAAAAATGAAGAGAGTTGTGTTTATATACCCAAAACTATGACTTGAAAAATAACCATAACATAACTCCTACCTCAGCCTGGTAGGGCGAGTGCTAGACGGGTGTGGCCACCCTAGCTGACTCCCCGGGGGCACATGATTTGAATTTTTGCTGGGACCCAAATTTGTATAAGCAGGGGAAGCTTTCGTAACACGAAATAGTGGTAATTTAGGAATGGTTGTAAAATGATGGATACCTGTACTATAAATACAAATGAATTATAATATCAACAATACACTACACATAATAGTATCAGTAATTTCATATAAAAGTGTATTCCAGAGCCAAAATATGTGAGAATCTTTAATTTAGTTTCTAGATGACATAACCCCTAAATCTAGTACAGCTCATTGCACAGCATTACAGCATAAGTACATAACATTTTAAGCAAACTTTCTGAACTGTTGTCAAGTTATCATTTAGAAGCAAAGTCCCCCAATGATGCAGAAAATTATCTCCTATACTGGAAGCCAAAGGGGGCAAAGATACTGTAGTGGAATTCTCCCCTACAACTGCGTAGCAGCCCACCACCAAGCGTATCCGCATTCCAATGTGCCGCCTCCCCTAGCAACCAAGCGAGAGCTGTCCCCAGATGTTACCGTATCTTAGCAACGAAACTAGTCACCGGCTACTTCTCGGGTTTTCCCACCATGACTCATAGAGCTGGCTGCTGCTGGGTATATAAGCTCTGTCTCTCCATTGAGATTCAGTCTGACCAATCTTCTTGAACAAGCAACACCTCCTCCTCTGCCGCTGCCTGGCGACCCTCGCCTCTCCTCCGCCTGCCTGGCGGTCCTCGCTCCCGCCAGCGAGCATGTCCTTCTCTGAGCTTCCTCACCAACCAACTCTCATTCTGCCCATTTTCCTGAACAAGCAACATCTCCTCCAGCAAGCTCCACGCTGTTAACATTTCATTCAACCAGGAGGCCAGCAACAGGCAACACCTTCTCTAACGAAGCTCCTGCACATCTACCTCCTTCAACACGATACTCCCGAACGTCTTCTACTGAGCTGCTCCCCACCACACGGCATCTCCAGCACCAGACTGTCTATCATATAACTTATATATATTATATAAGAAAACCACATTAGAGTTTCCTTCCATCCTGAGTGCTAGACAACATTAATATCTCGATACCCCTACAATACCTCATAATAAATACTGAATGATTCCAAGCATGTGTAATCTCTAACAAGAATTGGTTGAAGCATTTTGAAGATATTACTGTGTGGAAATTTATGGAAGAAAAAGGACATCCAATTAAAACACTAAGGCACTCTGAATTATTTTACCTTGTTTCAAAATATGTGATTCCATTATGGGTTCCATTATGCCTGCCCCGACTAGCATCATCCCAGTCAACACCATACCATATTCCTTCTGTAGTTGGAACCTCACCAATCCATCTCACTGTTCCTCTTGCTCCATCACTCTCTACCCGATTCCCAATCCTCAATGCTGTGCGATCCATCTGCAGAGAGTGTTAAAAAACTGTCACTTTTTTGTTGGCTGAAGTTGAAATGGTTGTTCAAGGAAAACTTACTGTCCAGTAATGTAAAACCCACTTCTCTCAAATAAATGCGATGGTCACCTATTCTGGTTTGGCTGATTAGTAAAATAAATACATAATCTATCCAGGTTGGCAAACTTTATTCTCACAAAAGGCAAAAACCATGAGGGTCTATGAGAGTATATATTAATAAAATAATTGTAGTCCTGGTCTACTGTCATCTAATTATAAAACTAAATAATTATAAAGTATCTGGTGGCATATACAGTACTGTACTTACTTTATTCAGCTAGTCCAAACCTAACTGGACCTTGTGCAGTTGAAAGATCAACAATGGTTCCTCTCTGAGTTACAAGAATAAGTCCTTCTTTAACCAACTGTGTTCCAATCTTGCGAACAGCTGGCATTAAGTCTCTCCAAGCTTTTGGTGAGAGAGCTCTTGCAACCTGCAAATTTTTTCCACACTTTTGTAATTCTTTTATTACTCAAGATAATTCTTATACAGTATGGCAAAAGTAATACAATGAAATTAAGAATATTTTACACTTCTGAATCTTGAAACTTTTCCATTAATTTTTCCTCTACAGGGACAGCATAAGGCAAGCTGGGCCCTCATACTGTACTATGATTTGCCAGTGACAATGTCAACACTGGCCTCAAAATTTACACATGCCCAACTTGCACATGTTATCAATGGTCATCAAATTTAACTAATGTACTGCCAAAATGGCTGTACAAATTTCCAAACATACTTTATTTTTCTATTAATAACATGTAAAGCAGTTAAGAACAGTCATAGCATATAAAGAAATTTATACTAAAAAATATTACTGATAAAATACCGTATATAAAACAGAATAATTGTGAAATATGAAGAACATAAAATTACCTTCTTATTCTGAGGAGCAAGACAAATGACTTTCACAATACTGTACAACAGAAATTAAAATTACAGTTTGCATAAAGCCTGATTTAATATTAATGTGCTTTTTTATATAATTCATGTGACATGAAATCTTATGCAAGTGACTCACCTCTGACGGACAAACTGTTTTCTTGATACCCCTGGCTCGAACTAGCTCAACAATTTTAGCACGGATAAGAGCATTAAATCTTTCTGATAGGCGCTGCTGCCTCTCTATCAATGATTCTTGACTTCTCTTTGTAGCGTAAGTGTTGGCAACTGTAGGTAATGGTCCAGACACAGTTGGAGCAGGAGAATTAGTAGAAATATAAGATGTGCTATATGATATAGCAGTGTTTATAGAGGTGGTTGAGAATGCTGTGCAAGTATTACTGTTGTCTGAAGTACTACTGTTATATGAAAGCAGGTTATTGTCTGCAGCACTGTTTGAGTAGGAGATGATCCTATTGTCAGCTGTAGCAAGTACAGGTACAGCTCCAGTAGAAATAGTATTGGAAACACCAACTGAATTATTGCTGGCAATAGTGGCCTGATCTGTGACTGGAATAGATGTTGGGACAAAAGGCTGGGGACTGGCAAGCACAATATTACAAGGAGATGAGTGTGGTGTAGGTTGGGTATAGGTTATGGTTCCTCCAAGCAGACACTGGTCATCTACTGCCCCATGATCAGTCTGCACTGCCACTGCCACTGCAGTAGGGACTGCTAGGGTCCCTACTGTTGATACACCTGATGATGCCCCTATTAAGGATTCTGCTGTTGCTGGAGTCAAAAGCTGGACAGTTGTCAGATGTTGTGGTTGAACCAAATACTGTGAAAAAATAATAACAGTAAATATAAGTTCATCCCCGTCAACTGTAGACTGAACAAGAAAATCATATCTGGATACCGGTATATTGGTACAGTAATTCTTGTACCTGTAATACATGCCTTTTGTGAGCAGAGTAAATGGTGGGATTGATCCTGAAATGTTTATTTCTGGAAGAAACCTTAGCAATGCGGCTTCTCATAATACAAAATATGCCAATTGAGACTTCATCATCCACAGAAAACCCCCAATCATCCAGCCTGGGGTGACAAGGGGCAGTCAAAATGTTTAAGCTGAACAGCCCAGCATCAGCTTATCAGCAGACCTAGCGACTGTATCATATTGTACACTATACTATACTGCATATAGAGATGTCTTCTTTCAACAAGTCCTCCTGTACAATATTTCAAAATAAAATTTATTAATAATGCATTCACTACATGTATTGTACAGTATACTAAATTTAGTAAGGTCACAGTGTAAATTCACTCGCCAAAATGCAGGTTCCACCCCCATTTATGCCAGGGATTGTGTTCTTAGAAAAGGCTGCTAAAAAGTATAGTATAGACAAAACCATAATAAACAAACACAGGTTTCCACAGTAAAAGCAGGGTCATGTTCTCAGCCACAGCTGTAATCCCACATCTGGATTCTTTTGACTTTACTTTTTCTTTGTGATGTAGAATGCGATTCCTGAATGATTATTTTACCATAAACTGTGAAAACTAAAGACACAGCAGTAGAGGGAAGAGATCCTCATAGATCTGGCATGACTCCTAGGGTCCTCGCTGGTGATGATACCACGATGGTCAGTTCCAGGGGTGTGTATTGTCATGGCATTTCTTACAGCATAAATATATTTTTTAAATGATAATTAACCAGTTGATATTTATCATTAGAATATCACAAAAAATAATAAAATATGAGAGAATCAAGTGTAAACAAGAAAAAGAGTGTTAATTAGAGATATAAATGAGAAAAAAACATGTACTGTACTCAATTCATCAAATTAGATGACATACACTACATCCAGTCCCCAAATGTTTTTAATTAACCAGAGAAGCTGTAAAATAAGAAATACCCCCTGTACTGTATATGACATTCTTAGCGATCATTAACATTACAGTCTTTCTCTTGGGTACTGACACCGCTTCACATGATGATAGACATCTTGGTGAAAACACGATGACACAAATCCACAAAATGATTTGCAAAACACTGCACAAACTCTCAATGGCTGCAGTGTTGTATAAAAGCAATAAAAAATTAAGATGGCTGGAACAGCAAAGTTCACTTATTATGACCAACGAGATTCCCAATTCATCTTTTATAACTGATTTTCCCCACACCTGTCAAAACTAATCATTGTTAAAAATCCCAAGACCATAATAACAACACAGTCTGGGCAGTCAGAAAAGGTAGTGAATGAATGATCAGAGGACAAGGTACAGAAAACTTTCCTGTTACTGGTTCCTCCCCAGACCCTAGCTTTGGGGTGTGTCTTATCACAGTGTTAAGTTTCTTTACACCAGTACAGTACTGTACAGGGTCATTCCATCGTGAGGTTCATTACATTCGCAGACAACTTATTCATGTATTCCCCGTTATATTACTGAAGTAAAACTGTATAATCAAATGGTTCTTACACCACTTATTACTAACACTTTAGAGTTACATCATGCAGTTAATCAGAATGTCCCTGTGTTGTTACTGTGAGGGTCTTTACCACTATGCTACCCATCTAGTTAATCCCACTTGTTCACGTAATCATTTCTGTGAATTGACAGACTCGATCAGAGTGCTTCATATCAGTAGCAAGTCAATGAATACGGTTCATGACCATGCCTGGCAAATTACATTAGGTAATGTATTCAATTTAGTTTTGAAATTTTTTGGAAAATGTGACTGAAGTTTATTACAGGAAAACATGAGGGTCGTTACCATGCAATGACTGTACCATTTCTTTAATATGAATTTTAACTGGGAATAGCTTATAAAATACATTGTAGCAGTACAGTATAAATATTGAATATCTGAGGAGTGTTTTGGTTCACAAAACTGCCACATTTGTAGATTGATATTTTCAACCATGGCACAAAGACGTCAACTTGTGAAGAGTTTCTAATGTACAGTACTGTATTACGATGTTTAAATTCTGGCTGAGACACATAGACATGTGCAGCTTTTTTATAATCACAATAATAACACAGGATACTACTGATACAGCAAAAAGTCTTCTTTCTTTAGTTTCCAGAAAGTGCACACAGAATTATATAAATACCGTAGTGGAAAAATCATTAATGTGCGTGTGAAGATCGTTACTACTGCAGCATTAACGACACCTAATATTGAACATATAACAAACCTCATAGGTCTTTGTGGGATAGCAAAGGCTCTCAGAGAACATTCCAGGGTCACATTAATATGGTAATATAGGATGCCTATTTATAATATAAAATTAATTGGAATTTCTCCAAATAATAAGCTTTGTATTGGAAAATGTAAAAAAAAAAATTGAGATTCAATACTTTGGAACTACAGTACAGTTCTCACATTTCAAACATGTCAATGAAAAACTACACAAGATTATTAAACATTCTAGCAGTGTTTACAACCTAACAGGATCCTTGCCATTGTGTATCATTTTATAAAAGCCTCAACTTATAGATATTTTGGCAAATGATTATGGTAAATGCCCTATTTTAGGTACGGTAGTTTTGTTTCTTCTGTTATATAATATGACAATTTTGATCATAGCTGTTTTTGTGGCTGTGTTAGAGACTTACTCTTTTCAGATTCATAAAATTCAATGGGTAGATTTTCAGTTTTGGCCATCAAGTTGACATTTTCATGGAATGACCCTATATGGTATATGCTGTATGATGTGTTATCATTACTGAAATACTGTACTTAATTTAAATATTGTACAATCAAAGACAAAAGTCGTGTCGCGGTTTTGTCCGAAGATTAAATATAACTCGTGAAACATTATGAGAGCTCTACCACAAGGCAGAGCACACCAAAAGTTTTAGCCCTTTCTGCATATGTTTTCACCAAATTTCAGGACACGACTTTTGTCTTTCATTGTACAAAAGATGCACTGATCATTTATTTAGATTCCAGTACTGTATCCTCAGATCAGCCAAAAACCAAACCCCATAAATATTCGGAAGTTTGCAGTTAATTCCTTTTACGCCAAGTACAGTTGTAATCAAAACTAATTACTTTACCTGTAACAATGACATGGGTTTCCATTACAAATCACCAAACACAAAACTGCATCTTAATTATCAATGGACACTGAATCAAATCAAAGAGGGATATCGCAAGTTCACAACAATTATTTCTTGCAATGTTAAATTAAAAAACAGGGTGACCACTGCTCTTATAAAATACACCAAGGACATATAATACAACAACGCTCAATAACATTCCCTGACGTTTTCCTTCACTACTAAATATTCTACAGTAGAGGGATCATTATACATGTCATTAGCATTTAGTTTTCCCTTACCTGATCAGAAACAATGGATGTTGGTGATGCAAGTCTTTTCACTGTCTCCTCACCATCACACCCTTCTTGTTTCCTCTTCATTTAGGTGTCCTCTAGAACATAAAAATCATATTAAACAATTGTTAATTAGATCGAATCACTCATTACAGGGTTAGCCAGAAGTTAGACTGACCCTGCATTCCCATTTTATAACTGAGCTGGTACCAGGCATGAGAAGAGAATGAATCCTCAGGTTTTAGAAATCCGATTTGTATTACAGTGATCTAAAATTTGAATGAAATGAAATATTAGTTTATCCTCCACCTTCAAACTACAACCCAAATGAATGTCCCTTTGCATAAAAGTGCTGGTAATAAAGCCAAAAGGAAATAAAACTTAACCTGACTTAGCAGTTTCCTTGGAAAGCAAACCTGCTCCTGAAGTTACACATTCATGATTAAAAGGAGACCTCTCTCTCCCACCCAGCTCAGAACTAACCTCTCTGATATTACAAGAAGGCAACTCAGAAACTATGAGGGCAAACTTTTTTGGAGTAAGAATTGTAAGGTTTTGGAACAATCTCCCAGTGAGTTGTGATGGCATCAAGTGTGAGCTCATTCAAGGCCAGACTTGACCTACACTGGAGCAGGTTCCGATATATTCAGGAGCCAGGTCATGCCCAGTATCTGCCAACAGTGCGTAACAGAGACATGAACGACCACCCAAGCGGCTAACGAGCCGACCAGTGGCGAAGAGGATAAAAGTTAAAAAAAAAAAACTGAAGGACTTTTGTTGTCCTTTTTAATTGAAGGAGTCAAATTACTCCTTCTGAGACTCACTCCCCTCACCACCACCTCTTCCTCTCTTTATCAAACGTTTCAATGACAGTCCTGAAGGAAGGAAAGTGATAATACCCTAGAACAGTACTGAAGGTTAGCCAGGAACTGTAGGAAATTGTTCTAACAAAGATAAATGCTTTCTTACCTCATTGAAATCTCATAAATTATAAGGTTTTTCTATTTACATAACATTATTTTTTATTTGTTTTCATCCTGAATACTAATGTACGTCGAACACGCTACATCTCTTGGTGACACCATAGTCACTGTTTACACAGCAAGTGTTTCATTTCATACAGTTCAATACACACAAACAACCAACAACTTTACATTTGTGCTCAGATGATAACTTTCCTATTAAGCATCATCATGATATTTTAGTGACATAAAAAATTACGGATTTGCAAATTTTGTACAGTACTGTAAATTATTTTCACAATTCTATCCTGAACAGTAGTTCATACATGAGACCAATTCCACAGAGGAAAATTTACCAACTTCTACTATATTTTATGAGTTATTGGAAGTAGGAAGAACCATCCTAACCTAGGATAGGTAGGTCAGGTTGGTTCATCATGTCTGATAAATAATATAATGTCATAGTAGATGGTATTTTTTTTTAGAAAAGCTCCTGTGTAAGAAACGGCCATGTTTACAATAAAAATTTCATTGCTGAAAGAAAAAGGCTACAAATATTGCAAATCACTGTTATTTTATGGAACTTTCTTGAGGTAAGAAAGTTTTTATTTTTTCTAAAAATAATTCCAAAATTTCCTGGTAAACCTACAATATAAGACTGTTCCTTAATATTACCAACAAACCATTTCAAGGTTGATGGAATTACTCTAGACATTCACAGAAATGTATATAATAATTGTAGCCTTCCTAGAGGAACCCAAGTTTACAATAGGGCGACTCCAACTGGAGACAAGTTTACTTCCACCTTGTTTTCATAAGTTTACAAGTAACAATTTCGTCCTAAAATTTGAGGTAGTTTAGCCCCTTGAGTTTCCTTAATTATTACCACAAGTCTATCTAATTCTATAATTAACATAATTCTTCGACTAAATCAATCTTACTTGAGCACTTCATACAAGACGGTGGACACACACACACCAGTGTTGTTTACAGGTGTCAACTGGTGCAGCCTACCTCAGGGACCCACTGTACAAACCTCACACACCAGGGACCACCCTTCTAAATTCTCCTCAAAACTATTTAAATGCCCACATGTTTACTAATGGCCATATTTCATATCTATAAAGCTAAAAAATTAGTACGGGGAAGGAAGGCAAAGAAACCGTAGAGGAAGAGAGTAGTTTTCGAGATGAAGATTTAAAACAATGGGTTTAACATTATTTTTACTATACCGTGTTAAGATTCCCCCTGCAGTCCAGGGTATGACGATGTATCTGCACCAGAGGCAGATCTAGCAATGATCGATTGTTCTGCTGTCTCCTGTTGCTTTCTTATTCTTTTGTTTGTTTGTTATAAATGCATTACCTTTTGACTTGCAATAAATATATATTAAATATATTCCTTTTTCCCATACATCCTACTCTGATACAAATTATTTAGTGTGTTATTTTTTACGTGTACTCTACAGTATAAAATATAATCTAATGACTTGCAATAATTTTATGCTCATTCAACCTCTTATATTTGTTCCTAATATGAGACTAAAAACACACATCAATATTTCAAACCCTTTTATCTGGAAAAACGATTAAAATTATTTACTTAATATTTTGCCTGCTTGATAAAATTCAATCGCATGAGTCAAGAGTCGTACCAATACTTTACGTGTGTCAGCTAGTGGCATTCTTCTGGGAAAATGCCTAAGCATATATATTTACATAATCTATATCTCTGTCATAAAGAACATGGGCAGTGCCAGTCTATTAAGTACATCCTACTTAAGCAGTCTCTTCAGAGCAGATTTGGCAGGACCGACCGAAGAAGACACTTTTTAAATTCGGATGGGTGGACACACAACACTTGGTCATGTAAAATGTGCCATACATGATACATATGAAATCTTGTATGGATAGTTTCAGTGGTTGTTACGGGGAGGGGTTGACCTCTTGGTGGCTACATTTTTCGTCCCACAGTCGAAGCTGTGCATCTAACGTCTGGTAGATGGGAAGCTAGTCTTTGTATATATTGCAGATCTTTCTTTATGAAGATTTTTCATCCTCTCAGGGATGGCTGCCCATCCCTGAACCACGTCCTGTGGTCATCATAAAATTATAGCTCTGAAGCCTCTGGCTCAAGTGGCCCAAAATGGTTTTGTTCACATTGGATGACGTTTTAGGTCTGTGGAGTGGTTGTGGGGTACGAGATATTGGTTGGCACTGAGCTTGGTGGCTGGTGCTGGGAGGAGGCAGCGTGGTTACAAGCGTTAAGTAGGGAGAGCTGGTTGGTGAGGGTGCTCAGAGGAGGTGTTGCTTGCTGCGGCTGTAGCTAGAAGAAGGGCAGGTCACGGCCAGGTGAGGTCTTATATAGCGGGGATAGGCGTGGCTTGATTGTAGACCTCCGCTTTGTTCGGAGGCGCTGGTTACCTGACCTTACCCACGAGGTGCAGGCTGGTGAATTCGCGGGGGGTCGGCTAGTCAGCGACATACGGCGTTTGTAGGGGAGGAATCCACTACATGGTGGCTGGTGCGTTAGGCCTGTTTCTTTGGCGAACTACAGGTCTGGGGTACTATTAAGCCACGCCTACCTCCGCTATATAAGATCTCACCTCGTGGTGACCTACCTCTTTCTACCTACAGTCAGTCTTCAAGCAACACCTCCTCCTCCACTCCTGCCTGGCGGCCCTCGCTCCAGCCGGCGACCATGGCAACCCACACCTCGTGGTGACCACTCTTACTACTCACAGCCACCAGCAAGCAACACCTCCTCCTCCTCCTCCTGCCTGGCTGTCCTCGCTCCCGCCGGCGACCATGGCGACCCACAAGCTGGTCCTCCTCTGAGCACCCTCACCAACCAGCTCTCTACTCAACGCTTGTAACCATGCCGCCTTCCCAGCACCAAGCTGCATTGTACATCCAATACAACATGTATACAGAGAGCACATTGTGAGTTTCCTTTCTCCATCCCATCCTATACTAAATTATTTACATTTTGTCAGGTAATAAGAAAAGAATGACGAGGACTGGATAATGGCTGATTAAACCCTGATTCGAATTTCGCAAGTTCCATTTCCAGACAGAGAAACACAGCACCTCTATATTCCAAAAGTACTGTACATACAGTATTCTGACTTGAAACTAACATTATTCGTAATACTCAATATGCATTACGCAAAATATAAAATACCGATTTCAGAAAGCCAAACTCCCATTCGAACCTAATAAAGCCATACAGTATTGCATAACACATTTTCCCACATTGCCATTCCTGCCATTCTAATTTCGAAAATATCTATATTTTAAGAGAAACTAGTAGAAATTACTGAAAATGATAACAAAAGAAATATTTAGGGCTCTGCTCTACAGACTGCAAGACTGTCAGTTGATTGAAAACGTCCAAACATATAAAAAGTTGATCAAGCACCAGTGACAGTGCTTTTGTCAGGTACCAACGAGTGTCTACGGTTGCCTAGCTTAATAATATAGACGGGCAAGGGATGGTTTAATATAAGTTTATAAGCACCTCATCGGACATTATTCAGCCGATTGTTCATATTTGGAGTTAATTAAGTTCAGAAAATTGCCAGGGCTAATATAACTCTTGAAATAACCTACCAGTGTTGTGAAGGCACCGAATGTCACCTCATTTAAAAACCACACAGACTTAATCAACACGGGCACAGGTTCATTACTGTGCACTGTACATTCTGGAGCCAGTAGTGTCTGTATACCCACGTTGCCCAAGTACATAACAGTAACACGAGACATGACCGTCTGAAAAGCTGATTAGTGGCGAAAAGGATAAAGTAAAGTAAAGTAAAGTAAAGATAAATATAGGTCAGCACGATACCGGACGCTCCTGCTTGACAGTTGCTGGCAATGTTAACAATTTACAGTACAGTACTTTGATTCTGCCAACGAATTTGTTTCCTCACTAAAGGCTAAAAATTAAATTGGAAGGGTACTGAATTAGGGGTCAGTTTACTACTTGGCTACTGAGAAAAACAATACTAGGTAGAGTAGCAGCGAGGTAAATAAGATAAATAAATCTTAGGTTTTAGTAACATGGGTAATTCCAGGATTAATTTATGATAAACTGTAATTGCCACACATTTTTATTACGTATTTTTTAAAACTATATTAAATAGTTGTAGTTTCTAAGAGTTACTTAATAAAACACATGTACAGTTTGAAATATTTTTTATTAAATAGTTTTGTTGTAAATGAAGTCTAAGAGAATTGTTTCATATAGATGGTAGGAAGTTTACCTCAAGGACTCAGACTTAAGGAATTTCTTCAACGTTCCAATAATTTCTCAAATGACATCATGAGCTCAAAAAAGAAACACCATTACTAACTTGATTTTGTGAGAGAAAAAACAGTTCTTATTTCATACATATTTTTATCCTCATAAAAATAGTAATTAATACTGACAGAATATAATTTAAATAATATATATATTTTTTTATAAGAACTACAAATATGTATTGGTACTGTTGTTTTGTTTTTACAGAAGAGAGAGAGAGGTAGAGAGAGAGAGAGAGAGGCTGGAGGGGCTGCTGGGGCACACTGTGTACACCATGATAGGCGGTGACACGCCTCGACCACCTTACTTACCTGTTAGTTATTCTTGCTCCGTCCCTTCAGCAGTAGTGACCATCATTTTAATGTGACTGTTGAGAGACGTGTGTCGACATGCCTGTGGTACTGGACAGACTACCGCTGCCTAACCTGACCTGGTACACAGGGCTCAGTGTGGTGTTATTGTCGTGTTCTGTGTATTATGCTGGCGTCCAGGTAGCCCTCAACCCCAACTGGAAGGAAAAACTCTTAGAGAAGAGCAATGCTTCACACTTGGATGATGAGGGTGAAGTGTCCCTGTATCACGTCAGTGATCATGATGGACTGTCACAAGAACGACAGATGACTCCTTACCTTATTCCTGAAGTGATCAGCTTTATGTTTCACGAGCCACTATGTATATGGGTATGTTTATCTCACCTTTACTACACACAGTAATAAGATATTGTGTCTTGAAAAATATTCATACTTCTATTTCCAATATTGTGATGAATTACCATCACCATCAGAGGAAAGTATTTTTGGTTCAATAAGGCACCTTTTTTACATTTGCTTCATTAATGGTTTGGGGAAAAATGTTTTAAATGAACGTAAAATCAACAACGCGGTCTGGTGCGGCTGGGATAATGCTTCAAGTCCTTCCATAGACCAATTTTTGTTTTAGAGATGATAATTATTTTAAGCTATACACTTTAGGGTAGTTTAGGTCAGGTTGGTTCATTTTACGAACGAATATTCTTGGACCTTGGCGACTAATTCCACCTTCCGCTAGAAACTTGACAACTGCTACACTATTTAATTTACAGTTCATACTGTAAAATTAACCAAATTAACCTACCCAACCTAACCTAATATAATACTTATCTTCTGTTATCATCTAATTTTTTTTATTTTGGGGGGCCAATATATGAGTTGTGGCCGTCAGCAGTTTGGTAATTATGGGGTGTGTGTTCAGAATGTTCCCACCACGTGGTGTAACAATAAGGGTAACATTCTAGCTTCGGTCATCTCTATGTTTTTCCGATGGTTTTTGGTGTGTTTTGAATGATTTTGATATTCCCTAACCTAACCTAACCCTAATCTATCCACAGATACCAGGAACTCTATTTAATCTAATCTAAATTCCTTAGCCTCCCCGGATGACAGAAACCATAATACAATAATACCAAAATAAGGCCCAGACCGTGATTTCCATCTGAAAACATAAGAACATAAGAATGGAGGAAACTGCAGCGGGCCTATTGGCCCATACTGGGCAGTCCCGTTTACACCCAACCCCTATTGCTCATATAAGCATCCAACCTATGTTTGAAGCTATTCAGCGTATTCGAGTTAATGATGATATTTGGTAACTTCTTCCATTCATCCACTACTCTGTTTCCAAACTAGTGTTTACCTATTTCACGCCTAAATCTAAATTTGTCTAATTTAAAACCATTGTTACGAGTTCGCCCCTGGTTGGATAGTTTGAGTACCTTTGTAATGTCCCCTTTGTTTAGCCCTGCCTTCCACTTATACACCTCTATCAGGTCGCCCCTTGCTCTACGTCTCACGAGGGAGTGCAAATTAAGATGCTTTAACTGTCTCTATACTCAAGGTTCCTAATGCCCGGGATTAGTCTTGTCATTCTCCAGCTGTCACAGTATGAATTGGATGTTTGTGGATCAGTACGCTTGTACCACAAAAGAAGATTTTGGTATAGAAGGGTTAAAGTTTATCAAACTTCATTAGTCTCTTGTCACGTGCATATATAAGTAATTGCAGCTGTGATTGATCCCCATGTCACAAAGAAGCATGTTGAAGATGAAAACATTGGAAAACCAAATGTAGGAAATTTGAAATTCATCCACCCAGGGTGGATTGGTTTAAACCAACGTTTAAATCTGTTTGGTTTAAACCATTTTTTTTAATAAATAAACAGATTTTTTTTTAAATTACTCTAGCATTTTTCCAAGTTTTTATTTCATAACAGCATGTTTTCTCTACCTTGCATGTACATGTGCATACTGAGTTCCTTTTGTGTTGTGGGGGAGGCCTGGTGGACCATAATTATGCATCACCCTTTATATAGGAATTAAACTAGATATTACAAATTACTGTAATACAATTAGCCACGATAAGTGTCAACACTCCCACACTTGAAGCAAGAAGTGAACTGAGAAACAACCAGATGTGTCACAACATAGCTGCTGTCCTACTTATCTGCACATGTAGTGTAGAGAAAACACATTGTTATGAAATACACCCTACAGTATACTGTACTTGTACTCTAGATTTAATCATTGGTTTAAACAAATCCACCCTGAGGCTAAGGGGTGCCACACCCACCAATTTGTTTGTTTTATCCTGTTGTCAATCATAAAAGGCAGTTTTATATGATATTTTAAGACGTGAGATTCACTCTAGAGTATGCAATTTCTTAAATGATTAAAATAAAATATTTTTTCGACAAATTTTATACATCAGCTTCATGTTATGGTAATATTGTATAGTATTCTTTTGAATATTGGTGAATCACATTTTTTATATGACTAATTTCTATAGGTATCACCAACTAGTGTAATTTTTCTTTTACAGACTCTGATCAACATGGCATATTGCGTTCTCATCCTGCTGGGTACTTTAATTCAGCGCCTAGTCTTTGGAGAGTTACGTGTGTCTGAACAGCAGCACATAAAAGACAAATTTTGGAATTTTGTGTTTTACAAATTCATCTTTGTTTTTGGTGTGATGAATGTACAAGCAATGGATGAAGTTGTGCTCTGGTGTTCCTGGTTCAGCGTCTTGGGTTTTCTTCATCTCCTGGCCCAGCTTTGTAAAGATCGCTTTGAATATGTAAGTTGAAGTATTTTATATTAAGTGAGTTTATTATTAAGTTTCAGTAGTGTTTCGCAAAAAAAATTAATACTATATCTCGTCAAATCCTAACATTAACCTAAAAAAAATGTACAAGATAACAATATGGTATCCTTAAAAAGATTAAGAATATAGCCTAGATAATATCTAGAAATATTAATTCAAATATGTACACTTGGTAAAAAAACTACCGTACAGGTGAGGTCCGTTGATATTCCAACTGAACATTCCCGTTGTCTTGCGAGGGTTGGCAGGCCTGAATGTGAGACATTTTGTACTTAATTTGGTAGGCTGAAATTAGCTATTTCCTTGACAATATTGAATTACTGTGTTACAATTTGATTGGAGAATGTCAGTACAGTATATCTAGATTAGTTAAACTGTATGTTATATTAAATGTTCCACACACCGTGTACTACAGTAACCATGGAAGTGGATGAGTTGTCATATAGGAATGCATTATATGTTTGGCAGAATTAGTGGATAGAGTAAAGGTATAAGATTATTTTACAACCGAATTTTGAATCTGTATTTGTATTGCAACTTCACTTTGGGCTGATGCCACATTATATTATTCTTTATTCGCATTGGAAAATATACCATGCTGTTCCGAAACATCTGAATGGCTCCACAGTTTTGCATGCCGTCATAATGGAACCTGTCCCAACGACGGTTACCATACGGTCGATAATTCCTGAAAGTCTAGTGCTGGGTTTCGTTTCAGAGTGCCGATCACTTGTTTCGAGCATGTGTGGCCGAACCCATACACGCGCAGGGCTACCAATGCGAGGAATGCCTCGGGGGCCTTTGTGAACCACTTCATTTGTAGTGTCAGTTTGTTTCGCTCAGGAATTGTAACGTTAGATTTTTTTACCGAGTGTACTCAGTGCAGTTATTTTATTTATATCGTGTACTGTAGTTAATATGTACAGGTTTCCATTGTTTTGTCAGCTTTGCTAGAATTATCACTCAAACACTGGAGCAAAACATATACTGTATTGTACTTACAGTAAATTTCCAAATTATGTGAAGACCTTAATTATTTGTATTTTTTTCTATACAGTTCTCTTCATTATGGTTTATACATAAGTCAAGAATTTATAATAACTTATATATTTTGAAAAATAATAGGGGAAATGTGAGGGAGTATAAAGGTTGTGAGAATATGGTTCAGGTGTATGGAGTCAGCCAGCTTGAGTGGCCCATGCAGGTATTAAATCTTGCTGCTACATTTACTTCAGCTCTCCAATTTTTATAACCTTTTTATTTTTCAGTTGTCATTTTCTGCAACAACACCTCGCAGAACACATGTGAGGCTCCTAGGGCTGCTGGGTATTATCCTGACCATAGCCACCTTTTGTCTTCTCATATGTGTTGTGGTTGGCTGTCATTCAGGCATTAATACCTTTGCATTTATGGTTGCTGAGGTATGTATATTCTGGTGGTTTCCTTCCTCAGTTATCCACACTTTTTCAGCTTTGTTATGACTTCTTTGATGTTTTTAGTTTACTCATGTATTTTGTACATAGTTTTTGTGTTTTGTGAGGATATTTAGCATAAATTTGGCAGGGAAATTGGGCCCTGTATAGTGAGAATTCTCCTAAAGAACACACACAGCTTGTTAAGCATGCCTTTATCGTAACACCTCCACCCAGCATTATTGTTTTATTCTTAAGTATATTACATCATGCACTTGTTATTTTTAATACCTGCACAGCCTTGAGCTATACATTACAGTACAGTATAGTGTTGAAGGTATGTCTCTCAGGGGTCACTTTCCTAAACCCCTTATTTTCCATTAGACTGAGTCCTTGCAACTTGATAGTCCTGATTCAATAAACATTCACACTGTGCTAGGCTAGAAATATCCTATGATGTTGGCCACGGAAATCACTGGCTACTATGGGTAGCCAGTGGATGGTTAAACCTGTAGTCATGAAGAGAATTACAATACTGTACGAGATGACTCTACTTGTTATGACTCATCTATAAGTTCTCTTCACAGGAATTGTAGAAGTGTTGAATGAGAATGACACAGGTAGTGAACAGACCGACTAGATCAATGTACATACATGACTGTGCGTAGGGCTGTTGTTTGTTCAGTGAGGGCACGCAACGTTCAGTTTTACAGAATTCAAGTTGCCTCTTGTGGCAGTGATCAGAGAAAATTGTACAGTATGCAGTTATGAATGGGCTGTTAGGCCAGAAGTCTGGAACTACTATGTCTTCTTCCACTTCAGATGCTCAGCTTGCCTCAGATTTTTCCTTGTTTTTATGACAAAAATATCATGTATAGGAAATGACCTTGATGATCATAATTTAAATGGGGAATTTTCAGTTGAATTTCAGCCGAGTTACACCATAGACCTCACTTTTTTCTTGTTTTGACCTGTAGGGGTGAACAACATCCTGCGATGTATCAAGGATTTGAAGACTATTTTCATCTTGATCCCATAAATGTATCTAAGGTATCACTTGCTTATGAACATGCTGCAGACTTTATTTGTAGAATCATAAATAAATGCTTTGCAGAGGGCAATTTTGTGCTATCTGAGAAACAGGTTTTATTGTGTTCACTTTTTTAGAAACCTGGTCTTGAGACTGAAAAATATGTCAAATTATTGTCCAGTCTCCAATCTCTCATTCTTATCAAAGATCATCGATCATGCTATGATGGATCAGTTAATTCCTCTGTGCAAAAATAAAAGCATTGTGACCATCACTGTACTCAGTTGCCTTCACTTTCATTATCTGTAAAGTTAGGTACCCATTTACAGCTTCATGCACTGGGGATGCCCTGGGTGTGAACCCAGGGCTAAGCATTTCTTTGCTGGCGCAACCCCTTCCATTCAGTCGTATCTCACACTGAAAGCACCCCTCCCTTAAGCAGAAATGCGGGAACAGTGGACCGGCCCTATCAGCCACCAAATTCCTCCCACTAGCCCACAGGCTGGCAGATCTATCTTTAAGGGTGCAATTTGGGTTTGGGTCGCTCTACCCAGTGTTTACTAAAATGGAATAACTGTTTCTGTTACCGATGCAACCCGAGTCGAAAGACTGCGAGTGGATGAGATTTCCAACCATGGCCAAGAGTACCAGAGGGTTAAGGCAGGAGGCGAGCGCTTGGTCCACTTGGATAGACATGGCTGACAAAAGAGCTCCTGTCTCTTAAGTACATCTTTTAGACTTGATCTCCTTTGTTTTGGGCTAATGAGTGTGATGGGAGGAAGGAATGAGTTAAATACTGTATTTATAAAATAGGTAAATGAATAAACTCTGGCTGGCATACCTTCAGCATTACAGTAAGCCTCCAGGCTCTGGGCTCTGCCTTATAAAGGAATTTTGGAGTGTTCTTCCATTGTATAGCATTTTTCCTCTATATGTTTAAATAGGTATCATATTAGGCAAATTAATATCAGAATTAGTTTTGAGCTTGAAAAACACTATTAATTTATTCTTCTTTTGTTTTTGTGTATTCCAGTGCATTCTGTTGATAGTACGAACCTTGTATGTGATTACCCGCTACAGTATCTACCTCTGGGATATCACACACGAAGGACTTTGGGAAAAACGAGGTAAGCTCACTTCTAGCAAAACAATTTATCATCATTCATGGTGTACATGCTTAGTGGACAGTCCATGATACCACACTGGTTCTCATGATAGCTCCAGTGTATCATGATCCTGAGCACAGTGGCATTGCTTTGAGGCAACATTTTCCAACCAAATTTGGATTAATTAGTTCCCATATGGAAAAGGGGCACCAATTGATATAGATTTTGCCATGCAAGGCTAGAAAGGTTGAGAGGCTTTTAGAATGCTGTCACCTTGTCTGACCCTTGACCTTTGAGAACTTGACAGTTTACAGTTAAAGCTACTTTTATGGGTGAGTTTAGTGATCTGAACTAAGTATTCATAGGCAGTTAAAAAAAAAAAGGCCTAGCTGGCAGCCCCCAGGTCTTAAGCACGCCGGATAAATGGTCCTATACATGTACAATATATGGATAAATGAATATGCCCAAAAATATGTTCTCTTATGGAAATGCAGTAAAGAGAGAAAATCAATAAATGAAGAAGCACACAAGAACAATTATATAGTATAGGATTTCATAGTCAGATTTGCAGTTTTACAGAACTTCACATTGAATATGACTTAGCTATTTAAGTAGCTAATGCAATTGTTTATTTCATTTACTTCATGTTGTTATTGCTACAGGAACTTATAGTAATGAAAAGGATCTTTTTTTTTTTTACTTTAGTTCATAAGTTAAACTAATATTTAATTTAAAAAAAAATAGTAAAGTGACATTTAAGGCAATTAACTTTATCCCTTTTGTGACCCTCAGGGCGTTGTGTGTATATGACAGAGCTGATTTTTGAGCTGAGTGAACTGGTAATCGACATGGTTCATCATATCCACATGCTGGTGTGGGGCAATATGTTACTGACTATGGCATCACTTGTCATATGTATGCAGTTGAGACTTCTTTTTTACCAGCTTCAGCACAAAGTCAAGTCTCACCGCAACTACCTTAGGGTGCTTCAGCTTATGAATATGTGAGTACCATTATTCATCACTGACTTATAGTAATCTGTTTGATACAATTCATAGACGATTTCTCTTTTTTGATACCCAATTTGTTATGTTTTAACACCTTCACTACGGGATGCCACTTTTAATATTTGGCTAACTCCAGACGATTTTATTCAGCTCAAAGGCGACACCGTACACATGGGGTTTAAATCTCAGGGTTTATTCTGCAATGCTACATACAGCGATCCCTCGGTTAATGAAATTTCGGTTAACGAATTACCTTCCATAAGATTCTTCACTTCGGTTAACGAGCAATCCCTCGATTAACGAATTCCTTACGAGCGCCCCTCAACATGTTTTCGCTTGCTCACTAGCTGTCTCATTAGTCCGCCAACACAGTAATCGGTTCTAGGGCTTAAATTCCTTACTATTTTAGTAAATATCAAGAAGGTTGTACTATTCAATCATTTTAAAAGTTTTATATTAATTTTTTTAGTAATTTTAACAATTATTGAACATAATTAAAGTACAGTACAGGAAACTAGTTTTATGCGCGCCAAGCAGCACTCAACACGCCAAGCTTGGCGTCAGTTTGCTTACAGGTTCAGAGGAAGGAACATCTTGTTTGAGACTCTTCAACATAAACGCTTTTTTTCTGTGTTTCCAGTCAAATATTGGTCATTTTGAAATATATTTTACATATTGATAATGTGTAGCGCAGTGCAGTGTTGATTTAAAGAAAATAATCTTGAATTACACCAAGTGATCTAAAATTTTATGGGTGAAATGGCGCATGGGGTGACTTCTCTTCCACCCCAATGCCTTCTCTTCTCCCTTCTCCTCCAACCCCATTCTGATTCCCATCATCATCAACCAGGAGCCTGCTACATGCACACCTCAAAGTAAGTGTACTTTACTGCATTTATTTTTTGTTTGTATGTAATTTTCGGTGAGTTGGAACCAATTATACTCAAAAACCCATTGAAACAATGGTTTCAGTTAACGAATTTTTCGGTTAACGATCAACCTTCTGGAACGAATTGTGCTCGTTAACCGAGGGACCACTGTATATGTGAAGTGGAGTACAGTATATAAATGTTTAAGATGCGTGTTTCTAGACTCATTTTGTGATCTTTGTATTTTTTCTTTGTCTGATAATCTTCAACAGAAGTTAATTTTGCCTGAGTTAAATATAAAAGGAAAATGAACAAATCTGTGTGATTTATTTAATTTTTTTTATTACCTGTTGGATTACAATCACATATATTGCTGTGGTTATTGAGGCCATATACTAAAGAATGGCTGGAGGTTTGCACTTAGTGAGGCATTGTAACTTTTTCTAAACAGTGCTGGTAATCTTTGATTACTTCAGGGAGTTATGATCCATCCATGCCAGCTGAGAGGGCGCTTGGAAGTCCTACTTATAAATGCCCAGTTCTCGTTCTGTAAAAGTGGGGTGACAGAAGTAAGGGCATCCATCCGTAAAATCTGCTTCAAATTTGCCTAATGGCAACCGGGATACCAGAGCTGTCTTTCCCCTGCTCTATGCTGCATTATCTGGGTTATTATGTTGCTGGTACAAAGGGTACTGGGTGAGCATTTTCGAGGATGACACTTCCTCTTGATAGTATATGGAGCCTGCTCCATCATCTAGCACACAATACTGCAATCAGCTTCAGTGCTTTATTGCTCGTAGGAGGGTGCCCCTAAAGCTGGTCGTGATGGCTTACCTTGGTGCCACTGGATTACTTCTGCTATGGCATCAGGTTCTTTTGTGGGCCTGTAGTGTACTTGGGTTTGTGATGGTGAGCAGTGGGTTACACATAAAGCATCTATAGGGACATTCTTGATTAATGTAGTAGATTTTTTTAGCTTTAATTGTATTTCTTAGTTCCCAGTTATTTTTTTTATATCAATCTGGTGTAGTAGAAAATTTAGCATGTCTTTTGCTCTATGTATATATTCCTTGTTTTTTTGTGAAGTTCTTATTCTGTTTATGACCAGGAGATTTTCTCTCCTCTGAAATATGTCTCACTCTTCATGCCAAGAGCTTAAACCACTCTTATAGGCTTTCAGGAGAACATGGGACATCAAATCCATTTCATCATTGGTTCTGTTTTAACATATGAAGATTTTTTGCTGATTCATGAGTCACATATTTTAAATCTTTTATTTTTATAGAGTTTAACCACATGTTAAGAAAGAGATAATTCTTAGTGCATCATTTCTAGCCTGATAATGCTGCTTATTTAAGAATAAAGATTTATGGCTAACCCACACAAATATGGAAAATGGTAATGATGATTGGTTTGCCAAGACCTAGAATATTGATTTATATTATTCTTACCATCTCAGGTACCCAGAGATTAGTGGTGATGACATCCTAGCAGAGGAGAGTACGTGTGCTATTTGCTGGGAGCACTTGGAGACTGGCCGCTGCCTCCCGTGTTCACATGTCTTTCATGCTTCGTGTCTGTTGGCCTGGCTACACCAAGACTTGTCTTGCCCAACATGTAGACATAAGTTATATAAACCAGAACAGGTACTTTTCTCTTATTTTTTGAAAAGTATTTAATAAAATTTTGAACAAGGACATTTTGGTACTAGGGTAATGATAGCTTCCCAACCAAAGGCAACATATCATCAGGTTTGCAAATAAATTAACACATCATTCTCCTACACTCACAGTGTTCATGCTGCTAATGATATTTATGAGGTAGCTCTGCAGTCTGCCAAAATTTGAGGGTCTCAGAATAAATAAAAAATAAATTTAGAATCATAGTACTGTACCACATGTAAATCTGCAGATAAACAATATACTGTACAGGTTTCTGGTGCTGGGAGGGAGAATCTTGAAATAGGGGTGACAACAACAGGAACTTATCACAGGCCAGTACAGTATATACTGTGTACACACACACAGGTATGGGGCCGTTTATCTGGTGTCTTGGTATCTGGAATGCTCCAAAAACCGGCTACGTTCTGGAACAAATTATTTGAAATGCGCACCAAGTAATTCCCAGGCCGAGCGGGAATTTCCAACCGTTCCCCACCTGTTAGCTGTATGTTATATAATGGCTATTTTTTAACTCATAATTTCAGGTGGATGTAATTTTCAAATTTTTTTTTATTCAGTTAATTACACATACAGTCAGTCCAAGAAAAAAAACTTACTGGGTAAGTATCATTAGGTATAAAGTACTTTTCAACTCATAATTATGGTTACTTATATACTTTTTTTTTTATTCATTGATATGCACACACAATTCTACATACAGAAAGTGCAAAAGGAAATTAAATAAGTAATTATCATAAAGTATAATGTTTTAAGTATATACGGGTATCCACCGTCAAACCATGTGGAGGTCGGAGGGGTTGTGGTGCAAAGCACCGTTGCTGGGGACACTGCTGCATTGTTAAGGTGAGCGTCAGGGGCGACTGAGACACACTTTGTACAATAACTTGTACTTTATCGATTTTGCTCTTTTTATGCTTTCATTAATGCTATTTATACATTTTCATTGTTGCCTTCTATATGCTTACAATTTTAAGTACAGTATTAATGTTACAGTGTGCAGGTATCCCTCATTTAATGCTTAGGATGCATTTCTGAAAACCAATCGTTAAGCGAAATGATCGCTAAATGAAGGATAACGAGAAATAATATCCTAAATGAAGGATGACGAGGAGTAATATTTGTGGACATGGCATGTAATTGCGTAGCCAAGTCGCTGACTCGTCACCCAGAAGCACCCAGATCGGGTGGGGCTGAGCTGTGAGCTATGTTATTGTTCAGTTCATAATTTCAGGTAGATATACAAAAAAATTTTCATTTTATTTTACCCTGTTACATGCACACAGTTGTTTATAGAGAATGTGCAAACAAAATAATCATCATAAGGTCAAAAACATAAAGGGAATAAACATTTCTTACGTGTTCGGCAGTTATCCCACAGAGAGAGGAAGGGAGAGGGGGAAGTGACACGGGGGATCTCTCAGCTGTTCTCTGTCTCGTGTCCTGTAAAATGATTACTTAATGGCAATGCAGTATTTTTTATTTTATTTATTATTAATTTTATTTATTCCTCACATTTACTGGTACAATACAGTATACATACGACACAGTTCATCCAGGCAGTCACCAAACTGACTCAAGGTGACGTGTGTGGCTGCTGCTTGTATTCTGTGATGTCACATAGGGGGGAAGGGAGAGTGCAGCTGGCCACAGTTACAGCTCACTGCCACAATACATACATTCACTTCCCACACATACACACTCATGCTCTTCATTTTTCTTATTTTATAGTTTTGTAGTACAGTATTGTATACTGTATACAATAGTACTCTGAAACTATAAAATGCTGCACTGTACTGTGTACAGTATAGTACCTGTATTGTAATGATGCACACTTGGAGCACAGAATCCCAAGTTTTTCCAATTTCCTTCCTTAATTTTTCCCAGTGGGGTGAAGATCACTAAACAGAAAATTGACGATCATTAAATGAGAAAGGGTGTTCTAAATATTTAATTGCTAAACCCAAAAAATCGCGAAGTGAAAAAAATTTAAACGAGGATGCCTGTACAGTTAAAGCTAGTTTTAGGGGTGAATTTAGCGATCTGAACAAAGGCTTCACAGCCAGGTACAGAGGTTTTGCTATACATTTCTTACATTTTTGGCCTGGTGCTTCTAATTCCTGAAAAAACCCTTATCCAGTAGTGACCAGGTCCCATGCATGCTGGATAAATGGTCTCATACCTGCACATGTAATGCTCAGATCCCTGCCTGTAAAAGGGGGTTGGCAATAAGACAGGCATATCACCATAAAACTTGCTTCAAATATGCTTTACCACAACTGGAACATCATATCATCAAGTGATTGTGGCCAACCAACACAAGCTTGGAAAATAGTTATAAAATGATTAGGATGATTACCCCTAATAAATTTGCTTTGTATACATTAGAGCTGGCTAAACCTCTACAGTGAAGTTTATCTGTATGTCAGGGTTGTATTACTGTAAAAGAAGGACAGTGATGTGTCATATGGCAGAAAAATGCATAAAGTGAAGCTTTCATAATTGTTGTCTGTTGATAATTGTGTTTTTGTTAGCTGAGTCAGCATATAATTGATAGTTACATGAATTATGAAAAGAATGATCTTGATTATCTTGCATTTTTTTGCTCAACAGAATGATGCAGGGTCACTGTCTGGTTCCCTGCTAGATGGTTTTCTTCCTACCAGTGAAGAAAATGGTATGGGACAGGAAAATAGTGTTAGAAATGTTGGTCATGGAGGTGCAGGAACTTTTCCATCCCCTGCTGCTCCTGAAGGTTCTCCTGGCACGGCAGGATGGCGGTATGTGTCGTGGCTTCCCAGTTTCAGTGTAGAACAGAGTCACACGCAACTACCTCGTCATCACCAAGCTAATTCACAACCAGCATCAACCTCTCAGTTGGATAGCCTTGCCAGACAGGTGAAGATTTTTTCATTATTTCTTTTTCTTCCCATTAGCTGTACAGTATGGCATATGAGGAGGACTGCATAATGTTTTTAAGGAAGTAATGAATGTGCAAGAAACAGTGGTGGTTGTTGTGATTGGTTCAGTTAACTGTTGGAGTATGCTAAGGCTGTGTAATAGTTTAAGCTGTTAGATATAATTATGGAGGGAGAGATGGCATGAATGGAAGTGAAAATGGAAAATGGATGAAGGTAGAGATAAATAGTTAAACCAGGGTGGTACATAATGGATATCTTTAGTTTTTGTAAACAGGTACAGTAGTAGTGTTAGATTAATATATTTTGGTAGAATGATAAATTGTTTTGGTGAAGTGTGTGGGCAGCATTTTCTGGAGGTGCAATAATTATATCAAAAAGATCATAGTGTGGTATTTGCAGGAGATGGACAATCTAACTGTAATGTCAGTGCATATTGAGAAACACTGGCAATGAGAAAGATGAATTTGAAAATAGATTTTATCAGGAATAAATGCAGTGAAAGACAAGGATAAGAAATGAATAACTTCCTATTGGATTTTTCTTCGAGAAGAGTTTTTATGCAGAAAACAGAGTCATTGTTTATCAGTACTGTATTTTCCTTTGATCAGTTATCACAAGTCAAGGATGAGGCTTAAAAAAATATTATTGTATCAGGGAACATAGTCCCAATTTCAGGTTTATTGTCTTGTTTTCCTTTCATTATGAAACTTTTGTTTCATGTTATCTTCTTTAATCATGAAATATGGGTTCCATAGTTTTGACAACCCAATTAGGATAGAATAGATACACACTCTGAATAACGAGATGGTTTTCAGTTCACAAAGATTGAAAGAGGCAATATGACTGGGAAAACACTTAACAGCCTTCTCCTCTCCAACTGTAAAATTAAATACCCAATCACAAGTGGTGGACTTGGGGTGTCTTGGGGACATACTCATGACCATCAGGACTGGAGGCAAGGAATATATCCATTGAGCTGCCACAACTTTCCTTTTTATAAGAACTATAATATTTGTCAGTGGATGTATGATAAATTGGGAAGGTGTGACAATATAATAGCATTCCCTTATCTGTTTTCACACACTGGTACTGGGTGCCAACTCTGTGATTTTATTAGCCACCTGAAAAAATTCCAAACCTGTGAAAATCTTGGGATGAAATATTGGTTAAGTGAACATTCTGAATACTTGATTTCTGTGAGCCTGGGCCTCACTCAGGCACATAGAAAATATTTTAGTTTCTGATTTACTCAATGATGACACAGTTTATAGTAAATTTCTATGAATTTATCATCTATGTCATACTAACAGAGCCAGATTTTATAAACACTATATACTTGGTTCATTTATTACAGGTACAGCAAATGTTTCCTGATGTCTCATATTCACACATATTGGAGGATTTACGCCACACTCATTCCTTAGAAATAACAATTGATAATATCCTTGAGCAACGCTTGGTTAATCCACCACCCATGTTTACTTCTGACGAAAGCTCAAGGTATGTAATCCTTTCTATACGAAATTGCTTTCAATATCATGAACCTGGTACTTTATTATGGTTCACTCAATCATATGCTGTTACCTTTCCGTTGTTTTCCTTGTTAATGATACAGTACATAGCCTCTGCTGAGTACTATGCATTCTCTAGAAAACAGCCATCTACTGTACTGTACATATAACCTCAGAAATCTGGAGATGTTTGACCCTAAAAGCTTGCTGGATTTGTCAGTTCTCCAGTTTTCTGAACACGGTCACTCCTACTCTTTGAAAGCATGAACAAATTTAGTTTTGAATTTCTTCAGGTAAATTGTAGTTTACTTAAGTGGTGGAGAACTTTAAAGTAGAAGTTTAAAAAAAATAATATGCAGAATATTGTATTACTTTCAAACAACAAATCACCTTGTCAGAACGATGAAAAATGAGTCTACTAAAATAATGTTAAACTGGCATATTAAGTGCCATGACAAGATGGTTTGTTGTTTATTAGTACAGGTATCCCTCGACATACGAAAATCCGCTTATACGAATTTCCTAAGTTTCACCACTAATTTGAGATACAAAAGCTTCCCTCGCTTATACGAATTTGGGTCCCAGCAAAAATAAATATAAAATAAAATATTAAATTATTACAATGAGGACAAAACATAAAGAGACGACAAGTACAAATTTCTTATGACAGCAGGAGTAATTGTGTAAATTGTGGGAGGGGCAGACAGGAGCGGGTGGTGGGGGGGTGCGGTGTCGGTGACACACAACCACACCCCCCCCTCCCACTGGGCCAAGCTGTTAGTTGCGTTATTATTGTTTTTCAACTCATGTTTTCGGGTAGATGACTTTTTTTTTTCTTTTTTTTTTTTGCATACGCAATCTTCATATAGAATGTAATATCAAATCCTTACCGGGTAGTTGAAGTTTATAGTACTGTATTCCTTAAATAATACACATTGATAGGCTGATGTCTCTCTCACTGAGAGAGGCTGCCTGTCTTGCTGCCTCAGCCACATGTCCATAATAATTTTATATTCACTATTTGTTGCTTTGAGAGGGAAAGGAGCCATTGGTATGTTTAATACCCACATCATTCCTGATGAGTTTGTCCTTCACTGTCCAGTGTTAGAACTGGTGGAAACAGGAGTACCTGGAGAACCCCCTCCCCCCCCATGTTTGGTGGGTCACTCTATGCCACCAACACACCCTGGTGTAGTTATGGGGTCCTTTTATTTTTAATGCAGCTGTTATAATAAACAAAGTTTTAAGCTCATATTTTATTTAAATTTTCTGTTCATGATGTATAATAGTGAACAGCAGTAAACAAATGATTTGGCTGGCCTATGGAGGGTGACACACACCACAACATTTCATAGCTAAAATCCATTAACATTTGATGAGCATCTATTGAGTATATTAAATATTCCTAAAGTTTTTAATCCTGTATCTAGAAAGGTAAATGAAAATTGTCATTTTGTAAAAATTGTTCATAATAATGAACAGTTGATTAATCTTTGATAGACAACAGGATGAGTGATCAAAATGTATATAGTTACATATAGTAGTCTTACTAGCCAGCTTTATAGTGTACTGAGTATTGTTCATGAAGTTTATGAAGATCTGTATTCACAAAGCCCAGTGTCTTCATCTTGAATATGCTGTATGAAGAAACAAAAGTAAGTAAGATCAGGGTTGCCTATTGTGGATGGTGGAGGTTGGTACTTAATCTTATATTTTATTACTAAAACTTATCTTTATATGTTAATTATTCAGATTTTGTAAAGGAATATTCACTGCTATATTTTAAGTATATCTTATGTTCTGAATGTTGATCCTGGGGCACTTATTTCCTCCTGTAAATCCACAAAATTACCAAGCAAACATTACTCTGCTGATGATTGTTTGCGTATTAATGGTTCAGTAATTATTTTACATTTTTATTATTACCTTTCTATAGTAATAATTATCTAGCCCCTTATTCGAAGCTAAAATTTTTTCCAAGGGCCCCTGTTAATTGATTTCAAATTTTTTGAGGTTTTACTTTACCTTATTACATCCCACATCCTCTGAATAGAAGTATAATTCCTAGGTACAGCCACTGACTCCTGTTCCTCTCGTATGTGGCCATAAGCACAAGGGAGGAAGGGTAATTTGAATGTCTTAGTTTTCAAAGCCGCTGTGAAAGTTACCTAGTATTATAAGAGCTACCTGGCAGTGGGTTTTACTAGATAATTAATTCAAAGATGAACCCTAGATTTTCCAAGGTCAGGGCAAACTCGTATCAAGGTGATGAATCAGGATAGAATTCTCTAGATAGGCTCTAATGGATGTTATAACCTTACCCAAGCTATGAACATTATCAACCTGATGCACACCTGCCTTTAGACATCTTATGACTGGCATTTTTACATCCCTACTGGTGCTTTTCCATAACTGCTAAGCCACATTGCCAGCGATATTCCTTGTACTGTAGTTTCTTTTAAAGATTATGGATAAAACAATAGGTAAAAAATAGAGTTACTGCTGTGATGGAGTAAACACACCTGCAGGAGCATTGAAGTACTGTATTTTTATTAATGTTCTAAGTATTTTTTTATTGTTAAAGTTTCAGTTCTAAGTTCGGTCTGTTTTTTTCATCCCTCCAACCTAACGTGTTAAAAAAAATACAACCTATGAATTAATTTAACATAGTCTTAAAAGCCATAAAACATCATAAATAGAAAAATAAACTTTGATAAGCAGCTACAGTCCCTTTAAGTTCCTTGGTGATAGAATAGTTTGGGCCACAGTGTCTTTCCATCAATTTACAATTTTTTTTTGTACTTAAGCCAAACTTCGTCATTTATATCACTAGTACTTTCCATTAAAACTGTGTGTCTACGTCTTCTCATTTCGCTGTGTATTCATGTTTATATTTGCATTTACTAAAATGCACATGTTATCACTGTGGCTGCCAGATCCATTTTCTGATAAACATCTTTCTGCCGAGGTAACTGAGCAATTGTGAATTATTACTGCTGGTAACATATGTCATCCTCTATGGTTCATGGCTGCTCCAGGATACTTGAAACTGGGCAGGAAACATCAGCCCATATCTTGGACTTGGGACTCTGGTCTCAAGTGTGTGAGGTACTTGGGGTAGGACTGAAAGGGTAACATTTTGTGGAAAATGCAAACTATGGGACTTTTTGGTGAACTTAAACAAGTTGGATCACAAGTGAAATCAACATGAATTAAGCCATTTTGTGAAGTACCAATTAGTGATCTGGAGAGGTGCTCCTGTAATGGAATCACTTGGCAGCTTAACAGAGGACTCTCTTGAAGTAGCAGCTATGAAATTATTTTCCTTCTAGCTTTAACATCAAGTAGAATACCAAATTCATGCCCTCTGAAAGGATCCTAAATTCTCATCATGTTGCTCTTCAATATGCTGTAGTAGCCTTCACCCTAGTATCAGTACTTATTTAAAATAAAATCCTAAAATTTACACATAAATGTATTTAATTCTCTACTCAGAAAACCAGTAAGGAGAAAAACATCTCTACCCTGTGTTTGTTGTTGGTTCCTTTCAAGGAATTATGGAACACCTTAATCAAAGTGCCTTAATCTTGAGTCATAAGTCACAGTCTAAGACTGATAAAGTTTATAATATATATGTATGGTAATAACTCAGATCACTAAATTTATACAAAATGGCTGCAGTGCAAGAGTTCATGTCCTCAGCGGCTTCATTTTTTACATGACTTTCCTAAAGTGCTTCTGCAAGGACCATCATCTCAAAATACCACAATGAGGATATAACACAAGTTGAGGTGCATAGCACTGGGAAGTATTAAAGGTTAGTCCTTGCCATCCATGTAGTTGATAATTCAGTGAATAACTCAGCTACCCAGTGGAGTACATTGTTTGAAGTATTAAGATTCTCTTTTTCCAGCTTTGCTCTCTCACAAGCTGGCTTTTGTAAAACACAGTCATTCACAAGGACTACAATCATAATTTGGGGATTGAATCCTAAAATCCCATTTTATGATTGAGAATGGAATGAATGACTTTGCTGCATTTCACTCCTTCTAGGAGTATAGCATGAAATGACAAAGTGGAGACTCTCCTGGAACTCATTGTACTGTATTGGGGGCATTCGTCCATGATCAAGTAACTTTTCTACCTCACATGTTGATGCCATTTACCTGGAGGATCCATTGTGAGATCTAGTTATGGCTAGAAATGTAGCTGTTTCAACAGCATTAACTGCTCTGTGACTCTGTCACAAGATTAGCAAGCAGTTTAAACCATGAGTCAGTCACTCAGTCCTCATTCATAAAATGGGATTTGAAGATTTAATCCCACACTTTAGCAATGGGTGGGATGCTGGAATTGACTGCTGTGGCTGGATTATCTCACAGATCACTTGTCTCTTCCATTTGGCAATAAAATAATTCTTCTCTAATATTCTGCCCCTGTGATGGATGTGAATGAATTCCAGTAAAATTTGTAAGTGTTTATTTTATGCCACCTCATTTGTATGGCCATCTTTTGGGCACATAAAATATTTGCTCTGATTTTAGTAAGGTGACTCAGAGCTTTCCATCTTCCAGAAAATGTATTAGTCATTAGACTTGTTATAAGGGACTTGATGGATTGTTAAGAGTTGAAAATACACTGAATGTTAATTTTGTATATTTTTCAGCCTTTTATTTGATGTTAAGCAAGATAAAGAAGACAACCAACAAATAATGAAGCACGATGAAGATATAGAGGAAGAAGAAGAATATTTTCAAGATGCTGAATCACTGCCACTCTCAAGGCTGTGTATGGAAGCTCTGGCTCTCACACATTCTTCCACATCAGATGACTCCAGTGACACAGAATCAGAAGGGTCAGTTTAAATGGAATATTTATTATTTTCCTGTTTTGGAATTGTGATGTCTCAGTGTCTATAGAGTGTCTGCCATTTCCTGCCTCTTCATCCCTCAACTTTACCCATTAGTATTTCTACCATTATCCCTCTATCCTAAATTACATGACCACAGTTTCTAAAAAAATATATAGAATTTATGTTTCTAGTATTTTATTCATTGCTCTAACCAGTCTTCATGTGTCTCCATTCATTTTTATAATACAGTGGAGTCTCGATAATTCACGGGTTAGGTACTAGAAGACATTGTGAATTCTCAAATTGCGAGTTGTAGTTTATTTGATGTAGGTAAATGGAAATAATTAGTTTGGTTCCAGAGGCCAAGAAATACCTATAACTGTTCCAAAACTGCTTTAATAAATGCTAAACATCGTACATAATACAGTAAAGCCTCGAATAACGATGGTAATGTGTCCTCCAATATTGCAGTGTAAGGCGAATCATCGTATCGCGAATCATTAATTACCATTAAAATAAAGCAATAATAATGAGATGCATTCCCAAATGTGACTTTTTCATATCTTTTGTGTGACTTTTTACCCTCTTTTCCCCCAAAAACAATACAATTAATGAAAATTGCAAACTATATTCTTTAAATAATGTTTCTGAATGCACCTTATACAATATAAATGAATAATAATATGGTCACACAATCCCACTTGACAATCCCACACCTACATAAATGAACACCAAAAATATTACTTACAGTATTAAATCTTTTCCATTAAGCTTTCCATTATCCTCACTTCACTTTTCACGTCACTAGCAACCCATTTACACTCACCTTAGAAGTTGTAATCTGCAGCAGAGTCGGCTGCTTTCTCGTCACTCACTCAGAAAGACTGAGCGGGTGAGCGTGAATTCGTGAGTGAGCAGCCACGGTGGCGCCTCTGGTGAGCAAGTAACGCATTTGTTTGCCATGGCGGTACATTTGAAATATTTCCTGCCCGATTTCCCTCGCAAAATAAAAAAATTATCACTATAGTATATAGGAAAATTTGGATAATTTTGGTAGCCGCAATATAAAAAAATCGTTATAAAAAGTCGCGATATATCCCAACCCTCTTGTAGTAATAGAGGTACCCGCAAATTATCGAGACTCCATTGTTAGTAATATAACTTGTTTTCAGCACTCTCCTGTAGTACCACTATATAGAAACTTTTAGCCTCCTTCTTGTTGACTTTATGATGTTACTGTGCTTCAACAACTAAGGTCTTTAAGTGTGTACAAGGTTAGTAATTATACTAGTCCATCAATGATTAAAAATTATCAGAGACAGATGTATTTGTTTAGCCTCCTTCAGATGTCCAGACTTCTCACTCATACAATAATACTGATCATATTGTACAGTATATCGGATTTTAGCATTGTAGTGTATAAGGAATTAGAATTTTATTATTTATGAATTTTTAAGAAAACTTGAAGGAATATATTTCTATAATCTCTCTTAATTGCATGAGTTAGGCTGTGATAATATTGTATATTTAAAGTTTTCTCTTAATTCTCCCCAGGAGTGGTTATGGGATCGGATCATGTGGTGCTGGGAGTCGTTTTAGTAAATCTCCACAAGAGAGAGAACAGATGTTGGCTCAGCGAAAGACTGCTCTGCTCAACCAGGCCCGCCGTCGCTTTGTCACAAAGCCAAGAGGTAGCAATAGTGTAGATGAAATAGAGTTGCTTGAGGATGGAGAATGTGTAGAAAACTCCTGAAGTAAGATTCTGCTGCAGTAGTGGCCATAAACTTTTATGAACTAAATGTGTATGGCAGTTGACACATTACGCATGTTCTTTGATACTAAAGACTTTTCTGTATTCCACAGTACAGTTTCTTAGTGAACAATTTTCAAAAAAGCTAAATTTATTTTGTTATTTGTTTTATCATTATCATGTTATATTTTAATCATGTGAAAGTTTACCAGAAGTAGAGAAAACTACAATAAAGAAAATAATTTGAAAGTTTATGACTCGTGATGATTGATACTTATAGCGTATGTAGAGCAGATCAATCCATCCTGTATAATGATGCAGTAGTATGTTGCTCTACTGGACTGATTGTTGCTGGGTTATTCTAGCATAACAGAGTCTTTACCACTTCCCTCTCCTCCCAGCACTGTGCAGTATAACTTGTGTACTTGACCTGTTTGGGGGTTGACACTTGTTTCAGAAAGTTTGCTTTACACAACATTAATATTTGCTTAATTAAATAACTCACAAAGATTATATTAAAATGGTATTAAGATATTTATAAATATTCAGAGGTGGCTAGTAATGAAGTAGGTAAAGTTATTTTGTTATCGTCCCCCTCTAAATATTTCATATCAGTACGTATATGCACTATACACTAATAACTGTTAAAGTGACTGTGCTACTGTATTATATTACAAGGTAAATTAATTAATAAACACATGCAATGTGTTGGACCAAATTAGCAGCTGTATCTGCTGGGCTGCCCAACTTAGCCATCTTTGACTTTATTACTCAATAATGAGAAACATCACTTGCTACTATTATAAGGCATGATCTAACTTGCCACCTTGCCATACACTATGGTTTATACTTATTAAGGAAACCCACCTTCATTTTTTGTTCTTCACTTGTACTGTATTTTTCATTAACATCAATATGAACACTAATTCTTCTGTTAGGTAGCATAGTATAGATGACTTGTGTACATAAGTTAGTGTTAGGTTAGCTCAGCTGTGATTTTCATGTTCTTTACTATGCCATGTCATGGATTGACCTCACTCTCACAATGTAATAAAATACAAACTACTGTTAAGCTGTCTCATAACTTTGTTAATCATTATTTGAGTAAGTCACAACAATTTGCTCTACAGATAATAAAGAAAAATATGAAAATAGTGGAAATGAATCTAAGTCACAAACAATTGCAGTCATCCATACATTGTTTGAACTCTGGTATATTCCATGGTCTTCAAATATGTATTTTCCCCTTAGAATTTCAGTATAAAAGCTTTTATTGTTAATGAATGTGCAGTATACATGTATTACTGTATTATATTATTATCATGTAATTACACTTACTGTACCTGTACAGTACAGTACATAACTATATAATTATACTGTATAGCCTCTAGTTTTTACAGAATGGTCGACCAAGAACTTCACCCTCATAAGTTTGGTGTAATATTTGATCTGATTGCTCCTGCAAGGTATATTAATCAGGCACATAGCCAAGTGCTTCAGTCTTAACATAGTACAGTAGTAATCATAGAGTATAAAGTTGTTCTTATGCAGTTTATTCTGCATTTTTCATACCATAATTTCAGTTGCTAACCGGGAGTAAGGTGAGAGTATATTACCCTGTATGTACATTATTTTTATATTTGTAACTATTAATATATAATACAGTAAATACTTTGATGTGCAGATTACTATACTGTACTTTATCTGCTTTCCTCAGAGAAAATAGCAAATTACTATTTTTTTTTTTTGCCAGATTTTATTAAATGCCTTGAGCAGTGACTGAGAAAGGTATGAGGTGACCTGAATGGTAAAAAGATAACTACACTTATGCTGCTCATGAAAGTTGTACTTTATGAAGGTAAATTTGAAACTCACTGGTCAAATGAATAAAGAACCTTTCAGGTTTAGATGGCTGAGTGGTTTAAGGCACCAGACTCAAGGTAACTTCCTTTCACTTCTTTGTTAGTTATGGAGACAACAGTAACGGCAGTGCAATAGTTGGATTGGTACTTATAAACTCGTAATAATTAAAAAAAAAATCTCTATCAGCAATCTGAAATTGTTTTATGTAATTTCATGTAAATTTCATAGTAAACCCTTGATAACTTGTAATGATAGTAAAATATTTAGCTGTAAGTTATTTTTTTAATTTTTTTTTTTTTACAAAAAAAAAATAAGCTTCGCATAACTCACAATATTCCGAGATATGATGGCGCAATCTTGGAATGACGTAACACGTGCGACCTTACACTTGTGTGAGCTAACCCACCCGGCATCTCTTGCTAGCTCAGCATGTTTATCACTTCTCGGTGCTCGTTTGAGAAAAAATAAATAAATAAAATAATTTCAATACTGTACTCTAATGGGGCTTAGAAATAAAGAAAATATAACATAAAACTAAAATACAAAAAATGAAGAGCATGGGTGTGTATGTGTGGGGGGAGACCGCGAGCTGTAAGTGTAACTGCGTCAACCCCTCCCCCCCCTTCCCCAGTGTGAGTCAGCTGGGTGGCTGAGCGGCTGAACTGTATCACATCACCCAGAGGAGCTATTCTTTTGTACATAAAATAATAAATATTGTACCAGTAAATGTGGGGCATAAATACAGTAAAAATAATACTAATAAATAAAAGAAAAGAAAAAATATTGTATTGCCATTTGGCAATCTTTCACTGCACACAGGACACGAGACAGCGAATAGCCAAGAGATCCCTCATGCCACGCCCCGTTCCCCTGCTGTGTGTGATAACTCCCACGCACATAAGAAATGTTTATTCCCTTTATGATAATTTTTTTTGCACATTCTGCATGAAAATTTTTGTGTGCATGTAACAGTAAAAAAAGAAGAATAAAATTATGTACTGTATATGTACCCAAAATTATGAGTTGAATAATAGCCAAACAAAAGCCGCTCTGAGTGCTATCTCCGGCATTTTTCTCTCTCACTGGTTCAGTGAGCACCTCCCAGGCATTCCCTGGTAAAGTTGGTGCTATAAGTGCTTACTGTATATACTATCCTGTAGTGCAGTGAGCCCTCCCATCACCTAACATATGGCACCACAAACTTGAATTATCCTCATCCTTCACCAGCAGTGCTCGTAAGCATTAATTTTTGTGCAAGTTTTCTAATTATGGTAGGTTATTTTGGCCAAAATCTTGGGTACAGTATTGGGGTGGGATGAAAGACCTGGAGAATAGTGCCTTCATAACTCAAAATGGTTAGAGCCCTATATATTGTAAGTTATCAAGGGTTTACTGGACAACTTAACTTTGAACTACTGAGTTGAACAAGTGAATCAGTATTACTATACTGTATATTACTTTTGGCAACAAATCTTATAAGTATGTTTTCTTACAGTCAGCTCCCTTCACTAAGGAACATTAGTATAATACACACACTAAGCCATTAGAGACCAAAAAGACCTGACATTAATTTTTGGGACTATGTAATTGATATTGTTGAAACTGTTGTCTGTGGAAAAGGAAATGTGGAAGTAAATTTTCACTATTTTCATTGGTGGCTCAACGAGTGTGTGATAACACACTGGCTATTTCACACCTCACCCCCCTGTTTGGGTTTGCCATCTTGGTTTTCCTGGCAGCATTCTCCTTTCAGTCCCAGTGACACCTTCGCACAATAGTTTTTCTCTCTTCACTCCACTTCCTGGCAACAGAGATGTGATATGCCTCTTATATTTAGCACAGATTTTATGTAGTTTATTCCATTATTTATTTTGCACAATGTGGGTTTGTTTACTGTTTGCAACTGATGAAGTTTTAATTCAGTTTGCTTGGTGGTTGAGGTCCAGCACTGCTCACTGTGTTTAGGTATAATCCAAGTTCATGATGAGTAATCCAGTCCATTTCTTGTAGTTTGTTATTCCAGCCCCCCAATGTTAGGAAGAAGTTTTCTAATATTCTCTGAAACAGAATTCCAAAACTTTGTATTTTAGAAGTGGTTTGGGGAACTCCCTGAACTTCTGCCCTAGGATTGTGTGCAGCTTTGCATAATACTTCCTGTTAAGGGGGTGTTATGTGCTCTTCTTTATTTTCTAATTGAATATAAAGAAACCCATTGGGAATCTAACAGCTGATTTGTGTGAAATGGGATTATTTAGCAAAAGCAATTAAGTCATTTAGGATTCTCCCAAAACTGGGTTACATCTCCCCATAATGGCTCTACCACACAAAAGGTGTTTCCAGTGCTTTTATCCCAGTTCTTGCACCCTAGGAAAGTTTAATTATGGATGAAGTACTGTAATTCTGTTCTCTTTGTTGTTATTATTAGCCATGTAATGAGTGGTTTGCTAATCACCTTTGTTTTGTTATTTTTCATTAAATTTTGTTGTAAAATTCATTGTATCAGTATTTGTTTTGTGCACATTGAAATGACATAGTGGTTAATATTGTATTTGTCATTCACTGTATTATTAATCAGATGAATGTTGATGACAAGACCTGTGCAGTTTTGGTGTGTTGAAAGTTGCACCATGATAGGACAAGTACGTATTAATTTATACTGTGATGTAGTCTGCTTTGATCCTGAGGAATATTGGGCTTGAAGTATAATTTTCTGTTTCTTATGAATTATTTTGAATTGGGAGGTGCACATTCTATTATGACTTTACCATAGGTTCTCAGTAGTAGTAATTCTTTAGATTAAGGAGAGCCAAATGAAGCTGGTCCTGACCCAGACAAAAATTGCTTCTCTAGGTTTCCAGTAGTCTTTTCCTAAATAATTTTTAGGTTTTGATTCAGGATGGGAGTATAAGGTTAGTTTGATTCCTGTTCCCTGAGTCTGAAGAATTCAAGTTTGAGCTTTTCTTAAGAGGTAATTATCTACTAGGTATGATAGTTTGGTAGCTAGTTTCTTGTTAGGGTCTCTCAAGGATTCTATTGATAAGCAATTAAAACTTCATTGTCACTTTCATATACAGTACAGGTATATGTTTGGTTGGTGAATTTGGAAACTATGTTGATTTCATTGGTGTTAGATTTTATTCATTTGGGATTTTAAAAAATGTTTTATATGTAAACAAGTTAGTAGTCAACAAGAAATTGTGACTAGGCCAATGAGAGAAGCTTTTGCTCTTGATCTCTCTTTTAGTCTTTAAGGATATTTTCCAGATCCCCCTTTTTGAGGAGACTTTTACAGCCCTGAGGAGGAGGGTTTCACATATTATGCTTTGAGTTGGGGCTCTACTTTTGTCCTTTTAGTCCTTCTCTAGCGCAAGTGAATTTCAGGCTGAGTCCCCCCCCCAAAAAAATTATACTGTACACTAATGATTCTTCATTAATTTTGCCCTGTGAAAAGTATATACCTATATATTTTTTTTACCTTACCTTAAGTTATGGATAATGAAGCTGGCTCCCATTTGCATTCCTAATTGCAAGAACGCCTGTGTTTTGGGGGAGGTTATAAAGTGAATTTAAAAAAGACTTTTCCCGGTCTTGTTAAGATATTGTAAAGGTGTGGTGTCGTGATGAAGGATGCTTATGTTTTTGTACTAGGCTGTTTTCCCCTGTGATATTTATAATTGCTACACTTTTTCCTCTTTCCTTACCTAAGTGAGTTAAGCTTCAGAACAGGTTACAGTCTATGGCTATTGTGGCTTTATGGAAAAATAGTTATGAAATCAGAGGTAATTTTCTTTTTATAACAATGTTGCCGTGCTGCTCAAACTCAGGAAATTTCTTCCATTCATCTTTAACAATTTTCAACTCGTCCTATTGCGAAGTGATAGGTATGAAATAATTGTTCCTACCAGTCAAGTGGCATGAGTGCACAAGAACACCTGTCTCTTAAGTTGTCAAAATTGATTATGAGAATATATAATTACTTGTTTACCACAGGCAGTGATCATACGGATTCACTGCTTAGAAAATCTGATTACACTATGACAAAGATAGTGTAGTACCTGTACAGTATTATTGTGGAGGTGAAAAGTCTCTTTAAGCTTCAGAATTATTATATAAGTAAGTTGTTGATGTCTTTTCCAGTATATTTACCCTGGCCTTAGGATTTTTATGAATGAAGCAAGATACACTATATTATAAATATCTGCTGATGTTTTTATGGCATGTAAGTCCTCAAAAGTGACCTATGAGATACAACTACAGTACTATCACATTTATTTCATTCTTTCAACCATAAAATGGGATTTCAATCTTCAGTTTTGACAATATGCCAACAGCTGTATTTATGTTGAAATTTCTCACATTTAGTAAATATACACTTTATTCAAACTATATGGAGGTAAGAATGGGTCAAACTAGCTAATAATTCAGATGAAAGGAGTAAATCTTTCTCTTGCCTTACAGCATAACCAAACTGCACTGATTATTTTGGAAATTCTGTGAGTTAGCATAATACTGTACATACCTTTGTAACCAGTACAAGAACATGTATAAATACATACTGTACTGTACTTTTGAATTTTAGAAATTTGAAGTTTAGAAGAATAAAAAATGACCTCTTGGAGATAATGATGGTGTTGGCCACAAGTGGTGAGTGGGGGTGGTGGTAGTAAAGAGAGCATTATCATTTTACTCTTCTTGTGTATCATGAAACGAATCGCATCAAATCAATGGAAGCACTGTTTGCGTTGGTGATATGAATCGCTTCATTAAAATGTAAAAAATCTCTATTTCCCCCCCAAGGATAATTGTGTCAAATTTTCACTTCATAGATGAATGCATGATCTTGCAAGTGAAACATCCAGAAAGTAGCAAAGCGCTGGTGGAGTTCAGCTGACCATTAGTTTCCTCCTGTCAGCTGTGCTGGTAGGCCGCATTTGACCTTTATTTCCTCTCCCGCCCTCCCCAAAATTTGTCGTTTGTGAGAAAATACCGAGATATGATGCTGGGAACACCCCCCTTCCCCATTTTTTCGGAGTAAAAAAATTGTCTTCTTGTCCTATTTATTTATTATTATTTTTTGCTTATGTTAAAGCCAAAACATGAGTGGTCCCATATGACTTATGTTGTGGTCATGGAAACTTTAAGCCGTTTTGCTAGAGGGTTAACCCCCTCGAGTTAGGTTCTTGATATATTTAGCCTGGTGCAGTACTGTACTGTTAAAGAGGACAAAGTACAGTACAGTATATACTGTATTGTAAAACATAAATTTTGCTTCAGTTGTCTTGATTATGTGTATGATCACCTTATTCATTCCTTTGGAAACTTGCTCTAATGACACCACTAACAACAGAATGCACAAACACAACCAAAAAATTGTACAGTATATTACATGATGCACATATTATGGCAACACTGTCCATGTGTAGGCAGAGATGAGGGGCAACTGCCTCCCTTGCACATCTATCATAACATAAAGCTGCCACCATGTGGCAAATGTGAAGAATGAAGTAAGAGCTGAACTTGTGAGTAGTGAGTTGAAATAAAGCAACTACTGTATATATATATATAATTACTGTACAGGTAATTTGAAGAATGCAGTATTTCTTCTATTGTCACCATGCACCACTAATTCCAAGTTATTCTCAAATTGGTGTGAGAAATGTCATCAAGGCTTTAACTATATACAAACCATGGTTATTCCTCTTTAAATGTAAACTTTATATATTTACTAATATATGTGGAGAAGTGTTTTTAACTTCACCACATTAGTTATCATGATTTTTGTTTTATTCATATTACAGTGTGTGGGGAGGAAGGCAGTACATGTAGCTCAAACTCTACTGCTGGTTGGTTAGTAACTAGAATGTGCTGGGTTGTGAATTATTATATATATATATATATATATATATATATATATATATATATATATATATATATATATATATATATATATATATATATATATATATATATATATATATATATATATATATATATATAAATAATATTTGTTCCTTTACCATACCGTATTTTATACTGTAGTATCATGAATTATCGTTTAGCTGTATGTGTTATCAATATAAATTTGCACAAGATTTAATTCCCGATATAAGTTTGGAGGGACTCTTTCTAGAATATTTATTTAAAAATTACAATGGGAGTGAAGCCTCTGATCAGCTCAAGACATGATTTGTCATGTTGGGTTAAGTTAAAGGTAAACTTTGCTTAACAATGTTGTGATGTAGTGGAATACTTTAGTTAAAATATATATTATTTTTAATATTATTATGATTATCCAGGTGGCTATTCCACACACCATTGTTTCCAAGTTATATGCATGGTGAATATATTTTTTTATTTGATTTTAGATGAACTTTAAGTGCATTTCTGCATGTATTTCTACATATACAAGTGAAGACATGATATTCGGCAACAAGGGGAATATGTGTTTTTATGCTCTGTCAGAGTGACTGAATATTCTACATACCTGCACAACCTACAGTAATAGTTTATCTTACCAGCAGCAGCTTCCCACACTCACTTGTCATTGCATTCTACTAGAAATAACCTTTCCATAGATACCAAATTTAGCTTTCTAAATAGAGGAAAAACATTAATTGTTTAACATAGCGTGCATGGACTGCTAACTGTTAATACTTAACGTTACCTTGTGAGAAAATTAGGAAAAATATTGCACCTTTTGCCTTTTTAAGTTTTAAATTTTTGACAAAATAACTAGATATTAATGACGCCATCAGTTGATCATGATCTCATCAGCCTTTTCTGTTCCTTTTTACATGGCTTATCCTTTTTGCTATTTTCATTCTTTTTCCTCTTTGAAATCATGTTGCACATGTTTAGGACAATAATAAAAGGGTAAAGTCAAGTGGGGCATGTGATGTTTATAGGTTAATAGCTTATTGGGAACTGAAGTGGGGGTTGTGGAGTGATGGGTGTGAAATTAACAGTTTTTGGTACCAGGGTGGGACATTATGTGGAAAATAGGCATTCTATGCCCATTTGGCTATCACAGCAAACTATAAAGTTTATACTGTGTACAAAAATAAATAGTCACAATTATCTGACCATGTATAAGTTAAGCCATGCAAAAAAAAAGAAAAAAAGATACAATTGAGGTTATATTGTACAGTCCCCTGAAAAGTATTGTTACCTTTTCTGACATTACAATTTGAAATACAGGGGGCCCCCCCAAATTTGTGGGGGTTAGGTGTGTGTAGACACACACACATACAGTATATACAATACAGATAGAGGAAATTACTGTTTCTAGAACGAATGGCTCCCTGTCCCAGCCGCAAAAATACCGGCAACTTTAAAACTACCCACAGACATTCTTGGGTACATCCAGAGTTTCATCCGCGAATAATAGAGGACCGCTAAATAAAAATCCGTGAATTTCGGGAGGGGGGGGGGGGCTGTACTGTACAGTACTCTATTGGTCAAATGCATTGATAAACAGTATTCTTCAGTGCATCATCATATGTTGGTATGCCTGCTGCCCATATTGGTAACAACTGGAGAATGGGTACTTATAAAATATATATGCAGGGATAAAACTTAAATTATGGATCATTTTGAAACTGGCAGTTCTCTGTACAAAAGTATTACCAGATAGTATACTGTAATATGATTCATATGGTGTATACTGGTATCCCTCGTTTAACGAACATTTCAGATACAAAGATTTGCTTGTACAAATCTCCTAAATTAACACATTTTACAAAAGTATTCCCCACTTATACAAATTTTCGTCCAAGCAAAAAATTAAAATCGCATGACCCCTGGAGTCAGCTGGGGCAGCTACATCCCCCTAGCGCTCTATCTACCAGGTTGAGGTGTGAGCTATGTTATGATTAATTTTATAACTCTTAATTTTGGGTAGATATACAACTTTTTTCATATTTGTTTTATTTTTTTTACTCATTTAAATGCACAGAATGTGCAAAAAGAAATAAAAGAAACAATTATTGTAAGGTCAAAAACATAAAGGGAATAAAAATTTCTTCATGTGTTAGCAGGCTGATGGGGGGAGGGGGGTTATGTTATGGTTAATTTTCAATTGGGGTAGATAAACTTAACTTCATATTTTTTTTTAACTCAGTTACATGCACACACAACCATTTTCATGTTTTTCGGGTATGATATTGGGGATTTTCGTCATTAGGCAACCGAACCCAATTTTTCCCATATGTTCTGTTATTCGAGATAATGAAAATTCATTTCACAAATGGTTTTCAGGAACCTAACTCATTCTTTAAACGAAGGATACCTGTACCAATACTTGTGTTCAACTGTATCAACTGTTCTGAAATTTGTGGGATAACACTGCTCACAAAACCATGAATCACAGCGACCTCATAGGTAATGATACTTTTTGGGGGACTGTACGTGTCAGGCTTCAAAGACAAAGAATTATATTAATGGAAATCATTATTTAAAGGTTAATGAGTATGTTTGGAGCATTTTGCTTACATTTGAGAGAAGTAGGGTACTCAAGTATGTGGTATGTTTGTGCCTGAGTGAAATCCCCTTTGATTTTAGATGAAAAAAATTAACCAAGCAAGGTACAGAGCCCATCTCAACATCATTAACCTGCCTAGTTTAGGATTAACTTTCTGGAATCGGTCTTCATTTTGTAAATCATAATTAGATTCTGCCTATGAGAAAGAATGATACAGTTTCATATGAGTGTAAAATTGTCTGAATTAACACAGTACATCCAGATATACCCCATTATCTTACAGGTTTATATGGTACTGAAGGAGTTAAATTTTCTTTATAAATCAATATTCAGTACCCGAGTCTCACACCAAATGCATAAATATGGACACCACCAAAGGCCTTATATTTTTACGAAAGTCTTTAGTGTTACATTATAAAGGAATCAACTGATTACACCTTGAGGTTTCATTGTTGAATTTGTCATGATCCTGCTGTAGATCATATTATTAATGTAAGTGGCCTGTAAAATGCATAGAGTACGAAGGTAAAAAGCTTCTGAAAGGTGTCCAGATGTTTGCAGTTTAGACTTGATCAAGATCAATGTTTTGTAAGTAGAGCCAAAGGTATTCATTGTGAAAGGGAAATTTGGAGCTGCCATGTAAGCTACCAGTTCTTGCTGTCTAGCTGTCAACCTTAATTCATTTTCATTCTCCTGGGATGGAATGAAAGCTTTAAAATCATTGGTAAAGCTAACAATCACAAGAGTTTTCCTTTATAATTTTCCAGCCTAAATGTACTAGCCCTTGTTGTTAGTGAAATCACTGTATGAAGATATAAATCAAATGTAATATAACCATTGTATACATAAGAATTGAAAGGTGGTATTATGTGAAAAACAGAATGTATGTATTCTTGGATAATTTTTGACAGTACAGTAGTACAGTATTCAGCAGTTCATACCTGATGATTGTAAATGCCAGATGCTAGGATAATCCTTTGATACTGAAACTTGTTATTGTATTTTTATCCTGAGTCTTTGTATGGGTGATGAAAATGAACTTGTATTGATTGAGAACATGATCTATAATGATTGATTAATATGTGATAAATGATTACAGTATTGATTAATATGTGATAAACGATTATTGATACCAAGCAGTACTGTCTGAATTTCCAAATAAAGAATATTAGATAAGTGTGTCTCTTGGCAATTTGTGGTACAGATACAGGTATTTTCATTATGCTTACACTATACCCTTGTTAATTCGACAAAAAGGGGCTCTGGGTCACTCAAATTACCGAAAAATCCAAATTACAGTAATCCAGTTCGGAATATTTTTATATTATTTGACAATTTCTGAATTTTTGTGTTCGATTATTCATTCATTTTCTGTTCAGTTTTTGCACCTTATTTGGATTATCTGAAGATTGTTCCTCAGTATTCCGACCAACAAACAAACTCAGTTACCATGCCTTGACTGCAACATAAAATATTCTATTTATAATTACTGTGCAAACTATTTTTTATTTATTTTTAATGTACATACAGTAATAACAAAGTAAAGGTGACAAAGCACTTACACAGTACACAGATTAACAGCACTACTAAACCATCATCTTATAACATTTTAATTTCTGTAAACAAGAGGCTGGGGATACTGTATACTATAGCACAATAACTCATCTGGGATTTTTTGGGGGAAATTAAGTGTTTTGATAAGGTTTTTTAACTCAATACCAAATGAACCTAAGTAATATGAGAATTACTGTACAGTGAAATTTCATGCTGTCATTATAAAGGGATTGTGGGCTGAGGAGCGCAGGAGGTGTGTTGTCTTCTGAGTCTAACCAGCACTCCTTCCTTCCTCTACCACCAGCCACCTCCTCTCCCCAGCTATGCACCCAAACATAGTTTTGTATATTAATATAATTCATATTTCATTCCTATAATTCATTCAGTTTAATCCATTTCATAATATATTCCTGTAATAATCGTCCAAGTAGGATGACACCTGAACCAAGCCTGCTTAGGAAGCCGCGAGAGCACACTTGAATCGACGAGACTGAAATTTCAAGCCCATCGCTGCACAAATTTTCAGAACCAATTGATTATTTCAGATTCATTCCAAATTTAAATTGTTTAATTCATTTTTGAAAACATACGAGTTAAGCCAAAATACAAATTATAACAATCCGAATTATTGAGGGTACAGTGTATTCTGATTTAAGTGGGTATTCTTGGAAGAAAGAGAGAGAGAGAGAGAGAGAGAGGCTGATTCAGCAAGTAGAGTAGATAGAGTATGGAAAGTTTCATTAACTTTGTTATAGCGAGGAGAATTCTTCTACTTTGCAAGTGCCCAGAGAACACAATCCATATCAGTGAAACATAACTTAAAGAATGATAAATGTATGTGGAAAGATTTAGTTTATCCTTTCTCCATTTATGTATCATACACAGGTAATAGTATTTTGGTCCAAATGAGTTAGACCTATTACATACATTAGTACATGGTGCCTATGTCATATATACCAAATTGGAGATGACCTTTAATAATCTACACCCGATACATACATTCCTTTACATGATCCACACCTGATACATACACTCCTTCACATGATCCACACCTTCACTCTACACATACATCTCGTCACATAATCAACATTAGTGATTATGAACAAAGGTGGTGTATGCAGTAGCCTAAATGATCAAATGTTGTACATTAGTAAAGTTGATCTTGAGCTGATCCACACATCAGCCTAGATCAGGGGTCACCAAACTACGGCCCGCGGGCCGGATCCCAAGTCCTTCCCCGGCTCGTGGTAGCTCCGCCTACGCTCTCACGTTACCAGAGCTTTCGTTCTGGCTTGCAAGTATTGAACAGAATGATTATGCGGCCCGCGCTCGTCATTCTTTCAGTTATCCGGCCCACTGTGAAAAAAGTTTGGTGACCCCTGGCCTAGATCATCAAGGCCAGATACATACATTAGTTTAGATCATTAAGACCTGATACAGACATAAGGGTAGATATATGTGTTTATCCCTAGGAATAAGATAAATATAGATAACACAGATTGGAATATGTGTACTGTATAATCATACCTAGTAAACAATAATATGGGATGCTTAATAGAGCGATTACTTTATTAATGTACTAGGGTCTTATTCAGCAAAATTTGAAATTCATATAGGCAATACTTATTTCATACTGTGTTAACTTGTTAGGATGCCATCAAATGGGCACTGTATAGCAAAAATATACCTGAACCAAGTGAATATAAAATTATCAATATTATTATGTAACTTCTAGCAAATTGTTTTGGGTGCTAGGTCACTTAGTGATAATGTATGATGTGTGTGTATTGACACACATTGGAAGCACCTTTAATGCTGTTGTAAAAGAACATTGTTGTCTGTACCAGTTACATTTTATATATCTTATATATAAATGTAGACTTAGCTGTTATCTCTGCTTGTCAGATAGTGCAACTGACACTTTATATCATTAAGTGAAAATATAGCATTTTAAGGATAACTTCTGTTTTCAGAATCACATAACTCAAATTAACTTGTGGTAAGTAGGCAGAGTTTATAGTTAAGCTTTGCAGAGTACTCAAGAGTTGATTATTCGAATGTTAAGCTCTGTTATATTTTATCCCATCATGCACAAATATTTACTGTCATATTTGGGGAAAATATAAAGTTGAATTTTTCATAAATTTTCTTTATGAAAGTGTGTATGCTTGGTAAAAGTATAAAGGGTCATAAGTATAAACAACAAACTTAACTCTTGTTGTACTTATGTTTCAAAGGAACTGTTTACACTGATCCAAGAAAATAATATACTTTTAGATTTATCCTTGACTTAGAAAAAAAATACAATATTTTTATGTCATGTTATGTGGTAGAAGATGAAAAGCAATAGTTATTAAATTTCATATAATTGTTTGTATCTGAAACTTTCTCCCCAAAGTTGATTTTATAAAAACCATGATCTTACTTTACTTCCAGGAGCCAACCTGTTTGTTAACTTAATGTGTGTGAACTTACTGTATTGTTTCCCCAGCAATTCACACTGGAAATGAATGTTTTAGCTATGCCAGTTATTAATAATTGAATTTATTTTCTATATCAGGAAGATTAGACAACTGAACCATATTTTATCATGTTTTATGAGTAAAAGTGCACAAACTATAGAATACTTCCAGCCATATTTGCCAGGTTCAAGGCACAAAGCCTGATTTTACTTTGATGTGTTTTGAGGACTCATTATGGAGTTATCATTACATGTGAATCAGTGTAATCCAATTGTGGAATTAGAATACATGTGCTAAGCACCTCTTCATTATAGAAGAGGGAATTTGTATTTTGTTTGTTTATTATAAAAGAATAACATTGATTTCTTTGCAGATCATTGTTCAGTTTTCCTTTTGAGAAATTTATCTCTACTTGGTGATACACATTGGTGCTCTGAATGGTAGATGGTAGCAGTATCTACAGTATTCATTGATATTCTGGTTTCTGAAACTAATCTGGTCCTTTAAAATTTTAAGCTTTGAAATTTTCATCATAGTGAAGGAGAATTGTTTTCTTTCCATAATATGAGGACCCTAAACTGACCCAGTTGACAATTTTTTTTGTAAATGTTAATGTGTATGACATGCTTATGGTTAATAGCCTGTATCTACACCCAAGGCAGGCACATGTCTCATGCCAGTGTGATTATTACCTCATTAGTTGGGGAATAGCATAACATTAATAGCTTTAATGATTACCTTCACTGTAAAGTCAGAAATGTTACAATATTAGCAAACATCTGGATTTAAAAGTACTCTTATGATTTACATGATCCAAAAGAGTAAAGATGTACATTATGAACTGTTAGTTTACAATACAGTACCTGCATATCATGCATTTATATGTAATTTAGTACCTAATGATGGAAAAGAGGCTAAGATCTCATAATTGGAGGATGCAGAAAGAAGGAGGGAAACTGAAGTGCAGAGAGAAATAAACACAGCAGTAAGCATTTTGAAATTCAAGAAACCTCTTGGAGTGCATGTCAACAGGGCAGAAATAATTAAATGAAGGAGAGAAAATAATAACTACAGTCTGTACTGTATCTTAAAGAGTGTCAGATGGGGTGAAAGGTAACAAGAAAAAGTATAAATTTTATAGAAGTCATTCTGCTGAATAAACCTGGAAGTTGTATACAGATACAGTACTGAGATGTGAAAGATTAAGAAAAATAATAGATTGCATGATAAAGGGTGGAATACAGAGGATTTAGAAAAGTGAAGGATGTATGGTATAGACTACAGTATATTTACAATAAAAATGATCACAAAAGAGCAACATAAGAAATAGGAAAGGGTAAATCAGAAGGTGCAGTGGAAAGTGATGAAAATTTGTGAAATAAGAGGAAAGCTACTGGTACACCAAAAGCCTTCTAAAACCATTGTAAGGCATATGTTTGGGTAAATGGAGGACTAATTGAAAGTTTAGCATTAATTCACTTAACGTTAATTTGGTTTAGCGATAATTTTTTTTTTACACCCATTCTCACTTAACGTTACATCAAAATTTGGTTTAATTGATAGCTTGACTCCCTTAGAAGGGGAAAAATCTGGGGATGAAGTGGCCTGTTAGATGGCATGTTGCCATTGTTACATGTAATGAAACTAAAAAAAATTGTGGAAAAATCATTACAATACTCTAATGTGGCTTAGAAATAAAGAAAATATAATACTGTACAGTAAAACTAGAAGATAAAAAATGAGGAGCATGTGTGTGTGTAATATATGTGAAGTAAAATTATTTGTAGAGGCAATGGACTGTAAGTGCATCGCGAATGCAGCCGTGCTCCCCGCCTCCTTCCCCCAATGTAATGTCATGGCATAAACACAGTGCAGCAGCAGCCACACAACTCTGAGCTGAACTACATAGCATCATCCAGAGGATGGTTTGAGTGTGGAAGGAGCTATTTTTTTTACATAAAATATGTGCAATTGTATTTTATGATATGCTATGAATAAATTTTATTGTTTACCATTGAAATTTTTTGCATTTTTGATGTATGCGTTTTGAAATGTGTACAAATTAGGCTTGCCTTTTGCTCACTAAATCATTTAACTCTGAACTATGTCAGTAGGTAGTAGGCAGCTATCAAGCAGGGAGGTACTACCGCCTGGGAAGATATTGGAAGCATAATGTGTTGTCTAATGGTAGACCCTGCTGCCATATGGCATCACGAAAATTGTGACCAAGTCCCAGCTTGCTGATTTGACTTTCTGCCTCATTTACACACAATTGCAGGGTCTCAATTGTTTCTCTTACTATTGACAACACAACATACATATATTGTTTCTCACTTTTGATCTTTTTTTTTCATTTTTGTAATTCTTTATTATTATTATTATTATTATTATTATTATTATTATTATTATTATTACAGGTAGTCCCCGACTTATGACTGCTTGGACTTGCGTCCATCGGTACTTACGACCTGCTCTGACCATATGACCGTTGGGATATACGACCGCGGCAGTCGTGACCAAAAATATTTTCAAATGACGCGCGCATTTTCTATACCGAAACGTTTCTGTCCCGGGCGAGAGCGTGGCGGGCTTAGGTCGCCGAGTGGGTACACTCACTCAGTGGAGCGCTTAGTTGGTGTTTGGCTATCGTATCCTATACTGATCGCGCTGTGAACTTTTGTTATTATCGTATTTAATTGACTTTATAATGACTGGAAAGCGTAAAAGTGAGAGTGCTGGTGGTGCTCCAAAGAAAAGGAGACAGGCAATTACTTTTGAGATGAAAATGAAGATGATAACTCGGCATGAGAATGGAAAAACTGTAGCAACAATCTCACGTGACCTAGGTTTCTCACACTCTACCATATCCACTATTCTGAAGGACAAGGAACGTATTTGTGATGTAGTGAAAGGAACAACACCTATAAAGGGAACTATAATATCAAAGAAAAGACAAGGTCCTATTCACGATATGGAAAAATTATTGGTGATATGGATAGAAGACCAGATACAGAAGCGTGTACCCTTAAGCCTTCTAACCATACAGGCTAAAGCAAGAAGCCTGTTCCAAAGCCTGAAGGAGCAGGCAGGAGATGAATGTGATCAAACCTTTACAGGAAGTCATGGGTGGTTTGATAGATTTAAAAAATGCTACAGTCTACACAATGTTAAGGTGAGTGGAGAGGCAGCTAGTGCCGATGTTGGTGCTGCCGAAGCTTTTAAGGAGGAGTTAGATGAAGTGATTGTGGAAGGGAATTATTTGCCTGAGCAAATATTCAATGTGGATGAGACTGGATTATTGTGGAAGCGCATGCCTGAGCGGACATACATCCACAAAGAGGCGAAAACAATGCCAGGATTCAAGGCATTCAAGGACAGAATTACACTTCTGTTGGGGGGGAATGTTGCTGGTTTCAAGCTAAAGCCCTTCATGATCTATCATTCAGAGAACCCCAGGGCTTTTAAACATGTCAGCAAGCACACACTGCCAGTGTTTTATCGCAGTAATAAGAAAGCCTGGATGACCTTAACACTGTTTGAGGATTGGTTCATGACTTGTTGCATTCAACGAGCCAAGGAGTATTGTCTGCAACAACGGATTCCATTCAAGATTTTGCTGATTTTGGATAATGCTCCGGGACACCCACCACACCTGGACGACATGCACCCTGATGTTAAGGTAGTGTACATTCCACCTAACACTACCTCTTATCATCCAACCCATGGATCAAGGTGCTATTGCTGCCTTTAAAGCGTATTATTTATGCACGACCTTCACTCAGGCTGTTGCTGCTACTGAAGGTGAGAAAACGCTCAGAGAGTTTTGGAAGGAGTACAACGTTTTGTCATGTATAAAGAACATTAGTACAGCATGGGATCAGGTTACAAAACATTGCATGAATGGAATATGGAAGAAAATCCTGAAAAGATATGTGAACAGTTTCAAAGGATTTAAAGAAAATGAAGTTATTTCGGATATTAGTAACAAGATAGTGGAGTTAGGTAAACAGCTGGAGTTAGAAATTGATAATGAAGATGTTGAACAGTTGGTTGAAAGTGTAGCAGAAGAGCTCAGTAACGAGGATCTTATTGAACTAGATGCACAGAAAATTGCAGAGCAAGAAGAAAGACAAAATGTAGAAAAAGAACCTGCACCTCCCAAAAAGTTTTTAGTGAAACAAATGGCAGAGGCATTTGCTACAATTAATAAAGGAATGCAAATGTTTGATGGCATGGATCAAAATTATGAGCATTATGCCAAAGTTGACAGAATGGTCCAAGATGCACTTGCTTGATACAGAGAAATTTATAATGAAAAGAAAAAACAAACTGTGCAATCTAAATTGGACATCTATTTTAAGAAGTCCCCCATTGCTGTCTCCTCATGCCCCACCAGTACTGCCTCTTCACTCCCTCAAGATGATCCAATACCTTCAACCAGCAAGTTTCCACAGTACATAAACCTGTCTGAAGAAAGCGACATTGATGACCCACCCAGCTGTCTCCTCCTCTGCTTCATCCAGTTAATATAGTCTCCATGTATCCTGTAAATAGAAAATTATGGGGGCCTCGTGTGCATTCAGCTGACTACATTAAAGGTAAGTGCTCAGTTACACTATCCATTCCTCATTATTTATTACTTTGACTGTACTGTATTTCATTGTAGATTTTTTTTTTATCTATGTCGGACTTACAACGAATCGGACTTACGACCTGGATTTGGGTCCCTAACCCCGTCGTAAGTCGGGGAGCACCTGTATTACAGTGTTAGTATTATCATTATTATTTAATTTTTAATTTTGTAATTTTTATTATAAATTTTATTTGCTATGAATAATAATAATTATTATCATCATCACATTTTCGCCCCGATGTGGGTCAGTGACCTATGCCCGGGTGGGCTAATCCCCGTAAAAAATAAATACAATAAAAATAAATGGTTTAATTTCGAAACAATTTATAATAAACTTTCTTATTATTATTACGGAGTACATTACTGTACCCAGTGTTCACTGCCTTGCCATTTGAACTTGTTGTTTGCCCTCCATGCTTTGCTGTTATCTCTCATTTAGCAATAATTTCACTTAAGTTTTTCAGGAACCCAACCCCACTGTAAAATGAGGAATACCTGTACAGGTATCCCTCATTTGCCAAAAGGGTTATGTTCCTATGAAAACCAATTGGATAGTGAATTTTCAGATAGAAATATGGTTCCTTTCCTTCCCTCGAATACAAGAAAACTCCAATATTATACCTAAAAAAAATATTTAGAAATTAGTTCATGAACAACAGAAAACCTACCTAACTTCAAGAAAATGAATTTAAAAATGCCGCAATTTCACTGTGTTTTGCAGTAGACATTGTCGTATTTTGGGAAATTATGTTAAAATGGGGTTATTTATAAATTAAACCTAACCCAACCTAAGTCGATAAGAAACACAGGCGGCTGAAGTATTGTTAGCAGACGGTACCAACCTACCTAACTTCCTAGCTGGGGGGGAGGGCTCCACTCTAGACCCCCTGGCATATTAAACAGAAAAACTTGTAATTTAAATTTTTTTTGTGGATGTGAGACTGCTTGGATGGAGCTGTTCAGTTGTTGCACTGAAAGAAATAAAGAACGGATAACAACATCGTGTCGATTGGGCTGCCATACCGTTTCACTGCCAATAAAAATGAAGTATTGCGAGCCTAGGGGTCTAATTACCTACCAAACGAAGCATTTGCCCAAGAAATGAATATTATATCCAAATTCAGCGATGAAAATGTTTAAAAAAAAAAATTCATCAAAACAAATTACACCGTAACGGGTATGGCATCAATATTGCCCCTCTCCACCAATACAGTACAGTACAGGTACTCCTCAACTTATGACCTACAGGTAGTTCTGCTATAACGCGATAGTAGTGTTCTTGTAAAACATCGTGTTATAGAAATTCGTGTAATAGAAATAACAGGGCTTATGGAGAAAATAGGGTTAGGTGCAGATTACTCCAAATAGAAAAAAAATTCGTAGTTAGCCTAACACAAAGGATAGCAGTCTAAATAAATGTTACATTCATATCTAATAATGAAATCATACAATAAATGTTACACTTTACCTTGAAAAAATATGAATATAACTTGATGGGGGAGAAGGTTGAGGAGTCATGAAACATCAAGCTTTTCTTCAAGTGTTATAGCCTTTCTTTTACGATCACCAGAGTGCTTCCCAGAGATATTCTTCTTTTCCATAGTCACAAGATTGGAGAAACAGTAATCACAAGTCACTGAGGACACTTCAAAACTTCACACAGTGTGGAGTAAACAGAGCGCGCGGGTCTAAAACGTTATGTATTTTGTTTTTCTCTTATTTAAAATTTTACATTTTACATATACTGTACAGGTATACTGTATACATAAATATTACATAAATTATTTCTGCAATTCTTCACAAGCAAAACACATAAATCAATTGAACATGTGATGTCGAACGTGAACTGTAAACACTGCATAACCCCGCGCCAAGCCACAATGTACAGTACACTTTAAACGCTACTTATTTTGTTTTTCTCTTTTATTTAAATTTTTACAATATATATATATATATATATATATATATATATATATATATATATATATATATATATATATATATATATATAAGTAAATTGTAATTTCCATATTATTCATATTACGGTAGAGCGCCACAAAACATGAGAGCCGTTTGAGTCCCCCAGTAGAGGTGTCGTTCTCTATCCACTCCAGGATGTCCGTTTTCTTTTTGTGTACTCGCTCAGGGACTCAAGTATTTCTGTATATGACACAGGATGATAAGGGAATTTGAATTTATTTGTTTATTTATTTATATATAATATCCTGTAATATATTAAATATACTGCAAGTACAATACAGTACTCTTTTTAAAAGGCTTGACATGTTCTTGGTAGCATGACCTGGGTAACTTTCAGTTTATGAGCTCATACAGCCAACCAACTCACGGGAGGAGTGCTGTATCTACAGTACAGTTGTACCCCGCTTTAGCGGTCAATTGAACCCACAGGGTACCGCGTTAAGTGAACAACAGAACATATGGGATTAATTCCAATAGAGACTGGCCCGAACCCCAAACTCCACTTTTTGACGACACACAACTATGTTGTAGTAAAAATTTTATCTGAACTTTATGATGGTATGAACAAACAAGTAATATAGAAGAGGTTAGGTTAGGAAAAATAAAGGTTAAGTTAGGAAAAATAAAGGTTAAGTTAGGAAAAATAAAGGTTAGGTTAGGAAAACTAAAAGTTAGGTGTAACACTTACGTTAGTAGAAGAGATGGGTCGGCACACGGGGATGGAGGCGGAGGGGAGGGAGGGAGAGGCGAGGGAGGAGGGAGAGGCGAGGCAGGCGGGAGCGGCGAATCTAAAAATAGCGTCTCGAGCCGGACACTCTGCGCGTATATGGGTAGATGAACCGTGTTAAGTGAAAGTTCGGTTCTGGCGAGGCACCGCGTATATGAGAAATCGCGTTAAGTGAAACCGCGTAAAGCGGGGTACAACTGTACTTGGCTGCCAAACCCTCCTCTGGATAGCGTAACCTGACATTGAACGGTATGCTCTCTCACAAGAACACAATGAGGGTGTTTAATGGCTGTGTTCCCAACCATAGGCACTAAAAGAAAAAAGTGTAGAACAAAGTGAAATTTAATGCCTAGTACATAGCTATTACATGAAGTACAAAGATTATCATAGTTTAATAAGGTTAATATCCTAGTCACTGTTTCCTACAATGCAGTAACTCAAATGATTTACCTTGTACAAAATTCTGATGTATAATGATTGACTTGCAAATTTTTTTATAATACTTTATACATCAATAGAAAGCAGGGGATTGAATCCTGACTATTAATTATATTGATATCTTTACAGTCATATAATATATGGTAATACTAGACATTGCTATTGATCATCAGTGCCACAGCCTAAATGTTAGTTATTGCAAATTTAAGTACTGTACTGTGAATCATTCTTTCTAATGTACAGTACCTTAAAATATTAAAACTTGAGTCTTATCAATAATATATCGGAGAAGAAATATGGACTGAACTTGTCAAGTCCCAATTTATAAACACAAGTAAAAAAAAAACTGTCAACTGCTTTGCTAGATGGTGCCTTAAGGTCAACAATCTAGATCGAGAGAGGTGTTGACGTTCTTGAGTAAACCACATCAATGACAACACCCCATGTTTAAATCGGCTACCCCTGTACACAGTACTGTATATACTGTAAGCATAAGACCAGGTTGAGGGGAAAAATTATTGCGAATCCTTTCTATATTCTGAATGTCTTAAAATATATAACAAATTGAATGGTGGACCTAGGTATAGCTTATGAGTTTGGGTTGTTTTGTTCCTCCATGCCATGTTATGGGACTTCACAAGTTCAGTTCATTCTTTATGGTTGTACTGGATTTCAGAAAGAGTCCATGGCAACAGAATAGAGGTGTGGAGTCTGTTCTATGTGACTACAGGTAGTACCGTACCATTACAAATTCCATTGTGCCATACATTACAAGTTCAAATTGTTTAATTAATTTTTGAAAAACACGAATTAAGCTGAAATTCGAATTAACAAGGGTACAAAGTATTTGTGAAGACCAAAGAAAAATAATTTAGGCATTACTTCAATTACAGTTTATAGCATATGAAATTCATGGTATATTACTTTCTATCATTCACCGAAGTTGGGACCAGAGGGGTGATTTTTGGAAAACACTGAGTCAGGGTAAGCAAGACTACACAAATATTAACCAATTTAACTTTATGTGTATGCATACTATATACTACTGTACTTGTATAAAACTTACCCTGCTTTAAAAATAAAAATAAATTATAATAAATACCTATACAAACCACAATTATATAAACTACATACTATATATGATAATAGCAAAATTATCCTGTAAATGTATTAAAAATACTGTATACTATAATAAATCTGAACTATAATACAAGCTGTATGAAAATGTGGGGTTCTATTTAGGTCCCTGACAACATGATTTTGAGCTGAGGCATGGTACTAAAACTCAGTGGAATGCCTGGATGTTTTGTTGTGGGATACTCTGAAATCAAGAATCCAAGTACACAAACTAGCATGCTGGCACACTAACCACTCCACCACCTAGTACTATACTGTATATAAATTAAGTTATGTTGGTTCACTAGGCATCATCTGAAAATAGCAGATCCACATTCCACCATGACTGTATCTCACTGCTGAGTGGGTGTTTGTTTTATTTATGTCACACACAGTATAGAATATACTGTATTACATGCTGTATTTGGTTGGCAATACCATATAACGACTTTCCACAGAAGACAGTAGGATACTGATTAGTCGAAAGTGTACTATTAACATAATTTTAACCTTACCAAGAACATCTAATAGTTGAAACAATTGTATATACTGTACATTATGTAGAATGAACAGTGAATTATAAAACATTATCGGTACATTTTTTTTATAGATAAGGTATTTATGTAACCTCATTCATGAAAAGCCCAAATGATAATGAAATGTTGCCAAAGCCTATAATATTGCTTGAAGTCTGGTATGAAAGAGGGTCTCATAAACCTGATTGCCCATTTGGGGCAATGCAGATACAGTTTTCTGTAAATTAGGCCCATTTTTTATTTTTTGGTACACAACAAAACAGTGGCTGTCACTGCATTTGACTGCCTTCAGCTCCCTAGATGCAAAGTTAGATGTCCATTCACTGCTGGGTGAACTAGGAATGCCCCAGTCTCACACAATTAACCAACAGGAGAAGAGGAAAGCTCTGGATCTACTTGGCCTATGTAAGTTTAATAAGTATTTGGGGGAGGGGGGATTATTGTTATATCCTGCATTTCCAAAACTGATGCACTCATACAACACGCAAAGTACAATTTCTTCAAATATTATTAGCTAAATAAAAAGGTGTTTCTCTGAGGAAATGAGAAAACACACATTGTATGTGACTGGAAGCTTCTATAACCAAAATGATGTTGATTAAGGAGCTCCAATTAAAGGTTTGCTCCATTTGACTACCTATCACCAACTACAAACTATGATACCGTCCTTATCAGCTAACTACAGTACAAGCAAATCTAAATAGCTTCACTAATATGTGGATGCCATGTATTGCTGGTTTGAAATCATACTTAAATACCCTAGTATATGCTATGGCTGTTACTTCAAAAGAAGTAATGACAGTTTATACCAGCCTTCATGAGCTGCACAGCTAAATTACTGAAAGTTGGCTGTAAAGTTAAGGCTAATCATTGTCTACTGTAAAGTTAAGGCTAATCATTGTCTATTGTAAAGTGAGGGTTACTCCTTGTCTATCACAGCATACCTGGGGAAGGAAGAAGGCATCCATCAGAACAATCATCCAGTACTATCCTGAAGTCTGCGTATTTGATATATACGGTAGATCTCAAACAAGATCTTAATTACTGTATTTACTGATCAGCAGAACAGTGGTCCTAGCTAGGAGTCTCAATATCCTAATCCTCATCAGGTTTTAAAATTTTGATAGTTATTCCCAGTTCACATCTCATTGAAAAACATGGGAAAACTCCAATTTATCCGGTACAGTATCTTATTACAATACTGTATCGAGAGACTTACCAAAACCTGGCATGTTTGATACTAGGGAGTTTTGTCAACAACTTGTAAATGGTAAGGTGGGTAATTTTATTTCCTGCTGCCTTCTTTAAATGTGATAGCCATTAACTATGATAGTGTGGGTTTGAAACATAGAAAGGATTCATAAAAGTTTTTCCTTGGTCCAGTTTTATGCCTACACTTGTGCAGCTGAATTAAAAATATTGATTGAAAACCTTGTGGGCCAGGTCTGAAATCCAATGCTAAGCCATAAAGTAACGGTCCACATTTGTAAGCCATAGTTTTGCCATAAAGTTTAGAAGTTAAACATTTACAGTATTGATGCAAATTTCACGTGAAACATTCTGACACCACAGATGATGGATATTGCAAAAGGTCATTTCTCACTTGCTAGCAACATTTCCTGTTTTATCCATAGTAAGTATTGTTATAATACTGTATGCACATTCAGAAGAAAATAGATTAATCTTGCGAACAATGTATGGCGTGGTTCATGTTGGTGGTTACGTTGCAGCATAGGTATATTGATCATTTAGGAAATCATCGGACCCAATGTGCATAAATACTTTTTTGATCGTGTACACATTATTAAAATACGTGACCAGAAAATAGAATAATTAAAATGTATCCAACAGAATTTTATAAAAGTATGAAACTTCATTTTATAATAAAATTTGTTAGGAAAATAATATATGTACGTATACGAAAAAAAATCATAATGCAGTGTTTTGATTGATTACCCATCATTTTCTTGAACCATAAACTGCTACATTATATTAATACGGTTATCTTTAAATAATCTGCAATACACTCCCAATTATCAACCATTTTTTATTGCAGACAGCACTAAACACTTATTCTTAGGTTCAGAGTGAACTTTAATGGATGGTAAAGTAGAATGCTGTACTTGCAAGAAAACATGGCAGTAAATAATGCACTTGGCTAAATTGATCAGGAAGCATGTGGACAATCACTCAATAAGGAATACAGTGACAGGAGATGTGAGAAATAGCAGGACCTCAGGGCAGCAATGGTGCTACAAGAGGCAGCTTTCAGGAGTAAATAATGTGAATGTAGCAGCTTTAGAAATGATGGATGTGACTACAATGTATTTTATAAATAACATGTAAAATTGGCAGCTAGTTGCCTGCCCCAATTATCTCAAATCAGAAAAATCCCAGTTCTCTGAGGTTTTTGGATATGCAGTGACTAGATAAGTGGGAGTGTACTGAACAGTGTTTACTAAAAATTTTATAAATCCATAAATCTATTAAGTATATCATGCACAGCCTATTTGTTCACAAACTCTATCATAAAGGTCTACATAACTGAACACAATATATAATACTAAACTTCTCATGCATGATTAATTAATGAAAGCATCATCATGCACAATAGGTAAAGTGTTCAAATAATATCAACATCCTTGTCCTCATCATTAATATCTATCACAAAACCTAAATAATATTTTTCTTACTAAAATTAATATTATTTTCAGACACTTAACATTATTAGAAACATGTCTCATATCTTTCAACTATGATACTCTAAAAATAAAGTACAAAACGTTATTCTATAGCTTGGAGGAGGTAGGAAGTGAGAACATTGCCAGTAAACTCCACCTCCCAGCCCTTCAGAGAGGATATTTTAATAAAATACCAGATTACATTACCCTGACGCACAACCCAGGATAATGAAAAAGTTGCAATAAGCAGTACTTCTTGCCCACTTGGTATCAGATCATTAAATTCCATGAACTAGTGGTTGGCTTGAAGTCCAGCAATGATTCAGAGTTACCAAGTCAAACAACTTCAATGTAATTCACTAACTCACTTGGTGCGAATCACTTCAGCCCTAACACAGATCTTACTTCTTTCTAAATCAGGGGTTGTTGATTTATGAACTCACTGAGGAAGGTGGGAGGGTTCCCTTCCCTTGATCAACAGATTTTGTACCACAATCCTTCATTTGTGATTTATCGGTACAGTACAATAATTGCAAGTGAGACCTTAAACCAAGTAGAAATGGGATGGAAGAGATCATTTGTCAAGACCAAGTGAAAAATCCTAAAGGAAGTAACCTTTCTAAACAAAAATTAAAACTCACCTTGTCTACTTCCTATTACCACACAATACAGTACGGTATTATCCCTGTCCATGTTAAAATACCTGGAAATACTGTGATGACTTTAGTAGAGGAGTTTGTGCTTCTAACCATAACGGATCTGACTGAAATACAGTACAGTACTGTACTGTGCTGTGAACAGAGGCCATAAAAGAGATGGAACCTCTGAGACCATCTTTTCCTGGTTTGCTAAATACCTGAATGAATTTAATTGACTAAACAGTGTATGAGAAATATCTCTCCAATTTGCATTAATTCATACACCAGTGATGAGGGATTGTTTGAAGAGGTTTTGTAAAATATTGATACTGTGTTATATATGAACCCTCTTGCTGGCTGATAACACAGGTTGAATGGCTTGTATCAGGTACAGCCACAAACCCTCCCATTACACAACATCCCGAGACATCTGGCTTTATTGAAACATGATAACTGCCTCATTTGCAGAAGGAAGTAAAGTGCTTATTCCTTTACAATTCTCAAATTAATTGGGAGGTTGAGTAAAGTGTGCATATACAGTACAGGTAATACTAAGATCATAACTCTGGGATATATATAAGTTAGCCTCACTTGCCAACAGACAGCAGGGGTTCACTACAGTTACAAAATGGAATGAACAACATGCAATGTGAGCTTCAATTCAACAAACATCATCAATGAATACCATTTAAGTGAACCCATTACTGATACTCTCCGGTATCTGTGAACGTAACTGAAGCACAATTTCAGATCAATCACACCAATGATAAAACAATGTCCATTCTCATCACTTATCCTGCCATAATAGAAGGTGCTGTTTGTAGTTAGACTGACAAGGTAGAGTTGGTGGTGTTTATCAGGAGGATATCGTAACAGGTAACTGAATTGATGGAGGTATGAAGTTTGTTATGTCTGCAGTGGGTTCAAAGTGAGAGCGAAACTGCATTAGTTGACTCAATCAAATACGTGACCCTGAATCCTAACTTGGCTTTGAGCCTGATAGAACCCAAAGTTCAGGTACCAGGTGGTTGTGAAGTGCTGTGTGTAGCAACCTTTTCCATATTCAGACCAGTCCATCTGGGTAATGTAGCCACCCACTTAGCTAAACGCCCATTACAAAAGGAATATTCAGACTAAGTCAAGAGGTTGTTCTCACAGTCACTTGCAACTACTCACATGTCATAAAACATTATTTATATTTACAATGACAAGTGTTTTTTCAATTTCTTTAAAAAAAAGAATTAACTAATCAGAAGGTTACACTATCATCACACAACTAGTGCCAGTGAAACATACATCTAAAATCTTATTAAAACCAATCCAGAACATTTAACATATAAAAACAATTCTCACAAACCATTCAAGGGGCAAATAATCTTGTTCATGCACCTTTTATTGTTACTCAATTGTTGAAAAGGTCCAGCTTGTAAGTTAATTGCTTAAAAGTCTCACCAAAATGTTAAAGGTAAAACAAAGTAACAATACTTGACCATTATATCTATTGGAGAGGAAAATTTGATTATTTATAAACAGGATCCAAAAATGCAAGCAACTTGTTATATTTGTTTAGGTGTTTGGTAGGTAATTTTACTATTGAGTGCAATAACTTAGTTAGAGGTTCATCAAAGATATAAATCATAAACTTTATCTACATCACTTATGTACTTAAACCATACATCATGCACAAATTCTATTCAAGTTTTAAATTTTTCTAATAGCAGATTCAAGCAGAATACAAACACTCACCCCTCTTCTCATAAACCATGTTATCAAAAGTTACCATGCTATAGTTTATCTCTAAATTTTATAAAAAATTGCACAGGGAGTATATCACAAATCCAGTACACATAATACGATAAACAGAGCACCGTGAGCTAATACAAATGCTCATCTGTTTAAGGCTACTCGGCTAAAAGCAAAAACTAGACCAAAAATGGTGATGTCAACATTATGACATTACAGTAGCTCTTTATTTTCTTTGAAATTGAATGTAGTATCAGAAGCAGACAGAACCCAAACAGTGGAGAGAAAGAGAGAGGAGGGGGGGAGGGTTAGGATTAATTGTCTAGTAGTTGAAAAATTACCCTCCTTTTCAAATTATTGATTTTGGTTCATACTGTAATCTATCTTCATTATGTAATTAATCACTTAAATATATTTACTATATATATAAATGTACAGTATGTGTTTTTTTCCTTATAAATTCAATGATTTTAATTAAAAAAAAAATTAACACCAAATTTTCATTCAATATAAGGAGGAGCGATCCTGACATCCTATATTCCAACTGAGTCTCTAGCCAGGCAGGTCTTATTAATACAAAAGACATTTTTGGGTGCATAACAGTAGACTGCACCCCCAGCTAGCAGCAAAGGGGCTGATGTTATGATTACCCATCCCTTCCTGTCAACAAAATAGTCCTTAATAGGGAGGTTGCCTAGTTAGAGTATAGGTATGTATATACCTTGCCAGTACAGTACACACATCAAGCCTGCCATTAGGACTACCATCTTAATTCCATGGTTCATGTATGAATTGGCAATAAATATCACATGTAGGCACATATTATTCCCAAGGAACAAAATAACAAAGCGATGTTGTATCAAGATCTATTGAAAACCCAGTAGGGGTTGTATCGAGAGCGAGAGAGAGAGAGAATGTGTATATGTGTGGGGTCAGAGGTACTTGCTTACAATAATGAGGTTCACAGGCCCCATGCTAAAGTTTGGTCTATCTTGTTGACACATCAGGTTGAGTCCAAGAGGGCCAGGGAAATGTAAACAAACCTTTTGAGAAAATACAAGACAAAATAATATTCTCACCTTATGGTAAATTGACTCTGAAATCAAGATGGTGACCCTAGTGACTAGCATAATGGTTGGGTAGATGCATGTGCAGCCAATCATAAGATCATCCCCAGCTGGTAGTTGGGGACGTGGTCAACTATCCTAGATCCCCCAAACTACTTGTGCATTAATGAGACCTGCCTGGCTGAGGGTGTCAAGCTAGATAAGTTCAGCTTAGCAAAACAGTTTTACACTCTGCTTAATCTGAGTGAAACAGTTCCTATACTGTATAATGTAAATTACAAAAAGTCACATTTCAACTAAAAAAAAGTTTAAGTTAAGATTTTAAGAATATTAATGAGAAATAGGGAACACTTTACCTTAAAATATTCTCTTGCTCATGCAGGATGACTCGTGCTTAATATACGTTTACTTAAAATTCTGCCTCCTGTTATTCACTTCCTCTATTTTTTCTTATTTTTAGTCTCACTCAACTTCTCTTTTTCTTCACCTTGCAAGTCAAGATGTTCTGCATAAATCTATTTCTCGAGGTACTAAAGGCCCACTTTCATCTCTTGTATTAGATGTAAAATGTGACACATAACGGCTTATATAAAGATAAATATACATTGAAAAAAAAAATATCGTTTCATTTGGCCTTTAACAACTTCCTCTTCTTAAACTTGATATCAATAAATCTCTACCGGTAGTTAGTACAGTCTGACCTCGCATATTTGTGTCTCAGAAGTCCATTTTTCCACAAATCTGTGCATTTTTTTATGATCATTCCCCAATTACCATGTCTATCACTTGTCCCTGCTTGTTTGTGAAAAATAAAAAATCATTAGAATACTCTATTGTGACTTAGTAATAAACAAAATATAATATAAAACTATAAAATAAGAAAAGTGAAGAACCTGGGTGTGTATGTGTGGGAAGTGAACTTCTGTATTGAGGCAATGGGCTGTAACTGAATCACAAAGCGCAGGTGACTGCAGCCACATGCCTCAGAGTCAAATGGGTGACCGTCTGGCCGAAATGTGTCATATCAGCCAGATGATGGTTTGAGTGTGGAAGGAGCTATTTCTGTACATAAAATATGTGCAACTGTATTTTATGATATGCTATGAATCAATTTGATTGTTAATCATAGTATTTTTTTTTTTCAATTTTGACCTAATGCAATCAGAATTTTTTTCAAATTAGGCTAACCTTGTGCTCGCTAAATTGTTCAACTCTGAACCACATCACCTATATAGAGCAGAATGAGTGTTAAGGAACTGTCCAATAAATATGGCATTGGAGTGTAAGTTTGAAACAATAAAGATTTATGTTGTTCAATTAGATTTAGTTTTTTAGCAAATGATAAGCAAATTTTCCTATGTTCCACAAATCCACACCTTTCGGAAATTCAGTCACAGTAGGATACTAATTAGCACAAATTTGCGAGACCAACCTGTATTCTCTCAAAAACAAATTACATCCTACAAAAAATAACTTATTTGCTTTTCTTGTGAATTTCTCATTGTACTACTCTGGACACTTCAGAATTTGTGAACACAATTTTCTTTATAAATTTGTGTCAGACAGTTGAAATGTACAACAAAAATTTCTTGAGTAATTATTCAGTCAATAAAACAAACTACAGTATGTGATAAATATCTTCAGCAACAGTTTTGAGTTTCTAAATTTATATTTTGTGAGTACATTGAAAGTACATGTAATATATTTGTTATAACCTAGCAGAAGATGAGGTAAACTTGTTAATAATCAATTACCATTCTAAAAGGGTATTAGGTTACTATATTGTATAAGAAATGTGATCTAGGAGCATAAAGGCTTAATGTGTTATACTGTACTGCACTAAAATGTAAGAGAATATATATATATATATATATATATATATATATATATATATATATATATATATATATATATATATATATATATATATATATATATATATATATATATATATATATATATATATATATATAAAAGAAATTAGGGCAAAAATAATGTAAACCCCTTTTCTATACCATTGTTGTAAAAAACTGTAATGGGAAAAACACCTATTATCACCAGTCAACGTGTAGATGTGTGTCACAGTGTTTAACTTTGAAGAATTTGTACAAAGCCACATGCACAGGGAAATCAAGATGCCATCTTTACAGTTTACTCTGCAGCTACAATGTGTTCTGTAATACCCTACCAAAGTACTGTACCATACTGTGCTCATTTTAGAGGTGAGAAATTGGTTTCTAATTAAATTATAAGAAATTACTTAATACATTACTCAAACTCTTCCTAAATATAAAGGAAAATAGTAAACTTACTATTATGGCTCGTCAACTAGGACAAACAGAGACTTCAAAGGAACTGGTAATTTACATTGGATATTGTCCATTATATAACTTATATTGGTATATATTATCTAATTTTTACAGATATCTATAAATTAATAAAACAGTAATAACAAAATAAATGAAATATATAATGGAACTAAATATATAACTGGTACTAGACACAAACATTACCTTTCATTGGTATATTTTAATATTAGTGTAAAATGTAATATAAATTCACTTGTTCAATAAAATTTCTTAATAAAACAAATAGTTAAGAGCTCTGTCTAGATATCAACTATTGTTGCAATAAACAACTCTTCCCTTGGAAGAATTGAATCATAAGACATAAAACATAATTATTTAAAAAAAATACAGTAGAGTCTCAGTAATTCCGGTTACAAAATACTGCAGTTTGGGAGATTTTGCAATGATGGTGAAAAAAAATATACAGAGTTTAACAATCTAATGGTTCAATAAAATTTAATGCACAATATTTATTCCATTCTAGGCAAGCCCTTCATTCCAGTAAATTCATGAGGATATCCCAGGAGATGCAGGTGAGATCCAGGTTACTTCTTACTGGATCTGCTATGAGTCTTCAGGTTCAAAAACTCATTTATAATAAAATGGTGTTCAGCCATCATGATCCATGAATCAGAAACCAGCTATGAAAGATGGCAGACACATTCTTATCGAAGATTATGTTGTACTTTTTAAGGTTTCATATATATCATTGTGTGGGTGTGTGTATACAGCTACTGACTGATGGAGGCTGGGGAAGGGATTACTATAATTTCCATGAAAATCACAATTAGACAGTGGGTTTGGTCCCAAGCACTGTGTTATACAGTAAATCATCTATTTACATCACTCCTAAGTAGTTAATTTTGCTCAACTACTGCTGACATGTCAGGGAACAAATTCCAATTTAAATTGCCACCACTATTTTAAGCAGCCTCTACAGACAATTTCCTTTGCCATTTCTGGTGTGTTAAAATTTTATTTACTCAATACATAGCATATTTCCATGCATAATTAAGGCTTAGTTATATTTGTTTTGTTATTAATATGAAATAAGATAAAAAAATGCTTTTGGCTCAATGTCTGCCAGCTGTATTGTTACTGCCAAGCAACATTAATTCATATAATTTTAACATAATTGTTGCTCGCCTTTACTTCCTTTGATTTAAGTGTTACAATTTGATAATTTATCTTGAAAAGTTTAAATTTTTAGTTAATATATACAAAAAAGAAAACACCATAAGAATTGAATTAGTTAACATCTCTGCCAACAAGCTGTAGCCTGACTCACCTGGAACAACACATCAATTAAGAGAGCCCAAAGCACACCTCAACTCCTGTACTGTACAGCAAGGATGTCATGCAGTACTGCACATACAGTATATTCCAACTTCAATCTTCAATATTTACTGTTTTTTCTTAGCACATACCAGTAAAGGTGTGGTATTATTTATGTTTGTGCATACTTGCTACACTACTGTATCTCTTCTGGTATGGTAGTTATTTAATATTTCTTTCTGTAAATTATCACCAAAATATACCCCCAAGAAAGCATTCTCCATTTATAATACATGTACTTAGTCTCTTAGAAAATATATACTGTAACAATTTATGTGCTAATGTAGAGCTTTCTAGGAACACATCCACAACATAAGTAGAGGCCTTACTGTCCTGTACAGTACCGAGACTCTACTGTATTTCACAAATATATTTGTCTTCGTATAACTAATAAAGCTATTAAATGAAACTCTGCATACTATAATAAGATCAAATACACAAGATAAGTTGAAATAAGACCTATCTATGTGTTCTATTAATATACATGTGTAATTCATAAAGAAGATTTTAAGTTATGACAAACATGTTTTTCAACTATTCAAAATATCCCTTCTGAATACTGTACATCTGAATTAAGTAATCTGAACTCTTTAGTTATGGAAAAAAGTGTAAAGTATAAGAATAATGACACCACCTAACATGTGGAGGCAGCTTAGGAAGACTTGTCACTCTCTTCTTCAGAGTCATCTTCATCGTGGTGATGTGTTACTCGCTTTGGTGTCTCAGCCCGGACGTGTGGCACCAGAGACTCGGCTCTCTCCAGAGCCTAAATATTATGGAACAGTTATTATAAATAGATTAAAAAACTAATACTGTATTTACTTACTCAATTATAAATGGTACCAAAGCATAAAAAAAAGAGGAAGTGTTAGGCTACATGTAAATGAATACACTAAGGCATGTTGAAAATGGGGACATAATGTGGGTATCACCAGAGCCCTGCACCCTGCTTCATATCAGTTTTTGTTATTTTGCTTAAATTTTTTTTAAAGCAATCTCAAAAACTTTACTCTAAGTGACTTTTGACATACAGTATAACACCAGTTCTGATATTTTCTATTATTTGTTCAATGGGTGTAGATAGAGGCACAGCTGCAAGAACATAAAATTTGTCTAAGAAAACAGATCATGAGTGTTGTGATTACAAGTGCACAACAACAACTACTGCACTACTGCCTTGAATTATCCTTCAACTTCTTGAAAAAATCTCTGCCAACTGGCTAATTATATTTGCACTGGCTTTCCACCTTATCTTGAATGGACAGGCTATTATGCTTACTTTGGCACTACAGGTGCTCCTCTACTTACGAACGAGTTACGTTCCTGAGGCTTGTTTGTAAGTCCAACTTTATGCTTGTAGATACCAAATATATTGTAAAAAATTAAAAGATTATGGATATTTAGTACAGATATACCGCTTAATACACCCTTAAAACTTGGCTTACTCCTCTCCTCTTAGGTAATGTTTGTTCTATCTAGAATTTTCTTCAAAATAATCCAGTCTCATCCACATTAAACACCTGTTTTGGCAGGAAACCCTCTCAGTGATGATATTTGTATCTCTGAAAGTTTGTAAGTTGAACGTTTTTAAGTAGAGGAGCACCTGTACAGTATTTGTACTTCTTACTGGATGATTTGAAGCCATAATACAGGGATTAAACTCCAGTGATGTGCCCAAGAATGAACGCAAAGCCAGGAGATATTTGACTAAAGCAAACAATATGGTAGAAGTGAGACTGGAGATGATACTACAGTGCTACAAGGCGGCCAAGAACTGACCTAATCACACTGGACCACAGGAGGTGAATCAGCATTCCTAAAAATTTCTGGACCACAAAATAACAGACTAGATAGGTTCAACCACACTATACTGTACAGCTCCTCCCCGACTTATGACCTACTCGACTTACGACCATCCGCACTTATGACCTGCCTCAGTCGTACCAAAATTTTGTCAAATTATGTATTTTCGAGTCCCAACGTCAGTACACAGACAAAATTTTCGTTTGTAATTCACTTTAAAATGGCTGGCAAGCTTAAAAGTGAGAGTTTTGTGGTGCTGATTAGAAAAAGACACCCCCATTTTAGATTCTCTATGTATTATTTAAGCATTTTCGACTTACGACCTGGATTTGGGTCCCAAACCCCGTCGTAAGTCATGGAGGAGCTGTATTTACAATTTCCACACTACGCCAGTTATTGTTCAAGTTTCAAATCACATTTTTCTTTGCATGTAACTCTTCTGAAAAATTTATAGTAACTAGATAAAGTGGGGCTGATGAAACATTCCTATTATTATGGAACTTTAAATGATTCTTACAAAACTGGTAATTCAGCCCCTCTGGTGTTGCAGATATAGAGAGATTTTAGGAACAGGAAATAAATTCCATTTGTCAATGGGGTTCATTATTTCCTTCTTGTAAGTTGCAAGTGATTACTTACCCTAATCTTTGACCTCTTGGATTGTATATGATCTACATTGTCACCTTGAATACTAGATGCTCTTGAACGAGTTGAAACTGGACCATCCCCAACTTGGAATCGTTGTTCATGTGCCACTGTTGATTCATGGGGCATCTGTAATGAAACAATGAAATATAAAATGTCACAGAAATGATTGTTTTAGTAGCTACTATATTACAGAATTTCAGTATCTAGCATTATAAAACAAAAGTTATATCTGCGTGGGTAGTCTAATGCATTTATTCACAACTTTTCACATTTACCACAATTTTTTAAATGAGTTAGGACTTGAGGAATTAGGGAAGGTTCCAATTATCACATCAGTCAATGACATGATGACTCAACTTGGCTAACCAGTGAGCCGAGACATCTTGGCAGTACGGTATTTGTTTTCTGGGAACAATTGTCCACAGCATTCTTTTATCACTAAGAATACATTGTAGATTCAAAACAGGTGTACTGCCCTTAAAACCCAATACGTACTCTTATACCACATCATTAATTTCACACACCCAAACAGATTTGCATCAATACAAATATTCTTCCTTAATAAACTTCTTTTACTTACCATCTTCGATTTAAGTTAAACATTTTAAGACTAGTTACACTGTACAATAAACTAACCAGCATGGCAGGGGCACGGAACATATAACTGAAGGGATAGTATATCAGGTTTAGAAGAGTAGATGCATATACATCAGCATATCTTGACACCTGTGGAGCAAGATACCATACATATAAATTATATGATGTCTAGAACAATGTCCTACCTATATATCCACAAAGTAAAAATTTAATATATTCACCTATAATTAGCAGTACACTAAGGTGACAGAGGGAAGCAGTAAGTTGTTCTTAACCTTAAGTTTCATTTTACCTTATACTTACAGGTACACATAATTCACCTCAAGTACATCCTTATTATTTCTTCAAACTTACATGAACTCAATACAGCATACTGTTTTCTATTTTGTTTCATGGTACACTTTCTTCACAGCATTTTAATATTATAAATGATCATTTCATAATTGTATATATTATAAGCTTCATATTTGGTAAATTCTACAAACCAACAGGTATTGAAAACAATATAATACTTTCACTTATCTAATTACAAATTTCATAAAATAAAACTCACTTGTGTAGAGAAGTGAGTTTGTCTAGAGCCAGACCTGAAGACTGATCCAAGCATACCATAACTCAGATCCATTTCATGTGTAACTTCTTTGATGGCTCCTCTAACTTTAGTTAAATCTGGTCTCTCATATGTGCTCGAGTCCAAGTTTCTAGAAAAGAAATAAAAACATCCTTGTAAAATAATATTGACGGCAGGAACCAAGAGCGAATAAATTGGGAAAATATGGTTGCAGGAAGCAAGGATGCCAACAGTTGGGGGAGCTGTGGTGGCAGAGAACAAGGTTACCAACAATTGGGGCTGAAATGATGGTATGGATTGAACCAATTACAGTACCCTTAGGACAGGAGGCTAGCACTGTATCCATTGCACCCTAAACATCCGTAAAGAGTTCATGTAAAGAAGAAATCAAGCATAAGTGACAACACAAAGAATCTAACACATATCTGTTCAGGTATCACCTGATTTGCCATCTCCCTGTATACGATTTTGGGTGGCCATGAGGCCACCTGATGCACTACAGTACTAAGCTTTGTTCCATTGTGATCTCACATGGCCATCATTGTGTAGCTTAACAATTATCAGTCAGTATCGGTGTTGTTACTTTTTTTTTTTTTTTTACCTTACAGTGAGAGGACATCACTAACATTCACATTATAACTCTGTTTTGGTAACTGTGAAGTAATTTTTGCAATTTTTTTTTGTGATTGTAAAGTGCTTTGCCTCTGTTGTTGTGAACATGATGTGAGCAGTCAGCTGCATTAACATTATCATCGTTCGCTGTTTTTGTGACAAGTGCTTTCTCTCTGCTTTATGACTGTTAAGTGAGCAGTGTAACTTCGTAAATGTCTGGGAAGGCCAAAGCACCCAGCAAAACCGTGTCTCTGGAGGTGAAGCTTGATCTTGTGAAGCGACATGTGGTGAGTGTTGTTAAATTTTGTTGTAGGTATAGTACTAGTTTTTTTTTTTTCGGCGATACAAGTGGGTGCCGGACTGGCTGGGAACATATCCTATTGAACCCCATGTTATAATGATCCCCATTCAAGATATTTTGATCTGCGTTGGGTTTTTCAGGAAGGTAACACTATCATAAATAGGGGGATCCTGTACAGTCATCAACATAACATCCAAAAATCTTGAGGCCTGGAGATATCAGGATAATAAAAAAGTCTGGATAAAAGTATGGTCCCAACATACAGCAGCATACAGAAATGATCAAATTTGGATAAAATTTTACTTGAAGAAAATACCGTAGCTTAATGCCCTTACCATTTTCACAAGCAAAACACAACTTAAGCGTATCATCTTTTTGTAATATCACCTGCAGTTGACTTTCCAAGTATTAAACTTACAATGAATCTATATTCTAGACATACTAAGCTTGATCCATTATGTCTAATATTTGTTCCATTCTGAGTACTATACCTTATGCATTCTCTTCTTCCCCAGGAGCTTTTTGAAGCAATGCTCATGTTTTTGTCCAATAATGTGATGGGAATTACTGAATTTCAGAAGATATGATCCAAGTGTGAGGCTGGAGGCAAGTAAAACACTGGTTTCATTAGCACTAACTGAATTAAAACAGTAAAGACTCCATCTGATAGCTGAATCATGAACTTCCACATTCATGATGTGGATGTTTTTGTCCAAATAAGACTTCTCAAGGATAAAATGGATAACTAGACTTTCTGGGTAATAGATATCCAAACACAATATATCCTCCATATTTGCTATGTCATAATTTGGCCATTTTCAGAAATTAGTAACCTAAAAGTTTGCATAAGTCAGTATCACATAACATGAACAACTACAGTATTCTGTATTAAACCAGACTCTTTTATACCAGGTTTGTGACATTAAAATAAAAATTACCTAATAAAACAAAATTATGACCATAAAACATTAAAATAACAATAATAAAAATAACTTTAATAGTTCAAACAATGTAATAAAAAAAGTTAAATAAATTGCCCAGACAAGCATACAAAACAAAGAAAAAAACACGTAATCATGGAAAATGACCATGAAACACAGATGCTGCCGATATACTGTCCAGTAATCTCCATGTTTGCCGGAATCTTCGAAACCTGGAACTCTCCAATATCTGGGAAAATTCTGTTTAGCCTTCTGAGAAAAATTTCTCCATTCTGGGCATGGGAGTAAGGATCCAAGGATGGAATCATACACATTTCTGAGAAAACCTCTCTCTTCCAGGAATGGAAATGAATTTTCCAGGAGTTCCAAGAGATTGCATCATGCTCCAACGTTAAACAAGAAAGGGTTAAAAATTTAATATCACAAAACCAAAATATTGCTAAATGAATGAATGTTAAATGAGGGATAATACAGGACCTGTATATATAGTATTATTTAACCATATTGCATTATGAGTAACTGACAGACACATTGTACAATTACAGTATTATCCTAAGAGTACTGTACAGTTGAGTCTGGATTTACGCGGTATTGGTTTACGCGGTTTGTCATTTACGCGGTGCCTTGCCAGAATTGAAATGCTTGATTTACGCGGGAAGCGGCGCGGGCAGGGTGCGCACAAGGTCGCCCAGTCATCAAAACATTACCGAGTTCTTCACCCGCCACCCACCACAGCCGGCCCAAGTCAGTGATAGTGAGGATATGGACTTATATGGACTTTGAGGGGTTTGACAAAGAGGCCCTGCAAGTCTCTGTGGTGGATAGTGATACAGGTGAGGGCCAATAATCTGCCCTCTGCCTCGGAACCAACCCCCCATCCCTGTGTGCCCAGCCATCTTTCTATTTATGTAAGTGTTAAAAAACCTAATATTATTGATATTTCTCTTAATTATTAATTGTGTGTGCATACCGTCATAAAATTAAGATGTTATTTTGACTACAAAGTACGTATTGTGTCGGAAAAAGTGGAGCTTGGGGGTCGGCCCAGTCTCTCTTTCAATCAGTCCCATATGTTCTGTTATTTCATTTACGCGTTTCTCGTTTTACGAGGTACTCCGCGGGTTCAATTGACCGCGTAAATGAAGACCCAACTGTACTGTATTACAATCCTTTCTTAACTTGGGTTAGTAAGGGTAAAACTAAACTGTAATCACTGTATGTCCAGCTCTTTTATTTAATTAAGTCATGCATTAGATATGTGAATTATAATTCTATTTTGAGATTGAAAATAGACTTCACACTGAATGAAAATTTAAAATTTAAGATATATTTTTGGAATCTATAATCGTTTTATCCCACTGAAAACATTCTTTAGTATCAACTAACTTGTAGAGATCTCCCAGCATAACATCCAAACTTTGAAGTTTGGTGAAGAGAGAGCACTTTTCAGTCCACACATGGAGTTCTTGAACCAACTCAGGCACTATCAAAAAGGTGCGCCATCCCCGAATCTTTTTACTTTTCAAAATATCACCAAAGATATGGTCACCAACATACAACACATCCTTCCCTTTAGCTCCAATAAGATCTGTGAAGACATCGCAGCTTCCTGGAAAATAAACATGAAGTACAGTACAGTACCGTACATCAAAACACCATATGGATGAACAACAGTACATTGCCACAGAGACAAGTTGAGTGAGATCATCATCTAAGTCACATGACAAATACATATTGCACAGGTCAGTAAGAAAAGAAAGAATTCATAAAAAAGAATAAGGACACAAGGGGAGTAATATGGAGAGTATCCAACTGAAATGACAGACAGATTAGGAAGTCTTAGTGATATGTTAGGACAGCCCTCTATGTGTCATAAAAACTGATGTGCAGAGAGATACAGTCAGATCCTACACAGAGATTCTACCAGATCTTTACCTAAGAGAGAAAGTGAAAGAACTTTGGGCAAAGATTCCTGTGGCTTCTCCATCACCATCTTATTGTATCCTCTCAGTGAATATCTGTTGTATGTTTGTTGTAAGAAGGTTCGTGAAATAAAACCAGTGACTTGTTCCCGAGAATTATGTTCAAGTACATCTCCCCTTATATGAGAATGAAGTGATAATTTTGCATTGAATATAATATTCAGTACCCAGTGGTGTGGTGTGTACCCCAACTGTTACCCACTCCCCATCTACCTTCCCCAAATTCCTCTCTCTGCTTTTCCCCAATCTTCAGAGGCGAGACACTTGTAGTAAGTGGTGTGGTTACTCTGCACCTCAACCTCCTCCAACACTCCTCCTCTCTCCATCACCGAGTACTGTGTTGGGTTAATGTGAATTGAGAAACTAGACATATAAAAATATTTGATAAACAGAAACTTGGAGAAAGATATATAAACGAAGGGCTGACACTAACTGAAAGACTTATTCCCTATTCCCAGAGTAAAGGAAGATTTATTAAAGTAAATGAATAAAAACAGAAGACATAGTAAGATGGGAATAAATCAATGAGGATTTTATGGAGAAGTAAGCAATAAGTCTTACATTGAGAACTCCTTTATACCTGTATATATTTATTATCAATAAATACCCCTCACTGTTAACATTATGGTGTTTTAGTCACACAACTTATTAGGAACAAATAGTAAACATAACCATTAGTTTCTGGTAAACAAATAATTTTGGGCTCCTATGACCAATGCTAAGTGTGGGCTACTTTGACCAATGCTAAGTGTGGGCTACTTTGACCAATGCTAAGTGTGGGGTATTTTGACCAATGCTAACTGTGGGGTACTTTGACCAATGCTAAGTGTGGGCTTCTTTGACCAATGCTAAGTGTGGGCTTCTTTGACCAATGCTAAGTGTGGGCTTCTTTGACCAATGCTAAGTGTGGGCTTCTTTGACCAATGCTAAGTGTGGGGTACTTTGACCAATGCTAAGTGTGGGCTACTTTGACCAATGTTAAGTGTGGGCTTCTTTCACCAATGCTAAGTGTGGGCTACTTTCACCAATGCTAAGTGTGGGCTATTTTCACCAGTGCTAAGTGTGGGCTTCTATGACCCTAACACTTTCAGATGATGGCTGAATTATTGAATAACCGATGAAAGGTTAGAGGCTGTGAATTTTTTTGTGGATTTATTACATTTTCAGTGATTAGAAATTTGGATTAACAAAGATTTTCCTATACCTGTACTTTACTGCATTTCCAAAGCTACAAAAGTGAATGCCAATTTTATTTGTCTATTTTACCTCAACTTAGTCTGAAAACTCAAATCAAAATCCCAAGAACACAAATAATAGCAGGTGTCATGAGGTCATTTCTGGTCATCCAACACACAAAAATTCTGGGAGCTAATCATCTAATTTTCAAGAATAATGTAATCCACTATTTACTTTTTCCATCTTCAAACTTAATTATAAGATTAACATCTATGCCATTACTTTTTCAAGACTTTTACATAATTTGGATTTTTGGGTCTGTAAATTTAGGTTTGAATTGTACTAGGAATGTGTTTTTCTGGCCGCCACACCATTACAACTATCAGAACTGGGGAGATTTGTACATCAATGAAGACACGCGATATAATGTACTGTATTCCTGCATGCCATATTTGTACACTGTCCACCTATCACACTTTTGGTCTTAACCCTTCGAGCACTTAACTCAACAAATGTTACATCTAATTGTTTTTGGTAGTGGGCAATATCAAATTTTGTCTGTGGAAGAAAAACTTTTTGCCGTCAAGACTTAATTAGTCTGCCAAGGCTCAGTAAGCCTACCAGTACAGCATACAGGGACATCAGCTTTACAGTTCTGGTGAAAGTGGTATACAGTGGAACGTCGATATAACACGAGATACGTTCCAAGAGAGGTCGCATTAAACCGAATTTGCACTAAATCGAAGTGTTGTTTCAATGGAATAATTCAGTTTGGTACTTGAGAGAAACACAAAATACTAAAAAGACCCAGATGCACCTCAGCCCATCTCCTAGAATAAACAAAACATTGTTTTTTGTAGTACAGGTATTATGTTAAAACAAACACTCATAAATCAACACAGCTAAAATTATGGGACGGTAAATGGTCTGTTTACTAGCGATCAGCTGATGGGAAGATGGGGGGGTGAGGTGATATGTTTGACAGTTGATGCCAAGGTCTAGTGCTTATTTATTTATCTGTCCTAAAGAGTGACTAAGTTTTTCTCTTATAATTGTCACTGAACTGATATGTTCTAATTAATTTTATTACAAAGGGCTAAAATTTTTATCTCTTGTGCAAAATATATGACGTTTATATTCAAATTATTCGCTGTCTTGTATGGATTCTAGCAATGCAAATTATATTCTAACTTTAGTCTGTGATATTATATAAGATAAAAACTGTAAGCCTATAACCACCAAACCCTGGCTGAGATGATGAGGGAGGGAGGGAGGGAGGGAGGGAGTGACAGTGACATGTTTGACAGTTGGGTCGAAAGTCTAATGAAGTATTTATTTGTTTATTTATGTCCTTTAGATTGAGTTTTGGTTTTTTGCTTATAAAATGTCACAGAAGTGACCGGGAAGAATATAATTTACATTGCTGGAATTCTTATAAGATAGTGATTAATTTAAAAATAATCATGCTATAGTTTGCACAAGACAAAAATTTTATCCTTTAGTACATTATTTTGAGTACATGTACAGTACAGCTTTGCCCTTAGGACAGTGTAGCGTGCCCAGAGAAACATTAGGCGCAATTTTTAAATATGATGCGTCAGATAGACTCACGCAAAATAGGAAAGATTTGCTTTAAATTAAAACATTGTCCTTAATTGTGGGTGTCACTTTAAATCAATATTCTTAACTTGAATCGCTTTAAATCGACGTTCTACTGTAACTCAAACTTCATATATCTGTACTGTATACAGTACAGAACTAATACTGTCTACAGTATATGATTACAAGGGGCCCCACCAAATTCATGGATTTTTATTTCACGGTTCTCTATTATTCGCGATTTGACAGCCTGGATGTACCCAAGAATGTCCGCTGGTAGTTTTACAGTTGCCGACATTTTCGCGGCTGGGACAGGGGGCCATACGCTCTAGAGACAGTAATTCCCTTTACCTGTATTGCAAATATGTGTGTGTGTGTGTAGACACACACACACAAAACACACACAAATAAATAATAATTGGAAAAATTCTCCCGCCCCCCCCTCCGGTCAGCAAATGTTATTCCCAGATTTGATGATCCGCGGCCATTTTGAGAACCTAATTTCCGTGAATTTGGAGGGCCTATTGTACTGCATAATGTATCAATTGTACAAGTATTTCATTTATAAGCAGTTATAATTCTGTATTACACTTATATGAACTATGCTTGTAAATTTAAATGCTTTTTTTATCATTTTGACCAGTTTTTCTTTAAACATAAAAAATAAATAAAACAAAAAATTTAAGTTCCCAGTAAACTATATACAGTATATAATTTTTAAGCTTAGGTATTTATGATTTTCAGGCAATTTGAATGGCATATATAAAAACTTCATCATCACAATCACTTGGGAAATACCCCCCAAAAATGGTGAAAATTTCACTAATTTGGGGAGGAAAATCATAGGCAGTGCTCAAAGGGTTAAAGCATAAAAACCCAAACACCTTGGGTAATAACTCTAGCTAATTAATATAATATGATAAAACTGAATAAAAGCAAAACACATACCTCCAGAATACACTTGTCCTATTTTTAACTTGCCAGTATGTGTACCTAATTTGAGAGCCCCAGTGACAACATCTACTTGTCTCATAATTGTCCCATCAAGAAAAAATACTGGCTTGCACGCATCAACACCTACGAAGTCAAAGTATGTTTTCCAGTCTCTTATGTCACCATTCTGTGAAGTAAAGGAAATATATATAACAACAATAATATCTTCAATATCAATACAATAGAACCTTAGAGTATTGAAATTTAGGTGATTTTACAATTATAGTAAAAAAAAAAAATTGTAGTATACTAACAAACAATTATTTTTTAAAGTTCACCACATATAATTTATTTCATCCTAAACCAAACATACATACATAAAGGAGGGAAAAGACATCACAGTATAGAGGCAGTGGCATAGTGAGAGGGGTGCAGGGAAGGGGCCTCACTAGTCCTAGAGGCAGTGGCATAGTGAGAGGGATGCAGGGATGGGGCCTCACTAGTCCTAGACGCAATATTTAACATTTCTGACATTTTCATATTTTTTCATTTACCGTAATCATTTTTTGTTTCGTTAAAAAAAATAATTATGAAGAGGTTAATTCAGTGTAAAGGAACACAAAGAAAATGAAACATACACAGTAATGATGATGGCCGCCATCTCTTCCTACAGCTTACATACATTTATAATGGCTGCCGACTAAGGGTTTATGACACTTTACTACTGTAATAGAGCTTTATCTTTATTTTCCATTATAAATGAGTCTTATTATGACAGGAACCTAACCAATGGGCCCCATACTTATTGAATCCTTAGATTGAGACTCGTTTTATATTTTCCACTGAAATTAGGTTTTATTAGGGGAGGGAACCCAATGGATCTTCAGGCCTAAAGGTACCCAAAAATTTGGCTATTTTTTTTCCCTCGTGGTCACATACTGGTAGCAAGTCCCAAAAAATTCAAAAGTACTACATGTAACTAGAAATTATCCAGTGGAGGGAAAATTCATATCTTGTTAAGATAAGTTGCCAAGTAACCTTAATTCATGTGATTACCTTGTCGGGGAAACTGAGAAGATATTCCATAATGGCATTTGTGTACCAGTATTCTGAGTTAGTGAGGAGGAAGACCTTGGCTCCCGAGTCCCTCATCCTGTCCAAGAGTAGTGGCAGACGCTCATCCTTGTGGACATATAAATCAACACCTTCCACAGTTTTCTTCTTCAGGCTCCCCTGTTGATGACAATATTAAACTTAAAATGTTAACTTTGGACTCCATAATATAAACTGAAATAAATATACAAATAAAATTCACTTAGTTCTTCTGGAGAGCTACCAACAGGTAACCACTGCTATCCCACAAAGTATAAAACAGTGATGACATGATGATGATTAATTAGAGTACAGCAAGCCCTTCAAATTCGCAGGGGTTAGGTTTTCAAAATGGCCGTGAATTGCCAAATCTGTGAATAAAATTTATTGACTGGGGGGGGGGGGGTTACATTTTAACTTGTGTACAAAGAAATGTATATTCCCTTTAAGTGTTTGCCCTTAGGACAATTATTTCTTTTACCTGTATTGTATATATGTGTGTACACACACACACACACACACAAAACACGTACGTACAAATAAATAATAATGTTAAAATACTCTCACAAATAATCAAACAAAAGTAGTATTAGAAATGTTATATCCTCAAGTCTACTCCGTGCTTTGTTATTAATAAAGTACGGAGTAGACTTGAGGGTAGACTCAACATTTTTAATACTGTACTACATTTGTTTCTAATTATTTGTGAGAGGATTTTCCCATCAGTGATATCTCCGCTAGCCGGAACAATTGGTGCAGAGCACTTCCGGGAATGAGAGATTTCTGGGTAACGAGACAACTCTCTCAAAGCCGGAAAATAAATCCTTCATCCCAGGAATTTTCCGTGCAACGGAAATATGTTCTCGGAAGTTCCAGAAAATGCCCATTACACCAACTCTCGCACCCTGAAAAAATCCCTCATCCCCGGAATTTTCCGGGCAACAAAAAATTTTCTCTGAAGTTCCATCTCTTTAACCCGGAAAAAAATCCCTCATCCCCGGAATTTCCGGGTAACGGAAAATTTTTATCTGAATCTCCCGAAAATGCGCCTGATTTTCATCTCTCAAACCTAGGACAAAAAATCCCCCATCCTGGAATTTCCCGGGTATCGGGAATTTTTTTTAGAAATTTTCCGAGAAAATTTCAATTCCGGCTATCGGAGAGTTCCAGGTTTGAGGGATTCCGGCTAACGGGTATATTACTTTATTATTCATTTGTTTGAGTTTTGTGTGTGTGTGTATAGACACATATACAATACAGGTAAAGGAAATTACTGTCTTTAGAACGAATGACTCCCTGTCCCGGCTGCGAAAATGCCAGCAACTTTAAAAGTACCCGCAGACATTCTTGGGTACATCCAAGGTGTCATCCGCGAAATAAATATCCACGAATTATACGGGCATACTGTATTGTATTAGAATGATTTACTGCATTCTCATAGTTTTATTTACTGTTATATTATGAAAAAAATATTTGATGCCATAGAAAAAGTAAAATCTTCAAAATTAGAACTTACCAATATACTGTACTGTAGTTCACACAGTAATCCCGCCCACCAACATAGAACATACAGTACATAATCCATAGCCAACACAAAACATAGTATAATATCTCGCCAACATTTCTATTTTGTTTATGTGTTTGCCCTTATGACGATTATTTCCTTTACCTTCTTCACAATATGTATGTAGGATTGTGTGTGCATGTATATGAGCAAAAAAAGAAATGAAGAAAGTTACGTGTATCTACCCGAAATTACGAGTTGAAAAATAACCATAACGCCTCACAGCCCGGTAAGGTTAGCCTACCGCAAGCACGTCCCAGATAGCTATTATTGTTCACTGTAAATGACCAATGGAAATGCATAAATTTTAACCCCTCAGAAATACAGTACTATGCAAATATAGTTCGACCCCCTACTTTCTGCATAAAATTTGAACATAAAAACTTGAACTATACTCAAGTACAGTGATCCCTCGGTTAACGACATTTCGGTTAACAAATTACCTTCCATAAGAATCTTCAATTCGGTTAACGAAATTCTCACGAAATCATGCCAACATGTTTTCGCTTGCTCACCAGCTGGAATATTAGTCCGCCAATACAGTAATCGGTTATAGGGCTTAAATTCGTTCCCATTTAAGTAAATATCAAGAAGGTTGTACTATTCAATAATTTTCCAAGTTTTATATTAATATTTTTAGTCATTTTAACACTTATTTTACATAATTGCAGTACAGGAAACTAATTTTTGGTGCGCCAATCAGCCACTTGACTCACCCAGCAAGGCGTCAGTTTGTATCTCTGGTCAGTGGAGGTAACATCTTGCTTGTGGCTCTCTTGAACATAAACTATTTTTACGTTTTTACAGTACAATTATTGGTCATTCTGAAATTTATTTTACATATTGACAATATATAGTGCGTTGCAGTGTTGATTTAAAGGAAATAATCTTGAATTACACCTAGTGAACTTAAAATTTTATGGGTGAAATGACGGCATGAAGCATGGGATGATTTCTCTTCCACCCCCACTTCCTTCTCTTCTTCGTTCTCCTCCACCCCCACTTCTAATTCCCATCATCATCATCATCATCATCATCATCAACCAGGAGCCATCTACATACACACCTCAAAGTAAGTGTACTTTACTGCATTTATTTTTACTTTGTATGTAATTTTTGGTGAGCTGGAACCAATTACCCAAAATCCCATTGAAAAAATGGTTTCGGTTTACGAACGACCTTCTGGAACGAATTGTGTTCGTTAACCGAGGGACCACTGTACTGTATATATGGTAGATGTACTGAGACATATGGACAACTTGGTTTATTTTATTATGCTGACAAAATATTATATCAACGTAGTTATAACTCAACACTGGCCGAGCCTCAACATGACTTCATTAAGAATTCATAACCCTTCCTGCGGGAATCAGCTGAGTACAGGTAACTCGCATTTTACGCACGTATGATTTAAGCGTTTTTGGAATAACGCGATTGTTCAAATAATACCAAAAGCTAAGTTACGCGCACCTATTTTTGAAATAACGTGTTCAAGACAATTTAAATTTGTCGCACGTATTCGCCTGGTCACCTGGCAGTGGAGTCGCGTGTGATGCCTGGTGAGGTGCTTGTAAATTATTACTATAAAGTCGCAGTCATATCAACATCAACGATTTTAATATTATTATTATTAATAATAATTATTATAATAAAGTAATAATAAAGATTATTACTACTAATATTGAAGATAATGAAGTAGTATTCTGTACAACTGTGACGACGTCCAACAAGCTTTCTCAGTTCACACCAGCACTACCTTTTCTCTGTGCTCTCATTTGCATTGTTTGTTTATCAAGTATCTTTTTAGTGTTAAACGCTGTTTTCCCCATTGAGCATGTTTGGAAAACGTCCATCTGCCTCCTCTAGGGCGCCTAAAGCTAAAAAGGCACAAAAAACAATCGCAATGGACGTAAAATTAAATGTGATCGCCCACCTTCAGAGAGGAGAGCGTGTGTCGGAGGTTGGCCGCGTGCTTGGTCTAAGTGAGAGCACTGTTCGTACCCTGTGTGGTATATGATGGTTCCCCTAACTTGTACCATTTACATGTATTCTTATGGGAAAATTGTGTTTAATTTACACGTTTTCTAATTAGGCGCTGGTTTTCAAGAACGTAACCCCCACGTAAAACAAGAGGTGGGTATATCTGGCAATTCTGTAGGAGAAAGGTAGATCTTGTAGGATTGTGGCTGGGAAGAAGTGAACCTCCATTACAAAATGAAATAAATATAATTACCAGAAAGCTTATAGCACTTCCTTGGAATTATTTTTACTGGAACAAAAGGGGATTACAGCATCAAACAAACCTTGGAAAAGGGCTAAAACTATGAAACACTTAGGTTGCCTCATACCTTCATATGAACCCAGTCAACGGCTCCCCTAATATCCTGGAAAATGCTTTTGAAGCTCATATAAAGGTCTCCAGACTTGATGCCCTCTGTCAACTTAACATACTGCGGAGAGTTACTGAAGAAGTCAATAAGGCAGGCAACCATGTAGATCTCTGGGAGATTGAATAGAGTGTTCATCACATAGATCCTGGACTCATCCAGGTGGATGAATTTGTTAGGATACAATTCATGAACTTCTGATCTGTGGAAAAAAAGAGATAAACATAAATAAGTAAAATTAGCTCTAAATTATGACTCGTCCATGAATTAACTAAAAAATAAATATCATTCCACTCACCCAATGCAATAAAATACTTGTTTAAAAATTACAAAATTATCAATGTGAAACACCTCATAAAGTCATGAGGATTACATTATAAATCAAAAGGAAACTATTAAAATCATGAAAGTTTTGAGACAAAATACTGTATATTTACCTACATCTGCAGGAATAGTCATAACTCAGAAAGCAATATATAATACAATAAAATTAAAATAGGCTACAATAAATGAGGAACTGATCCTAAAATCCTAGTTAATAATGTTAGCAAATGGTCCAAGATAAAACACTGACTACCTTATCTTAGAGAACCTTTTCATTATGTATATACCCCTGTACTGTACACTCTAGCACTAAAGTCACTGACAACTGCTTGGTCATGAGGAAAATCGTAAGTTAAAACTGTGACATGATATAATTAAATAAGAATTTTAATAAATTTAAAAATCTAAATTAAAATACTACTTTAAAAATATGCAGTTAAGTACTGTACACCTATTGCAGTAAAAAAAAATTCCTTATTACCAGAGGTGACTAGTGCACAGTAGGTTCTGTGCCACTGTCCATGAGTTTAGTCCTTGTGTACAATAAACACTGTTCACTGTAAATTTTCAATCCATTTTGCCAATTTATGATCCACTGAATTGTAGTATACAAAACATGTGTACTGAGTACAAACCTGGACCTCCTATGATCCAAATTATAAATTATAGTTTGAATACTCTGAGAAGTTATTAATGCTACCGGTACACATCATAAAACATACTTCATAATGTTTAGAGCTAATATACCGTGAAAGGTCAACAAATTAAAGAGTTGTTTACACTACCATCTTGTTTTAAATCTGCAGGCAATGTTAAGTATTTAAAATTAATACAGTGCAACACTGTAGTTACAGTTATGTATAAAACACATTTTTCAATTTACAGTCACGACAGGCAAAAATAATCTTTGATGATAAGTAGAATTGAGGAAGAACAGCACAGAACATGTACTGTATAATCAGGAGTGAATAATTAATCTGGCTAACAACATCTGATCAGTAGTATTGCTATATCTCAAAACTAATTATGGTAGCAGATGAAAATTTAATTCTCTCATGATTAAAATGTACTTTTATATTTATAAAAAAAGCCAAAAAATTAATTTAAGAGTCTAAGCAAGTGATGTAAACATGTACTGTACATTATATCACAGGGGAGGTGGAGAATAATGTAAGGTCAAACAACCCAGTGTTTACTGTAATGTACAGTAGCTAAAACAACTATCTGTGCATACTTTGTGGGAAACAATACGAGACCAGACAATAAATTTTAGTATATGAGGGCTATCACTAGTCACCCGTAAAATTTCGGAGCATATCAACCCCACCTGCACAGATAGTTGTTTTAGCTACTGAATACAGAAATGACACACCCAGTTATACATACTCTACAGACACACACACACATTCTGTAGCTATAGAGGAAGAAGTGAGACAATTTAATGATTACTGCTGTAATATGGAATCTAATTCCAAAGTGAAAATGAAGACTAGAATACCTTTACAATACACCCAGTAAATACTGTACTGTATATAACAACATTATACAACTCCACACAGCTGGTTACAATCTGTTGATGACCGTGGTGGAGAGTAATGATGTACAGTAGCACTATGCACTTCATCACATACAGCACTAAATTTTTTCTTTAAGATTTACTTTCACAATAGCCTTTTATTTTTTGGATATTTCTACTCCTACTTGAATAAATTTTAGAAAATATACTTTTACTCCACTACATAATTTTCAAAACCTCTCCTGGCTTGTTGCTGCACTCATCTGGTTGTCCAGATGATGGTTGTATTACCTTTGTCTCATCAACAAGTCAATGGGCATGTATTTTTATAAGTTTAAACTCACTAATCACAGATATTTACCAGAAGTCAGGTAGTGCAGTACATTGACTTGTGGACAGTTCATCAAGTAAGGTGAAGAGGTGACCTAACTTTCAAGTGACAACACAGTCATGTTATTGTTGACTATCCCTGACAGTATTCAACCCCTATATTATGGGGATTCCAATTTTATTATTTGGGTAAGACCAGACATTTCATTCAGCTCAGAGGTGACTCCGTACACAAAGGGGTTAGTAGGCTATCTCCACTAACCCCCTTCATTAAGGGGATGCCACTTTAATGTTTTATTTAGCTAATGGCAGACGATATTATTCAGCTCAAAACCGACACCATACACAAGGGGTTAAAGGATTTATTTTCACCAAAGAAAACCATAAGAAATTTGGTAAATATAAAGTGTGTTTGACAAGAAAAGTGGATATAACAACTTCTGTCAACTCTCCCTTACAATTAAGGAAACAGATTTATGTGACCAAATTTAGTTATAAATATTTTAATACCTGTATGGAAATTTCTTTATATTTATTTTTTAAACTGAAGGAAATTAATTCATCTAGATTGTGGTAATTTTTTTGGTAAAATTAATACAGTGTACCATTAAAAATTTTTACGAGTATATGAATATTATTCAGTACTACAGGATTTTACTTTGGTGATTATATTCATTTTTTATACAGTGATCCCTCGGTTAACCAGATTTCGGTTAACGAGTTACCTCCCATAAGATTCTTAACTTCGGTTAACGAGCAATCCCTCGGTTAACGAGTTTCTTACGAGCCGACCTCAACAAGTTTTCGCTTCCACTTGGCGGTCAACCAGCTTTACTATTAGTCCGCCAATACAGTAATCGGTTCTAGGGCTTAAATTCCTTACTTCTTTAGTAAATATCAAGAAGTTTATACTATTCAACAATTTTAAAAGTTTAATATTAAATTTTTTAGTCATTTTAACAATTATTGAAGGTAAAGTGATTAGTTTTATGCACGCCATCCAGCCTCTTAACACAGCAAACAAGCGTTAGTCTCTCTCTGTTTTCAGTGGAGGTAACATCTTGCTTGAGACTCTCTTCAACTAAACGCTTTTTTTGTTTCCAAGCAAATTATTGGTCATTTTGAAATTTATTTTACATATTGACAATATATAGCGCAGTGCAGTGTTATTTTAAAGAAAATATTCTTTATTTACAGCAAGTTTATAACTAAAAGATCACGTGTTGATATTGTTTGAATCCAGCATGGGGCCTAAGAGATCAAGAAAAGCGATTTCAATCCAAACCAAGCAGGAAAATATAAGAAAACATGAACAAGGCATTAGAGCAAATGCACTATGCAAAGAATATGGCAAGTCGACATCAACTGTGTCGACAATTCTTGCACAGAAAAACAAATTTAAAGAAGTGAAAGTGAGAGACAAATCTACCAGTGTTTAAAAGTAGATCCCTAATTGCAGAAACTGAGAGGTTACTTCTCATCTGGATTAGGGAAAAACAGATGAAAGGTGATTCAGTTTCTACTGAAGTCATTTGTGAAAGAGCCAGGGAGATTTACGAACATTTAAAGACAGATCAACCTGGTTCTTCAGGCACAGAATTTGAAGATTTTCGGGCCAGGAAAGGCTGGTTCGAAAAATTTAAGAAAAGAAGTGACATTTTCAGTGCTGTTAGGCATGGTGAAGCTGCCAGTGCCGATAAGGAAGGGGCAGCAAAGTTTTTAGTTGAATTTAAAGAACTGATGGAAGAAGAAAATTATCTTCCACAGCAAGTGTTCAATGTGGACGAAACTGGGCTGTTCTGGAAAAAGATGCCCAAAAGAACATTCATCACCAGAGATGAAGCCACTTTACCTGGGCATAAACCCATGAAAGACCATCTCACTCTATTGCTTGGTGCCAATTCTTCAGGGGATTTCTGACTGAAGCCTATGCTTGTCTACCACTCTGAAAACCCCAGGGTGTTCAAGCAACAGTAAGTGGTAAGAACAAAGCTTGGAGTTTATTGGAAGTCCAACCCTAAGGCATGGGTGACAAGACAGCTCTTTATTGAATGGGCTGTTGATGTGTTTTGCCCTTCTGTCAAGAGCTACCTAACCACCAATAAACTCCCTTTAAAGGCTCTTCTCCTCATGGATAATGCTCCTGGTCATGACCCTGAACTTGCCAGAAATTTGGAGTATCAATTTGACTTTGTGAAAGTGTTGTTTTTGCCTCCAAACACTACATCAATCATACAGCCAATGGACCAGAATGTGATCAGCAACTTCAAGAAGTTGTACATGAAGAAAATGTTTAGGAGGTGTCATCAGGCAACTTCCAATGATCCTGAACTAACACTGAAACAGTTCTGGAAGACACAATTCAACATCCTGGAGGCTGTAAAATTGATTGTGTCATCATGGCAAGAAGTCTCCACTAGATCCCTCAATTCTTCATGGAAAGCACTGTGGCCATCAGTAGTCCATGATTTTGAGGGATTTGAGGAAGAAACAGAGTTGGACCAGGAGATTGTGTCCATTGGTCAGTCATTGGGCCTTGAAGTGGAGGAGGAGGATGTAGAAGAGCTTGTGATGTCTCATGAGGAGGAACATACTCCTGATGACTTGAAGCAACTGGATGAGATGTTACAGGTAGAAGCTGACAGTGATAAGGAGGAAATTGAAAGTGATGACCATATGTCAAATAAAGAGTTGAAAGATGTGATTTACCACTGGGAGAAGTTCAGGGAACTGGCTTCAAAGCACCCAGATGTGGAAAAACTGAACTAACTTTGTGTCATGTTGAGGACTCAATGGTCTCTTTCTTTAAACATAAGTTAATGGTGAGGAGGAGAGATGCCCCACAGACCACAATTGACAATTTCTTCAGGAAAAGGCAGAGGGAACAAGATGCTATCCCTCTGTCTTCCACTTCAAGGAGAGAGAATGATGCTAGCCCTCAGCCTTCCACTTCAAGGAGAGAGGATGTTCATGGTGGAGAATCTGTCAGTCCAGAGGTTCCTGACATTTTCATGGAAGGTGATTCACCTTCC